AAAAAAAAAAAAACAAAGTTTGGCCTTATATCGGGTGTTGATCACGTCTTCTTCCCGGTTTTTTTGCTGCACTCCCCCTGTGCTGGGCCATTCATCTATCTTTCTTCTTCCTCTTCCTTTGCGCCTCGGCTTTCCACCCCCACAACCCACTCTCCCCCTTCCGAACCGACCCTTCTTTTATAAATCCCCCCAATTGCCCTACTTCCACACCTGTCTTTTCCCTCTTCTCTCCTCTTCCTCCACCTTAACCTTCTCAAGGCACCCACACCTACACTCACGTCACAGCTTCAGATGCCATCGCCGGCGTCTTCAGTCGATTTCTCCAATTTACTGAATCCTCAATCCTCGGATTCAGACCCTCTCGCCGCTTCTCGTCAACAGACCACGTCAGCACCAGCTACTCCTTCTGGTCCTCCAACCAACATGGCCTCTTCTGTCAGCCTACTGCCTCCTCTGATGAAGGGTGCTCGTCCGGCCACCGAAGAGGTGCGCCAGGACCTCCCTCGACCCTACAAGTGCCCCCTCTGTGACCGCGCGTTCCACCGTTTGGAACACCAGACCCGTCATATTCGAACGCATACTGGTGAGAAGCCACATGCTTGCCAGTTCCCGGGGTGCACAAAACGCTTCAGCCGCTCCGATGAGCTGACTCGTCACTCGAGAATTCACAACAATCCCAACTCGAGACGCAGCAACAAGGCGCAGCATCTGGCCGCAGCAGCCGCAGCGGCTGCAGGTGCTCAGGACAGCCCTCATGCCGTTGTGAACAACGCGGCTGGTTCCATGATGCCGCCACCTAGCAAGCCTATCACCCGCTCTGCTCCCGTCTCTCAGGTCGGTTCGCCCGATGTCTCTCCTCCCCACTCTTACGCCAACTTCGCCGGCCACATGCGTTCGAATCTTGGTCCCTTCCCTCGCAACAGCGAGCGGGCATCATCGGGTATGGACATCAACCTCCTGGCCACTGCAGCCTCGCAAGTCGAGCGCGATGATCACTTTGGATTCCAAAACCCTCCGCGCAGCCACCACCATCACCCTCTGCTCAGTTCACGGCACCACAACAGCAGTACTCGTCTTCCTTCTCTCTCTGCGTATGCCATCTCTCAGAGCATGTCTCGATCGCATTCGCACGAGGAAGATGACTCCTACTCGCACCGCATCAAGCGTTCAAGGCCGAACTCGCCTAACTCGACTGCACCCTCTTCTCCTACCTTCTCTCACGATTCTCTTTCCCCAACCCCTGACCACACTCCCCTGGCCACTCCGGCCCACTCGCCGCGTCTGAGGCCCCTGGGTTCGAGTGAACTGCATTTGCCGTCGATACGTCACCTGTCGATTCACACACCAGCCTTGGCACCGATGGAACCCCAGGCCGAGGGTCCTCAGTACTACAACCCCGGTCAGGGTCACGCTGGCCCGAGCATCTCCGACATTATGTCGAGGCCAGATGGCACACAACGGAAGCTTCCAGTACCGCAGGTCCCCAAGGTGGCTGTTCAAGACATGTTGAATCCTGCGAGTGGCTTTTCGTCCATGTCCTCGTCGACCAACAATTCGGTCGCTGGTGGTGACCTAACAGACCGCTTTTAAAAGCAAAACTCTGATTTCCACTTTTTTCTTCAATCAGAGTCACAAAATGATTTTAAAAGAAAAACAACAAAACAAAAAAAAAAAAAAAAAAAAAAAAAAAAAAAAAAAAATTACTTCTCATGTGTGTCACGAAACGATTAGACTTCTCTTTTTGCATTTACAGTGGTTTAACGGGCATCCATGGTGTCGGTGGTTAATTGGCTTTTTTCGTTTCCTTAATTCGTTTCGGCGTCACTAAATAGATGGATGGGATTTGCGTGTTTCTATTTACCCTTCTTGTTCTTATAACCTTTCTTCTTTTCTCTACAATTCCCTTTTTGCTATAAATTTTCACAAATATTTTGATACACACTGCAGTTCTGTGCTTATCTTGTGGTTTTCTCCTCTCTTGAGGCCACGGCTTCGATAATATCACCACCTGACTTTTTACTCTGTTTCACTTCTCTCTTTGGCTGGATGTTGCAACGAAAATGAACAAGTAATACCCCCGCAGTTGCACTAAGTCATGTTTGACATGGACAGTTGTTTTTTTATTCGATCAATACAAAACTTTGACAACAAGAAGATACGAAGCATGTACTACCGACGGACCATTCAGCATTGCGCATTCGTTATCATTTCGCCTGATAGACCAGGATTCCCCCTGTTATCGCTACCCCGGTCAACTCCAGGGTCCCAGCAGGGCTCACTCGGTGTAACTGCGGGTGATATCAACAATACCGGGTAGAGCACGGAGTGCATACTTTGTAGGATACAGCAGACGCAGTCTGTACGTACTTCTGCTGTATTATTCTGTAGGTATCTGTAGGTATGCGACTACGTCTAAAGAAAGAAAACCCCGCTTGGACGTGGTCCAATAAATCCTCTCGACCAGCACCACCGCAGACTAACGCTAAAAAGAAAAATTTCATTGATCTTCTGTCGTGCAGCAGCTGGACTTCTGTTTGCCTGTCTGTTGTCCGTCATTTTAAGTAGCAATCACGGAATCAAGAAGGAAAGAAAGAAAGAAAAAAAAAGACCCCATGTCTGTTAGTTGGACGACATGGGTGCTGGAATGATTGCCCCTCTTCTTGTGTTTACTTGGTTATGAGCTGGTAAGGAACACAGCGATTTTGAAGATGAGATGAATTGAGATGAAATGCTAACAACTGTCTCTAGGAACAGAAAAAGCTATCCGTGCTTCACCCATCATTGGAATTTTACAAAAGATGATGATCCCACCTCCCGCTCCGTCGCTATCCAGCGTCACCGACTACTACCCATCCTCTACCACTTTATCCACCTCGTCCGTTGATACAGGACTAGCGTCTGATCTCGCCAGACATGATATCCTTGAAGACGACGGTAATGGGGTCCTCGTCGTGCCTCAACCCCAATCCCCAAGCGAGAGCCAGTCCTTTATCCAGACCCCAGCGCCTAGGATCTCAAATACCCGTCCGATTTTCTATTCGTCACGCGCTTATTACGATTCCGACGACTACGATAACGCAACCAACAACTATAATTACAACTATGCCTGTCTCTTCCACGTCCTAAACTGTCACGAGACATTCACCGATATCGATCACTGGAAAACCCATGTGCTGAGCCACTTTCGCACACACCAGCCGCCCCCAATAGCGCGCTGCCCTATCTGTCCCACCATCACCTCACTAACCTCTCCCACCACCAACACCCCCAATAACATTTTCACAGACACCTCCCACATCCGCGCCTGGGACGCCCTCCTCGACCATATCGACACAGCCCACTACCAGCACGGCCACACTCTAGTCAACACCCGCCCAGACTTCGAGCTCCTGCGCTACCTGTTTCGGCTGCGCATTATCAGCGAGGAGCAGTTTAAGTTGGTGCAGGTGGTGCCGGGGGCGGGGAGTCCGGGGTATCAGCGGGGGATGGAACCTGCGAGGGCGAGGGTGGGGAGCGCGGAGGAACCGTTTTGTGCGGCTTATAGTAGAAGGAGGGAGAGGAGGATGACGGAGGAGAGGCGGAGAGGATGGGGTGTTGCTTGATTATTCCCGGTGGTTAACTATGGTATGTCGGAGTATGAGTAGATTGATGTGAACATGGTGAGACGAGATGGAAGTGTATGTATTAAAATTAGGATGTAGTCTAAGTAGCTAAAAGAATATAATGACCGTTTTCTATCATCTAGAAGATGCGTTATAGGCCATGATTTATTCTTCTCGGCCTTGTATAAAAACAGCGTTGAACAAACAGAACAAACATACCCAGCCTATCCAACATCAAATCGACTTTCCTCAACTGCAACGCCAATTGCGATCGCCCCGTTCATTCTGCAAACAGGTTATTTCATGCTATCAGGGAATGATAATATCCCTATTCACACCTTCTCAATCACGTCTCTGAATACCATTTCCCATCTAGTTTGAAAAAACATCACCGCACCGCACCCCACCAAGCCGCTGTCCCACAATCACCTACGTCTACATCTACATTCTTCGACTTGAATCTTCTCTTCGGATCGCCCCGATATCGATTAAAAGAAGTTATAAATACGTGTCGCGCATCAAACAACCACAATGGAGCGCCTCTCGATCCACGACCCCCCACCTGCCGCCGCGCAACAATCGCAACAACAACCCCAACAGCAACAACAGAACCTCGGACCAGCCTCGATGGTCACACAAGGACCGCCTCAATTACCGCCGCAAATGTTTACGACTGCTGCTCAGTTGCTGGATTTGACGGATAGTAAGTGCGGCATTTGGAAGTGGATGGGAGGCGGGAAAGAGAATGAAAGAAAGGGAGGAGAGAAGAGAAAGCTGACGGGTGTTGTTTGCTTCAGAGAAGCTCGTGCTGGTCCTGCGTGATGGGAGGAAGTTGTTTGGTGTGTTGAGAAGTTGGGATCAGTTCGGTATGTTCTGGACGGGATACGAATCTTTGGAAATGAGTGGACGATTGACTGGTGCTTGCAGCGAATCTCGTCCTTCAAGATACTGTCGAACGACTCTACGCCGGAAGCCTTTACGCCGATATTCCACGGGGGATTTTTATTGTTCGAGGGGAGAATGTCTTGCTTCTTGGGGAGATTGTATGTCCTCGTTTCACCTAATATGACATGTTTCCTGATGCTAATCATTCTTACCATTATTAGGACCTAGATAGGGAAGACGATGTTCCCCAGAGTGTTCAAAGAGCGCCATTCGAAGAAGTCTACGCATTGAAGAAGAAAGAGGACTCGGAACGGCAAACTGGCGACAAGAAACGTCATGGCAATTTACAAAAATTGGGCTTCGAGGCTGAACATAGCGGGGAGACTCTTCTGTTCTAGTCTGTTATTTCCTTTCATTTCGACACGTCTTCTTCAGCATTGCTTGGGTTGCTCTGGAGTTATTGACTCGGGTCATGGGTTACAACTGAGGGGAGCAAAAACTATGGAAGCGTCGCCTGCTGCGAACCATTACTATGACACATTTGGTAAACGCCATGAGAAATAGGTACATCGATACATGGCTATAGTCCATGTTTTGGGAGAAATCAGATTAACATGAGGTCAGAGGCCTTTTGACGATTGTTATGTCCATTCTGATGTTTTGACGAATGTTCATAATATGAGGAATGAGCACATGCCTGGCACCAGACATGTCTATTTGAATATTCATGAATATACCACTTTATGGCCTTCTCTTCTACTGTTCTCACTATTTATGTAGTTCAATTCGTAGTGCTCCTATCGATAGTAATGCCAAGAAATGCGGCAACACCTAAAAAAAAAAAAAAAAAGTCTCCGCATCCACCGATTCTTCAATTTTAATCTTCAACAAAACTTATTCTGTCCCTGTCTTTCTCTTTTTGAAGGCAAACAGCTTGCGCATTTCTTCTATTTTAATAGTCAACTTCTCCCCTGCCGGTTGGGATTGTGTACCATCATGGCAACCCTAGCGGAGAAGCTTGAGAAGATCAAGTCGCCCAAGTTGCAGAATCAACATCACGTAAGTCATTCTTCTGTCCAGAAGAATCTAAGGAAATAAGAGAGAATACGGGGCTAATTGATGGTTAATATAGACTGCTGTGGTTCTTTCTGCAGTAGAAGACACACTGCGCGACCAAAAAGCAGATTTCTCACCAACGGCATATTTCGCGGCGCTTCTCGCTCTCCTCTCCCAATCACTATCCGCTGAACAGGGCATTGTCAATAAGGATCTGGCAACGTCCGTGGTATATCTCCTCGACATCACAAGCCCCTTTGTCCCCGAGCCAATCCTCCGTTCCAAATTCTCTCAGATCCTCACCAGTCTCGCACCCGCGCTCTCCCTCCCCGAAGTCGAAGCCCCGCTCCTCAGACCCTCGATTGGCTGCTTGGAATCGCTTTTGATCGGGCAAGATGCTGCTTCGTGGAATCTCCCTCATACCCAGGTTGGACCGCGCCGGGCGACGGCCGGTTTGCTGAGTCTGGCCGTGGACCACCGTCCCAAGGTGCGGAAGAGGGCCCAGGATGCTCTCGTTAAAGTTTTGCAGAATCCTCCCCCGAGCCCATCGCTCGACCATCCTGCCGCGGATATGTGTGCAGAATCTGCGCTGCGGACGTTGGATGATGGCATTGCTGCGGTGTCGAAGCAGAAGAAGGGCAACCAGCGCGACAACCAAGACCCGCTTGTGATTCATTCGTTGCAACTAGTGAAAACGGTTGCGACAGCGGCGAATGGCTGGCCCAGTAAAAAGATCGAGCCGCTGTGCGAGCTGCTGATGCACGCATCACGGTCGAGCAATGAGTTCATTACGATGGGTGCGTTCGAGGTCTTTGAGGTCATCTTTTCGAGCATGGCGGATGACTTCTCGTCTTCGAAGCTGCCGCGTCTGCTGGATGCGATTTCGGAATTGAAGCCTGCGCAGAACGACTCGCAGCTGTTACCGCCTTGGATCGCGGTGATGTCGCGTGGATACGATGTTGCGGCGCAGGTTAGCCCTGAGGACACATTTGCGAAACTACCGGAGTTGTTCGATCTGATTTCGAGTTTCCTGGCGTCGCCGTCGAATAACATTCGCATTTCGGCATCGGAATGTTTGATCTCCTTCCTGGCCAACTGTGTGCCCGCCAGCGTGATCATCGAGCCCTCCGTGTACGACGAGAAGACGCTGGAAAGGCTGGCCAAGGCCACCACCGACCTGCTCTCGATCAAGTATCAGGCTGCCTGGGCGGAAGTCTTCAACGTTTGCTCTGCCATGTTCGACAGCTTCAAGTGGCGCTCAAGCCCGCACCTAATCGACATAGTCAAGACAGTCGGCGAATTGCGCGGCAACGACGCTTTCCAGGGCAAGAAGGAAGCCGATGAGGTCCTGGGCAGCGCCATCGAAGCCATGGGCCCCGCCGCAGTTCTCGAAATCCTCCCTCTGAATATCGTTGAGCAGAAGGCCGGCCAACCCGGCCGCGTTTGGTTCCTGCCCGTGATCAGAGACCACGTTACTAACACCAACCTCGCGCATTTCCGCACCGAGATGGTCCCTCTCAGTCAATCGTTGTACCAGAGACTTATGTCCTACGGCGCCGCTGAAAAGACGGTCGAGGCCAAGATCTTCGAAACCCTTGTGCAGCAGACCTGGGCCACCCTCCCGGGATACTGTGAGCTGCCGCTGGACTTGGTTGAATCGTTTGACCAGAGCTTTGCAGAGCTGCTCTCCAATGTGCTGTACAAGCAGACTGAGCTGCGGGCTGATCTCTGCCGTGGTTTGCAGACACTAGTGGAGTCAAACCAGGCTGTTCTGGAGTTGGAGAAGGAGGAGGATGATCTGATTCTGCAAAGGAGAATCACCAAGGCTGCCGCGGCTAAGAATATCAAGCATCTCAGCGGGTTTGCTAGTAACCTGTTGGCTGTGCTGTTCAACGTCTACAGCCAGACTCTTCCGCACTACAGAGGTTTCATCCTGCAGTGTATCAATGCTTACTTGAGCATTACTCCTGAGAAGGAGCTCAACGATACATTCACCCGTGTCGCCTCGATGCTGGATTCTTCCGTAGCCTCAGAGCAGGAAGAAGCCCAGAAGCAGGGCAAGCAGCAATCGAGCGGTGGTGAAAAGATGCCGCCTACATCGCACACCCTGATCGACCTGGTGATCGCGATGTCAGTCTACCTCCCTCGGTCCAGCTTCACTAGCCTGTTCGCCATGGCCGCCGCCATCCTGAACGGCCAGACCGGCGACCAGCAACTGATCAAGAAAGCATACAAGTTGATTCCCCGTCTAGCCTCAACGGAGACCGGAGCGACTGCTCTCCGCGAACGCAGCGGTGAGCTGCAGTCTCTCATTCTGACCACAGCAGACAAGACGCCTTCGTCGGCCCGTCGTGACCGCATGCTGGCTATCCACGAGTTGGTCACCCACCTCCCCAGCTCGGACCTGCATTTCATCCCCAGTGTCCTGTCTGAGGTCGTTTTGGGCTGCAAGGAAAGCAACGAGAAGGCGCGTACCGCTTCCTTCGAGCTGCTCATTCACCTGGCCAAGCGCACCATCGACCCCGAACAGAACCCACCGGGAACCAAGATCCGCAACTCGTTGGTCCCTCACATGCCCGACAACGCCCCTGATGCCCTCGCCACGGTCGAAGAATTCTTCACCATGGTGTCCGCCGGTCTGGCGGGTAGCTCTCCGCACATGGTCGCCGCGTCAGTGACGGCGATGTCGCGACTGTTCTTCGAGTTCCACACAGAACTGCAGTCGAACGTGCGCTCGGACCTGGTGCAGACCATCGAGCTGTTCCTAACCAGCAACAACCGCGAAATTGTCCGGTCGGTTCTGGGATTCGTCAAGGTCGCTGTTGTTGTGTTACCGGAGGACCTACTCCGTTCGCGACTGGCTTCGCTCGTCCCGAACCTTATGGCCTGGAACAAGGAGCACAAGGGCCGTCTCCGCAGTAAGGTCAAGGGCATCCTTGACCGATTGATGCGCCGCTTCGGCGCACCGCTCATCGAGAGCTTGGTCGGCGAAGCAGACCGCAAACTCGTTGTGAACATCCGCAAACAGCGCGAACGAAGCAAGAAGAAGAAGGCCGCTGGCGACCACGAAGATGAAGATGACACCACCGCCAACACTAACACCAAGACCGCCTCCGCCGAGCAAGAAAAATCCTACGGCAACGCCTTCGATAAAGCTGTCTACGACTCTGACGTCTCAGACTCCGATCTGGACTCCGACGCCGACGCCAGCGAAATCGAAGTCGACGAGCAAGGCTCCCTTCATAAGGGCAACAAGAAACCCAACAAAAAGGCAGGCGCAGGCAAGCAAAGCGAACAATACATCCGCGAACTCTCGCCAGAGGATAACCCGCTCGACCTCCTCGCTCCGAACGCCCTCGCCAACATCTCCACCACAAAGCCCAGCGTGCGCTTCCTCAACACCGGCCCCGGCTCGAGGAAAAAGCAACGCAACGCCAAGGTCGGCCCTGACGGCCGTCTTATCTTCGGCGATGACGAGGATGAAGATGCCGATATTGCCGGAAACGATCCCTCTGGCGGTGGTGGTGTGAACGCCTACCTCGCGGCCGTTAGCGGCCCCGACGCCGCGCGCCGCGGACAGAAGGGTAAGGTCAAGTTCTCGCAGAAGAACAAGGGCGGTGATGGTATGGATATCGATGAGGACGGTGGTGTGTCCAAGGAGGATCTGCAGGCTGCGGCTGCCAAGACTAATGCTAATTCTGGGAGAAAGGGATTGGGAGCAGCTAAGGCTCATGGACCCAGTGCTGCGCGGGTGCAGAAAAAGAAGGGGAATCATGGAGGGAGTAGGCAGCAGCCGCAGCGGAGGAGGCGTTAAAAAGTTTGATGTCGATGTTTTTTAGTTAGATTATGATGGTTGATGACTGACTACTTGAATATATTGGTTTCAGTTGTTGTTTTTGGTTGTGTTGTGGTATTCTCATATTTCATATGTATACCCTTTTCTCTGTCAGCTGGTTATATAGACGTCCTTGTTCTTCAGGTTAGGGTATAAAAAACATTCAATGGATATCATGTAACTGAACTGTTAACGTATGAAAGGAACATTTTTTGTCTCCTACTTTCCTAACACCTCTACCATATATCCACTGCTCATCAGTGCAGTCCGTCTTTCTGTATTTCCGGTGCTATCGTCTACAGAATGTTATACAGTGCTACATACAGTTACACATGTCCATTGCTATGCTAAGCTGGATGAACTGGCAGTCCACAAGACCGACGAGTGGTAGCGCTGCTTCTCGACTCATTTTTAGTTACGGTAGTCCTGAATAGCGGGAAAATATCACCATTCCGGGTGTTCTTTTGTCTCATACGAATGTCACATGAATCAGTTATTCGCAGGACTATAAGACCTTGCAAGGGCCTACGCTCTTGAGTCACACATATCGAACTGGGGAATGTATGCAATTGCATCCACAGAAGTGCCCGCTTTCTGCGCATGGTGAAGGTATTCGACCCCACAAGCCTTTGAGTGCCTGGTTTATTAAGCATAAGCATTAACCCTACGATATAATGCTTCTGCGCTGCCAACACTCTGAATTCAGCCATCGATCAACAGCAATTGAACCTCATTACAGGCTGCTTAATATAGTCGAAATATAAACCATGGTACGAATGCGTTGCGCCGTCAATGTCCACGAAAAGGAACCAACCTCATTCATCACTGATCACCGGCCTGAGAAAACCCCACGAATCACCGAACTATACTCAGTGTACTGCCACACAGGTTACCATTGACGAATCTTTTCAGATACAGCAAAATTCCCTTAGAGGGGATAACCCGTGAAAAACCTTACAACTGATTGCATAACAATAAAATTTGTTACAAGCGCTGCACGGCTGCCTTTATCATATCTAGCCAGTCGACATTTGGGAATGTGTAGAAAGTTATAGACTTTCAATCATTCCGGCACTACTTAGGTTGATGCCTCCCTTCTGCCATAGGTCCTTTTTTGGCATGAGGGAAGCAAAAAGCACAGATACATGTATCAGATATGTCATACATATCCAGTGATCTATTCAACGAGTGAATTTTGGTGATAGGTTCCTCCATTCTGGGTGGATACAAAAAATATCTTCGGGACGTGTGCAACTTGGAATAGGCTTGGATAAGAATAATGCAAGTATCTTCAACAAATTTGGAAATGGCGATTAGGTTGCTAACTCATCGTTGCACAGCAGGAAACTCGGAGCTGTTGAAAAAAGAAAATCCCCTGATCAAAATGCATGAGTCACTGTATACATTTAACCATCCGAACGTCTCTAGGATCGGTTTAATGGCAAGTGTGATGAATTTCAGAAGAAAGAAAGGTTTGATATCGCGTTCGATGGGATACCACCAACAACACCTAGTCGTAGCACCCAGCCCGCTGCTATCGGATAAAAAGTTGGCATCTAGCAATACAGGCCTAATGCCAAGAGAGATTTTGTCAGGAAAAAGAAGATATACAGACGGTTAAGGCCCCAGCAATCTGTCTCTTTCAATCTTGAGACTGCCCAAAATGCAGTGGGAAGTAACAAGAATGTATATCTATCGGCAATGTCTGAATCTATCATGTGCTCGGATGAGCTTAACTGCCACCAATCCCTAGGAGTCAGGCCAAGTGAAACAAAAAACTGAGCAGGTCATCTATAAACGAGGTGCGACAGAAATGTCCAAAGATACTCGAGCATCGCCTTTCCGAGACCGGATCCCGACGAAAGTGTCACTTTATGCACGAGACAGAAGAGAAGGAGAGGCCCCTTAAAGCCATAAATAAAACCCGGGGTTATTAGTTGAACGAAGTCAGCGATCAAAAGAGCAAAATATGTCTCTCACGTGGAAAGTGGTAGATGCCAGAAGCTTCCACTATTAGAAAATGACATGGATTGCAGTGAGAATTGCAGGGCTTTCCACTATCGAAGCTTGCCACATCTTTCCCAAACCTGCTCTGCTAAGGCAAAGACGAGAAAGGGGGATTTCAATATTTTCTGCTGTCGTCTGAACAGGGGAAATCCGGTTGGCTTTCAGTTTCCAGCAATACGTGGTGCCGCTGAAAGCATCCACCCCGTTGCGGGGGCTATAAATTCTCCAAGGCCTCCAAAGTCCTCTCATTGTGTACACAGGTTCTATAGAGGTGTGGTTCTCCTTCATGCAACCAATACGAGATCGATAATTGTACCAGGATCTATTGGGCTCATTTAGTTGTATCAGGTCCACAAAGGGAGGTAAACGTCGGTAGAAACGCCAGAACAGCCAAGGCGACAATTTTTTGGAAGAATAGTCTAAAAATCCAATCCTCTCAGAGAATACACCTTTTCGCCCGTCCGAGGGTCATTCCGGTCCTCCTGGTGCCAGATCAATGAGACGGGCTGATAACACACGCAGAACACTCCATACAAATGTCAATATTGTTCATGATGCAGAATATAAAAAAAGGCTGGTACAGATATGGCCTGGCTCGCCAATACGGATTAGGGCCAAGAAGAAATACGCTTCTTACTTGTCTTGTGAAATGCGGACGTGTCATGTTAACTTACCCGACAATATCAATCAAGCATGCCATTATTACAACCACATGATCTCTGGCTCCATCATGTTCATTAACTTTTCTGCATAGCAGATACGATTTAGAAACCGCGAGAGAAAGTCTCACGAACAAGATTGCACGGCATGAAAAAGAGGCCGAACATTCGCTCGACTTTGACATTCCCGGAAACAGCAAAAACAGACTCCCAATTCAAACAGTGAGACCAAAAGCTTATTCGCCAGTCAATAAAAGAAGGAAGATGAAACCACTGAGATGCTAATCGCTTGCCTCGCAAATCTCCCTCGAGAGAACGAGCAAATTCAATTCTTCGCAACAAACGGGTCTGGAGATATATTCTACCCTTGTTCGTCTTTGCCTAGGAAATTGCCAGTTGCAGTTGCCAATTGCCATGCCAGGGTTCTCACCGTGAAATACAACAGAATGTGGCCTCACATGGTCGTCGTCGAAATCCTCATCCGAGCATAGTTCAGCCAAGCAAGTAGAACCCACCTGTTTTTAGTAGCGACAATGCATGAACACAGAATGTGACATCCACATTAACCATTCAACTAACTTTTGAACGAACCATCTGCACACACACTATCTTATACTTTTTCATGCCTAAATCGCGGAGGAAGTTAACCAGGGCCGCAACACGCTATTTCAACTCAGCTGATAGCTTTCACCTATGACTGACAGTTCGTTCATTACCAACAATAGTTGAGCCAGAAAGCCCAAAGAGCGATTCCGTTATTTCTTTCAGCTGATAACATAGATAGACAATTGATACACCGCGCAATACCATGGCCATAGCGTCGTTTATTGACGACGAATCATGCGCTTTAAAATGGTGCTTAAGGATACCGGTGTTCGCTACCCAATCATCATACAAGATCATCACAACCTTAGAATGAAATCCCTAATATGATGTAGCGATCTCAGTATAAGCTCAAGACTTCCCCAAATTTGCGAATTTCTACGATATCTTCCTACTGTCGAACAGAATTGTTAAGCAGAGATCTACGGACGGAGCCGAACTATCCACCCCAGTAGTCCTAAGTTTCCACTTGGCGATTGTGAGACGTTCTCTACGGATGAAGAATTCGGCCGATGCCTTGACGAGGTGGAACCAGGGCGCGACCTATTTGAAGATATGACAGTTGAAATCAATGTCGATTGGTCGATGGGCAAATTACAGGAGGGTACTATGTGAATATGAAGAGCTGTCTCTTCATCTTTGTTGCTGAGTGTGTGGGCCATTGCGGCCGTTCAAAAGTTGTAGATGTAGCACGTCACTCTGCTGTACTTAGCAAGACAGTTTCGGGAAATGAAGTATGTGTTGCTGGCAACTCCAGTAACGAGAAGCCGGAGATAAATTTAGAGCTACAGTAAATTGAATAATACCCCACAAAGGCTATCAAACATTAGGACACGGGTGCAATTATTCTCTCAACCTAAACCAACCGGGTATCAATTCGCGCAAACGAGTACTCCATAGAAATACAATCCCACTCAAAAAAAAAAGAAAAAGAAAAGAAAAGGGATCCAGCGCCAGCAATCCAACCCATATAATACTCCTAAACCCAAAAGCACGAGATCATTCCACATATCTCAAATGGTATCATGGCAAATAGCAAACAAAACAAATGCAAAGTGGGGCGGTGCATATCAAATCAAATCAAATCAATCCAAATCAGCGAGATTTCCTTCGCGCCTTGCCTAACCATTTCTGCCACCATCGACAGACTCCGAGGACAGCGGCCCGACCGTCATCTTTGCGTTCGGTGCCATCGGGATTGCCCAACACCATGGCGAATACCCAAAAGGATGCGGCAATCCACACAGTCAGAAGCAGTGCAAGAGACAAGAATGGTGACAGCAAAAGCACAACGATCAAACCACCAACGGAATAGGCCTGGTTACGGTCCTCAGACGACGGCGACGAAGTTGAAGTGTCAGGGTCGTCATCGTAGACCCACTGGCTGGAGGAGCGACGAGGGAACGATTTCAGGCCGACTAAGCGTTCGTGCACATGTAATGCAGGGGCCAACAGATCGCAAATCTGTGTCCGAAACGATGTTTCTTTAAGGTATGCAGTCGGAGGACAGAGACGAAGGGGAGAAACAAGGATCGCGAAAAGGAGTCCAAATATGGTATAAAGGCAGGTAGCGAACGCGACGACTGGCACTGGGATGGACAGACGAAACTAACCAATTAATAACCATAACAGGGACAGGAATGAAAAAACTCACCAGCATCACCAGAGCATCCTGATTGTCATCTGGAACAGGCGCATCGTCATAAACGGGTCGCTTAGGGGTACGCGATGGACGCTCTCCGGACATATACGACGAACGCTCCGACAAACTCCCCCGAGCACGCTCTTTCCGCCTGGAACTATTCGACTCGCGAGTGACTACCGAACCATTCTCCAAATGAGATGACGCCGGAGCCGGTGGTTCCAACTGCGAACCCATGGATCCAGACAGGGAATGATGGGGATAATGATGACGGTATGTATGGTAGGGACCCTCTTGTACGGACGAAACCCCCGATAATCGGTGTGCGGCCGCGACTGGAGCGGGAGGAGGGTGAGGAGCAGGAGCTGGTGTAGTGGTGATTTCCGGAGTCCGGGGATCGTGGAGAAAGGTCGTCATGAGCTGACCATTGTCGTGGTAATAGGCCGGCGTGTGGGCCATCTCCGGCTGTCGCATTGCGAATGCAAGGAAACGAGCGGGTAGGGCCGGCAGATAAATTTCTTGGTATTCTCGGAAGAATGTTCTAAAAAGAGGAGGGATGACGAAGAGAGAGAGAGAGAGGCTCCAAATAATCAAGAGAATAAAGTTGCTACAGGGAGTTCAATAGAGATAGAGGAGAACACGGCACTTGTGGTACAGACAGCGCACACGGAGCGAACCAAGACAGGGCTCACCGCATGGTTTCAAGCGCAAGGGACATCACGTTCTCTGTAGAAGGCATTCAAAATCGCCCGAATAGGAAATGGGAGTATTTGGTAGTGACCGTAGTGATGGGGGAAAGGGGGAGGAGAGGATCAACGATGGCGGAGGAGGAATATAAAGAGGGAGAGGAGACGTATTATAGCAGGCGCGCATGACAAGAAAGGGAGGAGAAGAAGAGAAAAAAAAAGAAAAAGAGCGGAACAGCGGCAGAAGGGGGAAACGAAGACAGAGGGAGACAGCGGAGGGTTCTGGGGCTTCCTGCCAAGATCGCCCAGATGCCGAGGCCTTGGCGGATGTCAGGATGGCTCATCACTGTCCGATTGGCGCCGGAGATGTGGCCTATCTGAATGTAGGTTGTTTCTCCGCCGCTGCAGGGTCATTCCTGGACTTTCCATGTTTGTTTACCCTTTGGTTTACTGCTAAAATCTATATAGGAGGAGGAACTGAATCCAAGAGGAAACACACGCCAAGCCGCCAAGTCCCTGCGGGGATTTCCAGGCTGAGATACAGGACTATTTATTGGCTCAACAGCGCTGACTAACTCTCCGGGATCCGCGTTCGGAGTCGGTTGGCGAGACTTGGCAGAAGAAGGACTGGTTCCGAACCGCTTGAAACGGCAAAGACGCCAAGTGCAGGCCGCTCTACTCGGTGGTATCTTTTAGGTAAATTGTCACAGGGCTTGCTGGGCAGATTCATCATCCTCTCTTGGCCGGCGGAATGTTTGTCTATATACTGGATATAAGCGGCATATACCGCGGGATTTGACACTGCAATCTTGGCCTGCTCCTTGGCCGAGGATGTTGTTTGTTCAATGTTGGACAGAGAACGTGATGTCGGTCTGAGCATCGCATTCGTCATCTAACGCCATGGCGCCGGAAGTTAGATCTCGGGATTATCGTTGAATCTCAACGCTACGTTGGTTATAAAGGTATTCATTGGACGGAGAACGCGGCGTTCCCAACAGTTGGATGTATATGACTCTTACTCCGTGCCATGAGTTGGGGTACAAAGTACAGTCAGATCATGTGACATATACAGTTCAACTGACAGGATAGTACAACTGGCTACAGAGTACAAATAATTTGGTGCAGAATGCAGGTAGCTGCAATTCTATGTAAATATGAAGCGTCACCACTCGGACCTACTTACCGTACTCTGAAAGTGAATCTCGGCCGAGACGTGTAAAATGCACACACAACAACCATTCTGACACCATAAAGTGACACAGCCCCTAGCAAGGTCCTCAGGAGTACCCTGTACTCTGTATATAAATCTCGACATACTCGCCAGGATTAATCTTCATCATCCGCAATAATTGAACGCTGTGGTCTTCATGAGAGTGCAACCCCATACCAGCCTCGGTACGAGTCGCTAATTCCGCCACCCCCTCTGCCTCTAGCTGGTTTCATTCGGTATATCAATGATCAACTCCCCGCAAGCCTGGTTACCGAGAGGAGACAAAGTGTTATCAAGTCTGAACATCTTTCAAAGTTCCTTGGTACATTCAACGGTTTAACGGAGTCAGCCGGGCGGATTCGCCATTCTGCCGAAGTTCTATGTAGTCTATTGTGCGCTCGGGATTTCCGAGGCCATGGTGACGATATCAATCCATAAAATCAAAGCTATACATTCCAACATGGTGGAAGTACCTGCCGCCTATGAGCTCGCCCACTCTATAGGTAGGTATGTGTTACCTAAGAGGCAAGAATAAGAAGGTATTGCGTAATGTCCAGGAGACAGACGGTGAGAAGTCAAGGATCTTGGTTTATGATGAACTGTCATCAGGTAAGTTTATCTAGCTTGTAACACCACCAGTTCACTAGATCTATTTATATATTCTGGAGCCAGTCGCATGGCGATGTCGTGCCTAATCAAGTGACGAGACCATGTCATGTCACGAATACTACGTGTGTCATCGGGCGATGAAGATAAATCGCCGCATCTGGTTATCACCATCAATTTTCTAAAAATCACGAAGCAACGACATACTTTCGTATCGATATAACACTATCACTGAGCAAGAATCGACACATGATATCACACGGCATTTTACATGAGCTCCTACTCTGTACCCCGTACAAGGCGAGTCTAAATCAATACTCTAGTGGAATGAATCCGTACTCCATACTTTGCGAACAAATGAAGATTCACTCCCAAATCCACCGTAGACGCGCGCAAAAACCAAGACTAGAGCCGATGCCGTGCGATAGTCTCAGCCCAAGCTCCAGTAACCTTCAAAGTAGCCAAATCATGCATGCATCATAGTATGTCAGAAATGATAAGAGAACAAAGAGAAACAGCAATCAACCACCAATAAGAACCAGGATATTGCCTACTTTTGTGTTATTTGCTTTATTTTTCTTTGTTATGATGATGATGATGTGCGGTGGCACTATAATATATACGAGAATGATGAACGAGAGGTGGATTCATTCGGTGATTGATTTGAATCCCGCACAATTCCGGCCATACAAATAGCCTAGCCCATATGCCATATGCAGTTGGGATCCAGCTGTAGAAATATGTATGTGTAGGACCAGGATAAGGTCAGTGCTGCGACCATTGCATTTTTAGGAAAGCTTATTGCAGGGGTGCTACTTTTAGTAGGTTTCAGTGCGATCGAGTAAATAATAAGGCGACGGGTGAAGAATGAAGGAGGAACCGTGGCGGTTGCGGTATGTCGGTGGGCCACTTACTCCTTACGGGCTGTCTGTATGGAGTACGGAGTGCATATCTGCATTAATTCTGCTAGAGCTGTAGGGGAAGGTAGAGAAAAAGAAAATAAGGGAAAAGAAAGAAAACAGTCGGTGTTTGATCGGATGCCAATACGGACTACACGGACAATGGAGGAATTGTATGTACTCCGTAAATAGGGGTGGGGAGAACACGGGCTCTAGAAATTAGCTGGAACAATAATAACTGCGGAAGAGCACCAAAATAATTAACCTGAGAAGTAAAAATATGTGAATATCACGTTTTACAAGATAAATAACTACCAGATCAACACTATTGCATCGCATTGTTGGCAGGAAGAATCCATAAATTCTCGCACACATTACTTGTACTCTGATGGTGGGAGCAACATATGCGCTGTAATATGTACGAAGCCCCACTCGCCCCTCGGTGATGTATCCAGATCATCATCCACACACCATCGCTCGAAAAGCCGACGACGGATCAGCGTCGGCTGGTGCTCCACCAAGAAAAAATGACCGGAATCCGTTAGGGATTTGTGGCGGTGGCTAGTGCGGGTAGGCGGGTGTGGCTCACGGCCGGAGACGTCAATCATCATAACCGAAACCATGGATTACAGACACGATATCTCTATATCTATGCTAGGCTGTATGAATTGCAGTAGTGTAAATTTAGTATTGTTCATAGAAAGCGCCAAGTATGTGTTGTGTCAGGCGTATGACGGCTAGTGAAGAGGGGTATGAAGTTGGATCGACTGATACGCGGAGTACTTGTACAGAGTACTTGGCGCACCCAGTGTACATGTACAGAGTATTTGTACTAAGTGCTCCGTACTTCGTACTGTCACATACAGGGGTAACACTACCCCTGTCGAAAGAACTGCAACAGTGCAGGTGGTCCGAGTGGAGCCTCATCTCATGCCTGCCCAATTCTGGTCGCTTCCAGTAGCTTAGCAGATAGCCCCACACTTACTTAAGACAGCTCTCTGCAGCTGGTCTGTGCCCAACCAATGAGACCAAGCCAAAGGGTGGAGACCCTAAAAAAGCAAAGACTATTACTAGATTCGGGAAAGGTTAACAATGGCACGGGGAGGACCTAACTAAGAAAGGATCCATGACCCACTTGCAGCCACACTAGTGTGTTTTTCCTCGGCGAGTCACAACCGGGGGTTCGTGCTTGAACTTTTATATATATATATATATTTTTTTTTCTCTTTATTTTCTTTCCTTTTTTGCCTTAATTTGCCTTATTTTCCGTTTTTTGGCCCCCGACTTCTCCCACACAGGATACCTGTACACATGCATCACTGGCATATTGGCTTCTATTTGGGTTGTCGCGGGTGTAAATTAGTTCAATCGTACTGACAAGTACGATGTACTTTTTATAAAAAATCTTTTATAAAAATGGTACTTTTGTAATATCCTTATTTCAGACAGTAGCGCGTATGGATACCCGAGACTCGTAATAGCAGATCCCCATACGGAGAATACCCGTTGAGCCATGCTAGACCCATGCCAGCGTGGCGCTAAGCGTGCCTCTAGCAAACACGCGATGCATCTGTAGTTGTACTTGCATTCATCAGTCAATGTTAAAACTAATATGTACTCTGTACAATTACCACAGAGTACAGAATGCGTCGTGGTTATGTCACCCGCCCGACCGAAAGCCGGCACCGGAAAATAAAAACACACCTGCTGCTGAGCTAAGCGACTAAAATACCCGCGGACGCGCCTCCAGATCCGTGGGGCTCCACTAGCACTAGACCGTTCCTGGACAAGCGGCTGCCAAAGCCTGTCCGGGCGACCGTCATCCCAGCGCCTTTTCTTTTTTTTTTTCTTTTCTTTTTTACTGTCCTGTACTCCTACGCCTGCTCCATGAGCTGCACAACCACTAGCTGGTCTTGGCACTAAATCACCCTCTCTGGCCTCTCTCTACTCTGTCAGCCCCTCGACCCTTTCTTCTCTTCTCTCTCCTCTCTCCTCTCTCTCCTCTCTCCTCTCTCCCCTCTCTTGCCTTTCCCTTCTTTCCTTTCCGTTCCTTGCCTGACCTTGTCCTATCCCCCTGATTCTCATCTGTTTCTCTTCGTTTGCTCATTTCTTCTCTTTCCCCTCTTGGCCATCTCCATACTAACCGGCTTCGGTCGGCTGGCCTCACCCAAGATCTTCCCTTGAGCTCTACGGAGTACTACCACCGCTATCAGTACAACTACTACACACTTTATCGCTTCTCATCCTATCTTTCGTCTACTCTTCCTTTAAGCACTTTTCTAGCTTCAGTTCTTGTTTGTTTTAACTTGTCTTACTTGTTCGTGTGAATTGGCGCGCCTGCACCGCCCGCCTGCCAACTCCGACACACCTGACCGCGGCGCTCTGGAAGTGCGATCAGTCGCGTTCCTTTTCAGTTGGATTCAAGTAAAACGTGTTCAAAATATATTTCTTTCAATTTCGCAACTATCTCCGGTTCCTTCGGTATTTGTGCGATTGGGCGCGAAACAACACAGCCAAATCGGGCCTTGACACACATACACACCGACACGAGACAGAGTCAGACCATAGGTTCCCGCGCAACACCTTGGGACTCCCTGCACTGTGCAACTCTGATCAGTGACACGCGCACCGCATTGCATCACCGTGTCGCAGAGTCCCTGATCGGTCGACTTGGACGGTAGCGCAAGCAATTCAAAAAAAAAAAAAAAAAAAAAAAAAAAAAAAAAAAAAAAAAAAAACAATTCAAAAAAAAAAAAAAAAAAAGACCCTTCTCGGACAATATGGCTCACACTCAGCCGTCACCCACCGGGGCTGTCACCCCTCATCATGCCCACATCGCGGCTCATGCCCAAGTCAATGGCCACATTCCCCTGCAGTCGCAGGGCCAAAAGGGCCCACCGCTGAACACCGCGCAGAAAATCGCCGCGCTCAATGAGCAGGTCTGGCTTCAGATCGGTATGTGCTTATTTCCCTGGTCCTTGCAATTTTCTCCCCCCGATGACGTGTATCGTGTATGGCTGACAATTTTGCGATAGGAAGCTTGACGGAATTGATGGGCGACCTCGAAGGCGCCATGAATGCGTATGAACAGGCACTGCGACATAACCAGTGGTCCATTCCTGCAATGAACGCCATCTCGTGCATCCTCCGAACCAAGGAACAATTCGCCAAGGCAGTCGAATATCTCCAAAATATCTTGAAATTGGACCCGACAAGCGGGGAAACCTGGGGCAGCTTGGGTAAGAATTATTCCCATTGGCGTGCTGTATTTAGAAAACCAACTAATTATGACTGCAGGCCACTGTCATCTGATGATGGACAATCTGCAAGATGCGTATACCTCCTACCAACAAGCCCTGTATCACCTTCGGGATCCTAAGGTCGGTATTCGTTCTATCACGTTCCGTAGACGCGTTACACTAACCGCAGCTGTGCTTTGTAGGAGCCAAAACTCTGGTATGGAATTGGAATACTCTACGACCGCTACGGTTCTCTCGACCATGCCGAGGAGGCTTTCTCCCAGGTTATGCGTATGGCCCCGGACTTTGAAAAGGCCAACGAAATCTACTTCCGCTTGGGCATAATATACAAGCAGCAGCAGAAATTCAGCAACAGTCTGGATGTATGGATCGATGACAGCCTTCGTTTGGATTGAATCCTTGCTGATCATTTTCTAGTGCTTCAAGTATATCGTCAGCGACCCTCCTCGCCCTCTTACTGAGGAGGATATTTGGTTCCAGATTGGACACGTTCATGAACAGCAGAAGGATGTATGTGGTTCTTCCCCTCTCATACTACTTGCAGGCTCGTGCGGATTCTGACAGCTTCAACAGTTTGAATCGGCCCAGGCTGCCTACCGACGAGTGTTGGACCGTGACCCCAACCATGCCAAGGTCTTGCAGCAACTTGGCTGGCTTTATCACCAGCAGAGCGCTAGCTATGCAAGCCAAGAAAAGGCCATTGAATATCTTGAAAAATCGGTTAATGCAGACAACACTGACGCACAGAGTTGGTATCTGCTTGGCCGTTGCTATATGTCGCAGGCCAAGTATCCCAAGGCGTACGAAGCTTACCAGCAAGCCGTCTATCGCGATGGCCGGAACCCTACCTTCTGGTGCTCGATTGGTGTGCTCTACTACCAAATCAACCAGTACCGTGATGCCTTGGACGCCTACTCCCGTGCTATCCGTCTGAACCCGTACATCTCGGAAGTTTGGTATGATCTCGGTACTCTGTACGAATCCTGCAACAACCAAATTGCCGATGCTCTCGACGCCTATGGCCGCGCTGCCGATCTTGATCCCACGAACGTTCACATCAAGGCACGCTTGCAACTGCTCCAGAGCCAACTTTCAGGTTCCAGCCAGAGCAGTGCTCCTCCTCAGCCGCAGGATGTCCATCCTCAAGCCTACCAAACTGGTGTTGGCGGTCCTCCGCAATGGGGTGCGCCGGCTCCCACTGGCGGTCCTCCTCCGCAGCCTCCTGCCCCTCCCAGGCAGATTGCGGATTGGAACCGCGGTATCAATGAACTCCAGTCACACGCTCAGGCTCAGGCCCAGGCGCAAGCCCAGGCTGCCCACGCTGCTCAGGCTCAAGCTCAAGCCCAAGCCCAGGCTCAAGCTCAGGCACAGGCACAGGCACAGGCTCAAGCCCAAGCCCAGGCACAAGCGCAGGCGCAAGCCCAGGCTCAGGCCCAAGCAGCCAACGGCTTCGATCACCGTGATGCTGTCCGTGGCCCGGCCCAACCTAGCCCGCGCCAGGAGCCCGGCAGGGTGTTCCCCGATGCGGTCCGCGCCCCATCTGCCGTTCGTTCTCCCAAGACGGCCATGGCTGGCGCGTATCATTTACCTCAAATCACCAATGCTCCCGCACCATCCCACGAGCGAGTTCCTAGCGGCTCGGGTGCCTTCCCATCCGCCACCCGCGGACCCTTGCCCCCTGCTGCTGCTCCCAGCGGTCCTGGTGCGCCTAGCGGTCCTCCTTCGTCTGGCCCGATGCCTCATTACCACCGACCGTTCTCTCCAAACCCAGATATCCGGCCGATTCGCGATGAGCGGCCTTCTTCGCCTGGTTCGACTTATCCTCACCAACAGTTCCACTATGGTCCTATCCCAGCAGGCGGCAACAGTGGCATTGCAGGGGGTGCTCCGCCGCCGGCATCCGCGATCGCTGCCGCCGAAGCAGCTGCCCGGGAGCGTGAGGATCGTCCCGCATCAGCAATGAAGCGTAGCAGGGAATGGGAAGCTGATATTGGTCCTATCAAGAAGATCGCCAATGAAGAGAGCCGCGCTCGTCTCGACGACCAAGCCAGTCGTCGCGTCACCCCACCAAACCGCATGCCGTCCCCCGGAGAAATGCAGCGCCGTAGCTCATCGGAAGCTAGACGCGAGGAGCAGCGTCGTGCGAACGAAGAATATCATCCGTCCGAGGCCGCCCACCATCCCCCAACGCTTCCATCTATCCAGCACATGCCCCCTCAATCCGGCTCGAGTCTTCCTCCCATGGCTGAGAGCTCTGCTCCAGCCTCTAACGGATCTCAGTCTGGACCGCCATCGGCTCAGGTCAAGGAAGAACCTGCTCGTCCCGAGCAGCCTCCTGCCCACGAGCCTGCCGCGCGGAAGATGGACGTGGATGAAGATTATGATGACGATGGGGATGATGAGAAGCGGGCTAGCACTGCCGCCAAGGGAAGCCCCAATGGTAGCAATGCCAACGGCAACGGAGTGCAAGCTTCTCAGGCTAAGCAGGAGCCCGCAGCTTAAGAAACTCCTGTTATATACTCGATTGATTTTTTTTTTTTTTTTTTTTTTTTTTCTCTCTCTCTTCTCACTCCCTTGATGTACGCGGTTGACGGAAGCGGGCTTTAAATAGGTGTTTTTAAGTGATTTCTGTTTTTGGTTGGATGGAAAGCAAGAACTTTGAATGAATATGATGAGAAAAACTTTGCATTCATTCATTACCCTGCGCGGATGTCTCTTTTTTGTTTCATTTCCCATTTTCAATTTTCTACTTCCCTTCTTTTCTTCTCTTTTCTTGTCCTCTTTTTGTATTTTACATTTTGGCCGGGCATTTGTGGCGACGCCACGGTGGCGGCTTGTGGCTCAATGTTTGTTGGTCTTTTCATTTCCGATCTTCATTTCTCCCATGTGTGATGGGCTATTTGTTGTAGTTTGAGTTGTTTGATTCTCTGTGAATGCTTGATATTACCCTTGGAAATGAAATTGCTATACTATCACAGTACCACTACCCGAGCGTTCATGTAGTTTCTCACGTGACTGCACAGTAAATGCGGGATAAAAAAAAAATAAAAAAAACAAAGCTGCCTGAGGCAGAAGCCGTAAGTCGCTTAGCCCCAAAGAGGCAGGGCTGCGCCAAGACTTCGCTTAGATCAGCCCACACTCGACAAGCGGGTGCAAAATACGACCCGGTCAAATTCAGACCAGACTCTCTCACCACTCCAACGACTAACGACAACAGGGTCACGATGTAAGTGCTGCCCGGTTCGACTACAATTCGAATGCGAAGAAGCAGACATTGACGATTTTCTTTTACAGGAGTCACCGGAAGTACGAAGCGCCTCGGCACGGTTCGTGAAATCCTTTTCCTATACAACGCCCGTTTCGAAAATTTTCATCACTTAGTCGGCCGGTTCTGTGTGCAATGGTATACTGACACAATTGTGTTTATAGGTTCGCTTGCCTTCCTTCCCCGGAAGCGCGCGACCCGTCACCGTGGAAAGGTCAAGAGGTTAGTATTGGCGACATCAGGAAAAATTTTCGGGTTGGGAACGGTATACTGAGACTTTACGGCAGCTTCCCCAAGGATGACCCCAAGAAGCCCGTCCACCTGACGGCCGCCATGGGTTACAAGGCCGGTATGACCACCATCGTCCGTGACCTTGACAGACCCGGTGCCAAGATGCACAAGAAGGAAATTGTCGAGGCTGCTACCGTCATCGAGACTCCTCCGGTATGTATTACCTTAATCGAGACGATGGGAAGAGACGGAGACTTACAAAATCATAGCTTGTCGCTGTCGGTGTTGTTGGATACATTGAGACTCCCCGTGGTCTCCGCTCGCTCACTACTGTCTGGGCCGAGCACCTGAGCGACGAGGTCAAGCGCCGCTTCTACAAGAACTGGTACAAGAGCAAGAAGAAGGCTTTCACCAAGTACGCCAAGAAACACGCCGACAACAGCGGTGCTGCCATCACCCGTGAGCTCGAGCGCATCAAGAAGTACTGCACTGTCGTCCGTGTGCTCGCCCACACCCAGATCCGCAAGACCCCCGTCAAGCAAAAGAAGGCCCACCTCATGGAGGTTCAGGTCAACGGTGGCGCCATTGCCGACAAGGTTGACTTCGCCCGCAACCTGTTCGAGAAGCCCATCGAGATCGACAGCATCTTCGAGAAGGACGAGATGATCGATGTCATCGCCGTCACCAAGGGTCACGGTTTCCAGGGTGTCACCAGCCGTTGGGGTACCACTAAGCTGCCCCGTAAGACTCACAAGGGTCTGCGTAAGGTCGCCTGTATTGGTGCCTGGCATCCTAACCACGTCCAGTGGACTGTTGCCCGTGCTGGTCAAATGGGTTACCACCACCGTACATCGTGCAACCACAAGGTCTTCCGTGTCGGAAAGGGTACTGACGAGGGTAACGCCTCGACTGAGTTCGACATCTCCAAGAAGCAGATCACTCCGTACGTTTCCATCCCTTAACTTTGAATCGAAATGGCAAATACTAATAAGGAACAGTATGGGTGGTTTCGTCCGCTACGGTGAGGTCAAGAACGACTTCCTCCTCCTCAAGGGTTCCGTTCCCGGTGTTAAGAAGCGTGTCATGACCCTGCGCAAGTCCCTCTACCCCCAGGTCAACCGGAGAGCTACCGAGAAGGTCGAGCTCAAATGGATCGATACTTCGTCCAAGTTCGGTCACGGTGCTTTCCAGACTGCCGAGGAGAAGAAGGCCTTCCTGGGTACCCTCAAGAAGGATCTTGTTACTACTGTTTAAGGTGTTGGGATGGAGTGAGATGTATTTTCCGTTTATTTTCCTTTTCAATAAAAAGTGACAATACCTTCAAAATGTTCCAGTAGAGCGTATAATTCTAACGTTTGGTAAGAAAGTGTGGAAATATTTTGTAACAGACAGTGCCGGGTCAGAAGATTTCGGTTTTGGTTTTAAGATATATATCGCGCATGGCGGAACATAACGTACCTTAACTCCAATTGTTAGCCATCCTTTCCATTGACAGTTATTCTGAGTTATTTCTAGGCCAAGTACTATTATTATCGAGAATAATCTGTCAAATCAAGCGGCCCTCTCGCGGAGTGCATTGCGTCATGGGTCCTGTCTTGCGCCCAACATTGATCCTACGATCCAGCCACAACTTCTTTCTCGCACATCACAACTACTCTCTACTCCAACAAAGTCCATTCCCCAGAAACAACATTCACAGAGCAAATCCCTTCCAAACAACAACAACACGAACCATGTCCTCCGACGACGCCTACCTCTCCTTCCTTGAAAAAGCCAACTCCGACCACTCCGCAGGCCAACAGTCCCAGGCACAGACGCAGAGAACACAAACGCAGACCGTCCACGCTAACGCAGAGATCCCCGCGAGCTTACAATCAATGGACGCGTTCTACATTTCTGAAACAGATGAGCCGTTTGAGCCTGTTGTGTTGGAATTTGAGGGCGCGGGGAGGGGGGAGTGGCCTGGGTCTTGTACGCTTGCCCCTCTTCCATAAATCTTTACATTCCATCTGATAGCAGATACTAATTATAGCAGCGCAATTATCGTCCCTAATCGTTCCCGATAATGACCTCTCGAATAGCATCACAACGCTATCAGCCTCATCCTTCGATCCGCGGAATCAATACCCCAGTGTGTTTAAGGCAGTTCGCGCGGCGGCTTCCGGGAAAGACGAGGATGTAGAAGTGAAGGTGTACCGGGTTGATGTTGGGTCGTCGCGGGTGGATTATTTTATGCTGGGGTTGGATACTGAGAAGGAGAGGATTGTTGGGTTTAGGACGAGGGCTGTAGAGACTTAGCTTGATATATGGGCTATATCACGGTTTATGATGGTTATATGCATACGGTAACTTGCTTTTGGAGTTATGGGAGTATATATGCAATGCGATGACTTGCAGATGCAGGTGCAGTTTGAGACGGATATATATAGTAGCAGGTTGGGTGGTTGTCTGTGTTCGGATGGTCTACGAGGACTCATGTCTAGGGCTTATATTACATTAAATACGAAGTACAGAACACCCAATATACATTAAAGTTCGAAAAGCAACTGCATATATGAAATAGATGAATATACTCTGTACAGAGTACACTATAGTAGTCTTGTTCTCAAGCGGACAGTAAACATCGCCAACGCAAGGGACGCCAGGGTAGGTGCGAGGGAAAAGACCGAGCGCCCGAAGAACCTAGAATACGCAAGCACGGATACAAAGTACTGTTGATTTAAAATAGAGGGGGGCAGGTAGAGTTATATTTCACTGCAGAAGTAGACATTGCTTGGGGATGTACTTCGCATGTATACAGGATTATTGTCTGACAGCCAGACCAGGTGAAACGGTATGTATATCCTTTTCTTTGATATTTTGCCTCTTTTAAGATAAATACATAAGTCAAGGGAATAGGTTCCTCTTTGAACAGGGTAGCTGTTGTTGTGGTGATGGTGGAATGTGGTGTGGAATGCGTAGTCGCGGTGAGCGTTTATCCCAGGGTTATTCTACTATGTAGACCCGTTGAAGGAGTAGATTCCAGAATTCCCTTGCCTGGCAACCGTTTGCTTGTTCGAATGGTGATGGTAGGATAGCGTTGGTGGTAGAGGTTACCGCTAGAGGATAATTGTATAGAGTAGGAGACACAATAAAAGAAACATTTATTCTACAGTCAAAACAGGACTCCTCCAATGCAATTCGAATTGACAGTACAATCAGATAATACTGATAATAATAAACTATGCAGGTCCCTGCAAGGCCCTGACAGACCCCTCCTCCCTTGCCCTCGTCTTTGCATTTCTTCCTCGATCATCATTCCAGTCACTGTTTTCCTTTTCCTTTGCGTGTCGTTGTATTTTCCTTTTCTTTTCTATATTCTTTCATTCTTTTGTACTGTGTTTGTTCGTCTTTTCTCTTCTTTGTTCCTTTCTTTCATTTGCCTTTCGTCTGTTTGCTTCGTCGTGCTGTAGCAGCGTCTTTCATTCACGCAGCTCTCTCTCGACCTGCCAGTCTTTGTTTCAACCCTCCCCCTCGAGTCGTCACCCATCCTTTTCCTCGACTTGAATTGAAAGACACTATTGATTGTCTGTCCGTTCATTCACAGTCAACGCGTGATTTGACGTGTGCCTTGATCCATCGCTTTGGACTCGCGTTGACATAAAATAACAATCCTAATGTCAGGAAGCGTCTAATTGATACGTGACAGCTAACTGCAATAATATTTAATACATCTGGTGAGTGCCATAGCAGCTGCGTGCTTGAAACAATTCTAACTGAGGATATCAGAACGGCACAGTTGAAAATCGAGTGTGCCCCCAAAACAAACAACTAAATAACAGAATGGCCGACCTCCCACCAAACGACTCTGTCCAACACACGCCCGAAATGGGTACCGGGACAACTCCCCACATCGAAGTAAACTCGGGCGACGAATACCCCTTCAGGGATGCAGAGGAAAGCTACGCCAACGCATCATCCCAGAACCTGATCGGCCGCGCCCTAACCCCCGGACTCCAAATTCCACCCATTCCACCGTCTCCCTCTTCAGCAACCGGAACTTTTCACAGCAGTTTGGCTTCTCCTACCTATCCCCAGGAATCTTCAGAGTTCCTGATTCCCCCGCGACCGTTGCATCGTCTTCGCGATGAGCTGGACCAGCAGACTCCAACTCGTTCGCCGGACTTGTCTATCATGCCATCGCGACGGACAAGCTGGAGCTCCGCGGTGGGAAGCCATGATACTCGGACGTATGGATTCAATCCTTTTATGGACTCGAGGGCCCCGTCAAGGTCGGATAGCTATGACAGCGACGTGAATACGCAGACGGTGTCGGAAAAGTACAACATCATGCCGACGGAGGGGCTGTTGCTATTTCCGGAGGATGTGGAGAAGGATGATTATTTGCATAACCCCGATGCTGGAGAGAGAGACCGTCGATGTGACTTGTTTAATCGACGGGGTATTCTGAATATTGGAGGATTGACATTGTTGACGTTGGGGTTTTTGACCTTGTTTATTGGGTATCCTGTTATGTATGACTTTCCACTCGCGGATACCAAGTGAGCGCTTACTGAATTTCGCAGAACTGCATTCAAACATAACGGAAAGCAAGGAAACTGTGATCCTGGAGACACATTATGTCTGGATGTTGGCGAGCGCCCGATACTGTCGAATCTTCGCACGGGTCTCGTTGATCCGGACACCCCGGAGTCGGTGATGTCCAAGAAGGCGGCAGATGGCAAGGATTGGAAGTTGGTGGTAAGTTTGAGTCTGTATGGGGGCCTAGAGAAGACACTGACAGGCTAGTTCTCGGACGAATTTAATACCGACGGGCGAACATTTTACGACGGGGACGACCCGTACTTTCAGGCGATGGACTTTTGGTATGGTGTGACGCAGGATCTGGAGGTTCGTTCGCAGCTCTTTTGGGAAACAAGAATAGGGCTGATTGTGTATAGTGGTACGACCCCGACGCGGTGACAACAAGAGACGGCGTCTTAGAAATCCGCTTCGACAAATTCCCCAACCACGAACTCAAATACCGTTCTGGCATGCTTCAATCCTGGAACAAGATGTGTTTCAAAGGCGGCCGCCTCGAAGCTAGTATCTCACTTCCTGGTGACGGGAGTGTATCTGGTTTCTGGCCCGGTTTCTGGGCTATGGGCAATTTGGGTAGGCCTGGCTACCGAGCTACCACAGACGGCATGTGGCCGTACAGTTACTACGACGAGTGTGATGTTGGTATTACGCCTAACCAGAGTTCGCCTGATGGTCTTAACTTTCTGCCTGGAATGCGTTTGCCTGCTTGCACATGTAAAGGTGGTGAGCACCCGAGCCCGGGGCATTCGCGCGGTGCGCCAGAAATCGATGTTATCGAAGCCAGCGTTGCACCGTTGAACGGGGATGGAAAGGTTGTCGGAACAGTGTCGCAGAGTTTGCAAATGGCTCCGTTTGATATCTGGTATATGCCAGATTATGGTAAGCATTATGGACATACAAGCTGGTGACCTTAACTAACTGGTGTTAGACTACGCTGCCGTCTACGATGAATCAATCACATACATCAACGACTACCGTGGTGGCCCTCTGCAACAAGCGATGTCCGGAATGACCACATTAAACAACAAATGGTATAACGGCACCTCCTACCAAACCTACGCCTTTGAATACGCCCCCGGCGAAGAGGGCGAGGTCACCTGGTTCGTCGGCCAAGACAAGACTTGGACACTCGATGCTCGCGCCCTAGGCCCCAATGGTAACATCGGTCAACGCGTGATCCCCAAAGAGCCCATGTCGATCATCATGAACTTGGGTATGGCGTGGAGTTTCGCGCCGATTGACGAGATCATCTCTAAGTATTTCCCGGGGTACATGAGATTCGATTATGTGCGAATCTATCAGGACCCGGATGAGGTGAGTGTTACTTGTGACCCGCCGGGCTTCGAGACGACAGAGTACATTGAGAAGCACCCGGTGGCGTATCAGAATATGAATGTGACGTCGTGGTATGTTTTCTTGCTTCCTCAAGTCGTGTTTGCTCATGCTAATAGAATTTAGGAATGATGCCGGGTACGAATGGCCCACGAACTCGTTCATGCATGGATGTCCTGCTTGAGATTTTCTTTCTTTTTTTCTCTTCGCTTTCTCATTTTGTTCCTTTAATCACTTCGGATCCTCCGGTCCTCTGGAGGACCGTTCAGCGGCATCATGGCGTCGGGCGTTTATCGGATATGTTGGATGTTGAACTGTCTGTGTATATTATCTTTTCTTCACATTTCCCCCTTTTCTCTCACTCGATCTCTTTTTATCTCTTAACATGCCTGAAAATTTGCGCCATTTTGACCATTTCATGCATCCTGTCCCAGAACAACATCCTGACCTCGAACTCGAACATGACATTGACACTGGAGCACGATCGAGGGCTAAGCTGCCACTATACATATACAGAGCAGTACAATATTAATCGATGCATTTGCCAACTCTCTCGGATCATAAGTAGTCGTATTTGGGTTGGATAAAACCAGATTACTAATCGCATAAATTATAAGTTATGCGCAGCTTCACCTCACGTCACTTCTCATCTCCACCAAATGAATATTGAATTCAATACCAGCATCTTAACAGACAGATATCCCTGGTACAAGACTGCTTATGTATTGAACAAATTCAACCGATCGGAATTGCTATACTGATTCAAATCCGGTTCTCTGGTGTCTTCCCCGCACCGGCGCGTCGCAGCTTAAGATACCCAACGAGCACTCGAGTAGACAGCTGACTTTCTTCTGGGAGACGTTCAGTACCTCCAATGGATCTTCCCTGAGCTTGCTATCCCGTCAACTTCCTCTTCAAATTTGGACCCTTGTCAGTCCCCTCCGCACATCAACCAAGCTAGCAAATAAACCCAGCAAGTGCTTCGCGACTTCACAGTCAAGATCCCATATCTAACTACAAACCCAGATACACTTCTCTCCTTCCTTCCTTCCCATCCTCCATATCACCAATTCTATCGTGAGATCAACATGTACCCCACAAACCGCCGCGGCCCCGGCCAAAACCCGCGCCACGCCCACGGCCAACAAACCCAACCCATCCTAATCGACGACGACGAAACATACGACATCATCCGTCAACCACCCCGAAACCACCCACCCCCGCGCCAGCAACCCATCACCAATTTTGGCTACTACGACGACGGCGACCAAGACATGGATGATGACGAGGACGAAGATGACGATGATGGTGGAATCGACTTTAACATAAACAATGATCCTGATGTCCTTCTCGATCCGGATAATAATGTATCGTATTCGCATCTTCCAGCGCATGAGCTTGTGAACTTTGCGCCGCATAATCATCCGCGCCGGGCACATCCTCACGCACTGCAACGACCACGTCCCCAATCAGACTATACATATACCTACTACGCACACACCCAATCCCCATCAAACCAACACAACAACAAACTCCGCACGCGCGCCCGCGAAGACCGCCATGCAGCACTATGCATCCTTCTAGACCGTGAACTCCTCATGCTCCAAGCGCTCTCGCACAACGAGACCCTCCCACAAGCGCGACGACGGTTCCTAAGTAAAATGATGGCACCGCAGGATAACACGGATGCGGGCGCGATCAGGGCGGAAAGATATACGATTCATGTCCCCGGGAGTAACAGTGGGGGTGGGGCGGGTCAGTATGTGACTGTGCCGAGGGGCGTGGTGGATGTGTGTGAGATGGGGGATGAAGGGTGGGGGAATAAGGAGGGGAGGAGCCAGCCTGCTTCGCCAGCGGCCTCGCCGTTTGGGAAAGTGAAGAGTCGGACGCCGACTCGTCCGAGAGCTTCGACACCGGGTTCTGCGAATAGACGGAGGAGTGGTGCGAGGTAGATCATTATAGGATCGCGCCTACAATGACTTCTTACAGGGGTATTGAATAACGAAAAGATATGTGTACAAGTGAAACCGAACATGGCAATTAACATACTATACATACATGCATCAAACATAAAAACAACCAATATAACAAATAACCGATAGACCCGATGCTGTAGACACTATTGCGCCTGCCCGTGGATTCGCTATTTACAATGTTAGGTGGGTATCAATGTGTAAATCAGGCCTGCAACCTTGTCAGGTTGGTCCCGGCATGCTGACCTGATTCGAGTCTGCTGGATGTCAACGTGGACATCACTGCAGTGACTGTAGAAGAGTGTTTCTTCTGTACTCTGTACTCTGAGCAAGCAGGCGGATGCTGAGATGCAGCTACTCCTCCCAAATACCAACTATCTTCTCAGCATTGATCAAGCTCTCGACATCCCCAACCTGCTTGCGCTCAGGCACTTCCCGGTTGCGCATCCGTGCCCGGACGGCTTGAATATTCATCGGCGTCAATCCTTGGGATGGTGGTGGATCCGGTTCCGTGTAGAAGGGGTGAAGACGGTGGGAAGTGGTAAACCGGACTCGGCCATCCCTCATGACTGGTAATTGTCATTGCAGGGGTTCCGAACTCGAGGATAGTCGGTTGAGATGAAGGTAGACATCAGTTCCGTATCTATTACAGTCAGTAGGATATCAAAAAAAAAAAAAAAAAAAAAAAAAAAAAAAAAAAAAAAAAAAAAAAAAAAAAAAAAAAAAAAAAAAAAATGAAGCGGAAAGAAACGCACCCTTCCATGCTGATCAACTTGAGATCTCCACCAAAGTATCGAGCATAGAGTCGACTGATAGGCAATCCATAACCGAAACCAGCCATTGGTGCCTTGAAGTCACTCTTGTCGAAGTCCGGGTCCAAACTGGGAGTTTCTTCCACAGTGGTGTACATGTACGTCCAGACCAACGGAATGGCCGATCGCGCAATGCCACCACCCTCGTCAGAGACCTTGATCGTGATGTCCTCCTTGCCTTCAGCGATAATAACCTTGGTAATAGGGAATTTCTCGGTTTCGGCTCCATGTTGTTCAACCACTGCACGCAGAGAGTTCTTCAGGGTTTCGAAGAGCATGTGCGACAAATGGCCTGGGACGTACATGAAGTTCAGGTCCTCTTTGCAGACAAGCTGCACCTTCGGAGCTTCGAACAGACCGTAGTAGTCCTCACACACAAAGCGCGCATTCTCGATGGCCTCGAGAGCGACTTCGCGCACGTTGGTCTTGGTACAGATGATGCCGACATAGTGTGGATGGCGAACATGCGTTTGCTCAGTCAAGGCGATGTGTTGACCAATTAACATTCGTATACCAATTCGCGACATGTAGAACCGATCGAGGAAGGACTGGACAGTGGAATCAATCTGCAAGCGTTGTCGTTTCCGTTTCCATTCGAGAATACCCTGGGCGACGGTGGTGACAACACTATCGTGACGACGTTTGATCTGCTGGAGAGTCTTTGCAAAGCGTTCATTGTAGTCTTTCAACTCAGGTGGCCAGTCGCCTTGATCATCAGACGGAATGAAATATCTGCGGGCAGCGGCAGCGGCTTTGCTGTGACCATTGCCATTCTTGCCATTCGACGTAGGAGAGGACCGGTACTGCCCTTCACGGACACTGGGATTCTGGGTGGTTTCGGAGAGGATCTTGGAAGCGCCACCATTCATCCGACCAGGCCGGAGCAGACGGGCTTTGACTTCTTGCGTCAAGGTGGGGCGGGGGAGGGTGATAATTTCCTGCGCCATGAGTCTTTTGCCTTGTATGGGTGGTATGAGGGGTTCATACCTCGAAAGATTGAGCGTACCAGTCCTGGACCTTTTTGATCGACGGCATTTCACTGAGACCATCGGGAAGTTGACCAAGGTCCTGGACACGGTGGGCAAGGCGAATGGGGAGTTCTTCGGACATGAATTGCGAGGCGCGAAAGAGGGTGCCTGTAACCACATGCGACACAACGGTCAGCTTGACAGCTGTCTGAGATGGGGACTAGGTCGCACATACCGGTTGAAGGTCTGTCACCAAATTGGACCATTTGGCGTAGAGAGACACCCGTGGCAGGGAAGCTGGCATAATGTCTGATGGTGTCCATCAGGCGCTCCGACGGCTTCCACATGGTGTCACAAGATCAGGCCAAAGGCCTGGAGAAGTTCAGAGCAATGCAGTAGTGTGTAGGTGGGTTCGAATTGAGAACGAAGAAGGATAGGTAGCCCAGGAATAGGGAGGAATGGTAAGAAGATGGCAGGAGAATCACGGAGCTCTCTTTCTACCGAGGTTGAGAGGCTCGGGACGGCGGGAGAGCAATACCCCGGAGAGGCAATCAGCTGATAGAAGCGTCAATGGAGATTCGGGAGGAATTATAGAGCATTTAGAGCAAGCTGCAGCCGAGAGGAAGCTCGCCTCTGAATTTGGAGAGAAGAATATAAGTTGAGAAAGAGGAGGAAGAAGAGGAGAAGAAGAAGCCGAGAAGCGGGAGGTGGGAATGACTCTACTTTGCGGAGGACCGGGGAAGTCACGTGTGGGGGGTTATGTCAGGTGATGCCTCAGCCCAGATTAGGATTCTTGGTATTGTGAGATATGCATAATAGATTAGAATAAGAGAAAATAAAAGAGAAGAAGCAAAGAGACCTGGAGGACGGAGTAGAGATGGTTTAAAATATATATGTAAAGGACACCGGCGTTGAGTCACCACTTGGCTCCCCTTTCGCCCGATTGACCGGGGAATATCAAGAAAAAAAACATATGATAGACTGAAATCATTGTCAATATAATGGATATTATGGGAATGGAAAACAAATCAATTGCATATGAAAACGAAGCTTTGCGAAGGATCAAAGGCGAGCCTGTATAACACGTGATTGCCGAGTCTTCTCTAGTATTATCAAGACTTAATAAGTATACAAACCAGATCCCGGAATAACTGTCATAGACTCTGATATACATTGAGATTCTCTCTGTGACATCTCCAGGGGCAAAAATCATTAATACGACCACTGCTTATGCTAAAGCAGGTCATCTCGGTTGTTGCGCGTAAATTTCTGCCACTTCCCAACCACCACAACCCACCACCACATCTTTTTTCAACATCCAGAATTCCTTTGGATTTCCCTTCTGGTCCACCCACAGAGACAATAATCTAAAAACTGGGGCTCGCTGATACCCGCCGTTGACGTCCGTTTTCCAGTTCGGTTTGTGCGGCTGTCACCACGGAGTCAAAAATACCCAAAAGGGGAAAAGCACACGCACACATTTTTTTTTTCTCCCTTTCTCGCTTTGTCTAACCCTCTCTCTCTTCTCTTTCCTTGTCTCCTCTTCTGTCAATTCTGACATTGACTCAAGGTCTTCGGATGTACGGTAATTCTGCTGCATCCCCGTTCTAGCTGCATCCGGGAATTTGACTTTAGTCTTCCGGCCAAATCAAACCGACACAAATCAACCCACTTACACACTTTAAAACTATACACACAATGTCTCGTCGACGGGCTTCTCACAGTGAGCAACTGTCTTCATTGTCGACTCTCAACGAGTCTCCGGCATATCCCTTTTCCAGCTCTCAACAACAACAACAACAGCAACAACACCAGCAACCACCCCGCCGGGGGCCCATTGAGGGCCCCAATGGCCGCCGGTTGATCCGGAGAGTCACCTGGCGGTCGTCGACGTACAAGCTCATGGCCTCGCTATGGGTTCTGGGCGTCTTTTATATCGTCTGGTTGATTCGCGACCTCTTCTATCTTCCATTCACCCCGTCCGATGGGGTATCAAGCCCGAAAGCAGACGAGTGAGTTTTCATCTCTTTCCGCATCTCCGGGTGTCTTCAGCCCCGCGATGGATAGCAACTCACAAGGCCAGTTTTCTGGCTCACTTCATGGGCCACCAGGAGTGTGGGATCTCATCTCTATCCCTCTACAATCATCCAGAGGTGGGCGATGAACATGGGTTCTGCCGCACCCGAGCCTCATTGCTCAGTGCCATGAGCAATGGTGGCCGTCATGGCTTTGATGCTGCATATACCTCACAGGGTAAGATATCGAAAGTCACCGTCATGGCCATTCACTGACAATAACAGGCTGTTCCTACAGGTGGTACACCACGGCGCAGATCTGTGAGGTGCTGCAAAAGTTCGACGGTATTGCCTTTGTGGGTGATGATACCATGACCAATGTGTATGCAGGATTCAATCTTCTCCTGCGAGAGAACTTGGCATCTGGCGCTCTGAAGGAATGGGACATGAGCCCTGAACAGCGCGAAATTTGTCGTTGTGACTCGCAGTTCACCAGCAAGTCCTGCTGGCCCCAGCGGGTCACTGCTAGTGACCAAGTGCCTGCTCAGGATGACACAGCCCTGACTCACAGTCCCTATGTCTGCTCGACCTGTAAGCGTACCACTATATTATTATAAACCTTCATACGCAGACGCTAATAACAACCCTCAATTTAGCTACCCCACATGCATACCTCTCGATTAGCGGCTCTCCGACCTCGAAAAGCGTACACGAAAAATTCCACCGGTTAACAAACCAGGGAGGTCACAAGAAGACCCTCCCCATCATCCATAGCCTTTCCCTCGCAACTTCGTATTCCCTATCCACTGCCCAAACCAGCATGGACGAATGGCAAGCTTTGACCAAAAGCACTGGCCACAACGCCCCATTCCTCTGGATTGGCCCCACCGCACTCGGCCACCAAAAGAAGCCCGCGGGTAGCGAGGACCTTCCTGCTGTGTGGCAATATGCCATCGATACGGCTGAAGCTGCGCACGAAAGGGGAATGGATGTTCTTGGCATGTATAATGCTACCTTGCAGGCGGATAGCTTCGATGGGACGCACTATGGAGAGAAGGTAGCTTTGATGCAGGCGATGATGGTAAGTACCCCACTGGCCGACTGCATAAAAGGACCGTTTAACTGACATTCGCATTCTAGGTGATCAACTGGTTAGATACTCTTTAGTTTGGAGTGCACTTTTCTATTATGGGCTTTCTTGCATGGCGTGATGATGATGGTTAGCATTTAGACCAGCGTAGGCGCGGATCCGGTTCTTTAAAAAACATATACATTGATTTGATTTACAGGCCAGCGTGTTCGTTGCAATTGGCGATCAATTGGGTTTATCTAGGGAAAATAAAAGTTGAATGAAACCTTTTTTTGATATGCAACTACAACATTAACTCGGAGAAGTCCACTCATGTAACCGCCATTGCTTCAAGATGTGCGGTCCCCATTCTGAAAACGAGGCAATGGTTCTGCTCCAGAATTTGTAATCGACGATATAACTGCATCAGTCAGCAGACAGTCACATACTAAGCCCTCTAATGACTAGTCATTTCTATTTTTCAGCATCCCAGAGAAGATTATCCAAGCCAAGCTATATTAAGCACCTCACAGCGTAAAAATTCCCTAATCCATCAGCCATTTGTTACCAGCCATCGTAATTATCAACAGTGTGAAAGAATAGAACATACTCATACGCCCTCAACGCCTTTCGAATCCCCTCCCTCTCTTCACTCCCCATCCCCGAAACTTATCACCACCAACTAGACTCCACGGAAAATAACTCATAGCAATATATAAGATATACCCACTCGGAACCCACATCTAACCCGACTGCTGGTTTTGATAATAATCCACCACGTTTGGGGTTGATTGGTATTGTCGTTGTGTGAGCTCTGCGAGTTCCCGGAGCTCGTTTTTGGTGCTTCTGGGAAGGGAGGAGGTTTGTTGATTCTTTCCTGTCTCTGGATCATCAAATTCAGTCTCTTTCCAGGAGATACTTCTGTTATCAGTATTCATTAATCTAGTTGGTATGGTGTAACACGCACTACATGTAAACCTTCACAGCACATTTCGATTCAGATATTTCCTTATCCTTAGAGGAAAACCGCTCAGGTGCTACTCAAGGCTGCGCCGTGGCTTACTGCTATTTCTTGAGGCTTTCAGGCGGATGTCTCGGAGAGCTTTTGCTTTAAGATCCAGGTTGTTGGTCTTTGCTGTGTTTGGACTGGGGAGGCGTGTTCGCTGCCTTCCCAGTGGTTTCTGAACTATTTCATTTCAATGTTGGCGCTGGTGTAGGAGTTGTTGGTATTGATGGGGTTAGGTGAACAAGAGATGTCTTCATTATTATAGTGATGATTAGGTTTTCATTCTACGAAGATATTAGACATGCTAACCCTAACTGGAACACTACCTGTTAGTTGCATCCGCAGCTCACCAACAGCTTAACAAGGCATAGCTTGCATATTTCTCACCTGTTCAAGTTTGCTTGCTTCGTTGCAAGATCCAGAATGTGTTCAAATGACTCCAGAATACCAGGAAGATTCACTACGTGAAGACAGCTATACTCAAACTTCTCATCATCACGGACACTCCGCTACATCGTTTGTGTTTGAGGAAAACCAAATCAAGTAACCATTTTTAGATCTGGTATCCGCGCTATATTCTCCCAGCTATGGTTAGAAAAGCGGATTAGTCTGCTTCGGATGTCCGAGGTGGAAGAAGCCAGACTTCATATGTAAATGGAGTGTTATTCTTATTGTTATTATTCCTATAATGGTATGAGCCGAAACGATAAGTCCGGAACGTGGTAGGTCATAGCCGAGTTCATCTACCATTCCTTGAAGCTGACCGCACTCTAGCACTACCGTAGACAGCCCGGAAGTCAGCCTCTGCTGATGCGCTATTGTCGCCTTTCTGATGCTGTCTGAATTATCAGTAGGATGAGCGCAGTTGGAAGGGAACTGCATATCCTTCTCCCCCAAGTTCCTGATTGATGAATCTCTAGGCAATGTAATCATATGGCTCATCAGTGCCTTCCTTGGTAGTATGGACTAAGGATCATGTCTCTTGTTCAGCTTATGCGCCTCAAAATGGCTTGGTGCTTACATTCCAGCCCTCATGTCGGTCAGTGTTGACTTGGGATCTGCTTTTTCATGCTGCAATAACCGTGCTAAAGGCGCATCTATTGGCTTGAAGAGCCATATAGTCACATCATTCATGCCTTGGTACTGCAGGCGCCCATTTGTGCCACAGACATCAAAAGCGTTCTTCAACGTTGCGCCACCGGTCTACTTTATATAAAAATTGCCCAATTGCAGTTGACAAAGCATTTCAAAGTGTGTCCTCCGTAGGCCCTTGCTCAGACTACGCCCCCCGAGACTCAGGGCGATGCTGCGATATCCGGTTTTTAGGGGGTCCGAGGAGGTTTATTTCTCAATTGAGAACAACCACAGGGTCAAGGATTCTAAAATCACCACTTGCCAGTCCGCATGCCGAGCCGATGGGGTAACCCATCCTCCAGGAGAGATACATGTAAGCCAGGCCATTGAAATTGGCGCATTTAGGAAACTAATCGTGGAATTGGCTGCGCCAGACACCTAAAAATAAAGGTTATTTTATGAAGACGTGTATTCATTCCCAAATGGGATAAATGCCATCGGTACTGCATCGAGAGCTCTCGCCTTTCTTGAGCCAGATCAGGAAGTTGTGGATTACTGGTAAGTGTCTTCTTCTCCTTCTGTAAAGTATGTATTGTTATTAACCATTACCCAAATGGCTATATGTAGGAACGAGACGAGTGATTAAAGGCAGTCGCTGGGGCAAAGCCACATTCTATTACGCAGGCAGTAAGAAAGAGCTGGGCGAGCTTGAGAAGTCCTTGGAATCAGGATGACGGGTCAGAGCGCTTTCTATGTCTTCCTAGGCAATACTCACCTCTCGTCCCAGGACTTGTATTACATTCATGAGTTGGCTGACAAGTATAATTTCATTGTGGCGTGTGGTGGCTCGGTTTGCAAATTCGTCAACACGGAGATCTTTCCATGGGCAGATATTCGCATGACAAGTTTGATCAGGATGTTCAGTGGGCCTTGTAATGCCGCGACTGGTAGGTAAGACTCTCATGCACCTTATAGAACACAGCCGGTGCCTCTTCTTACTGACGCCAATCATAGTATTGTGATAAACCCCCAATACCGCCATTACAATGCAATTCACACAAGCATCAAAGCGATTTACGAAGACATCTTCTTCCATCTCAACGCATCCGAGCTGAATTGCAGCTGCCTTGATGTTGTCAAGCGCATTTACCTCTCCAACAAAAAACAGTCTCCCACCCATCAGTTGCCCAAGTGAATTACTCATCCCTCGACCCCATGGCCCATATCTACGAGCGCCATCGTCGCCGCCCCCATGGTAGCCACAGCAAAGTGATCGCAATTGTCTTCCACATCCCAGAAAGCGTAGCTTATTTTTATAATGCTTTAAATGCCTGCAGGGGCTCTAGTTTTGGGGCAAATTTCACACTGGCTATCTCATTCGCGCAGGTAGTGCATCCGCATAAACTGGATTGGGTGGACGGTCATGGGGTGCCGATGCATATTGTGTGGATTAGTTTAGAACTTGAGGAGAAGGGGAATATCGTGCAGACGGTTGAGAGGGTGTTAGAGACAGTTGAGAGGTCAGAGGCTAAGAATCCAGCTGGACAAAGAACACGTGTTAGATGAAGAAAGTATGGTGTCACGGAGTATGGGCATTCACCAACAACGCAAGATGTTTGTAAACTTTGGCCTGTTTGAATATAGGGCAGGAACCCCCTTCGCACACTAGATAGCGCAGCGCTGGCAGGCCCAGCTTCCTTCTTTCCTTCTCCATGTTAGTATTTCGATAGAGAGTCTACCAATAAATTTATATTGTTCGAGACTGTCACATATGGCAGGGAAGAGAGAAGAGAAGAAGTAGAAAGTATTTACTGTCATATGAGTCTATTCATTTTTTACTATATTAGGGCTAATTTGCCTGATTCAGGAGCACACAAAAGCGGACCTTGGTTGGCCCTATATCTGGTTTCATTCTTAGATTCATACCCCGCTCCACCTATCCGACGAGCAAAGTGTACTTGCTGGGAAATTTTCCTGGAAGGGGCAACAGACCATCCAGGCCCTGGGGGCACTGCCAGATGCTGGCAGGCTCTGAAATACACGAAATTTAGAACAACCACAACTTCCCCAACACTACATGGACCTCAGGGGCAGCTAACCAGCTCCATTGAGGAAGAGGAAGCTCTGATTCGGGAAATAGCCTCCCCCCAGACGCCAGAGATCAATCAAGAGGGCGAAGCCGATACCTCACCAGGGTCCTGGCATGGTCATATTAATGAGGGAATAGTTAAACATGCTCTGTTCCACCAGGCAGTCCAAAAGGCCCCAGGAATTGACCGATTAAGCTTCTGGGCCCTCCGGCTCTTATGGGAGTGGGACAGCCCCAGAATTGTTGCTCTAAACCGATAATGCTTCCGGCTAGGTCTACATCCACCAGTGTGGAAGGTGGCAAAGGGCATCCTGCTAGGAAACTCAATAAGCCGGACTACACAACTGTGAAGGCCTACCGGGTTACTAGCTTACTAAACTGCTTAGGGAAGGTGGTTGAGAAGGTAGCAGCAGATGCAATTGTCCACCACTGTGAGACTATGGGAGTATCACACCCAGGGAAGATGGATAGTCGCAAACAATGAAGTGCAATTGATGCCGTAGCATGCCTGATACAGAGCACCCATGAGGCCTGGAAGTACCAACAGCTCGTGGGAGCACTATTCCTTGATGTGAAGGGAGCATTTAATCATGTCAGCCCAAGCCGACTGATAAATCGATTGTTCAAGTTCAACCTGGATGGGGACCTGATTCAATGGGTGCAATCCTTATTAACTGACAGATGGGTCTAGCTGCAGATTGACAACACACAGTGTCGGACACAGCCAATCAATGCAGGTGTACCACAAGGCTTACCAGTGTCTCCCATTCTGTTTATCATCTACCTCAGTGGTGTGTTCGATGTGGTTGAGAGGAGTATAACTGGTGTCCAGCCTCTTTCTTTTGTAGATGATATAGCTCTGCTTGCCTCAGGACATTCTGTCAAAGATGCCTGTGAAAAAATGCAAAAAGCAGCCAAGGTGGCTAAAAAGGGCGTGATAATGTAGTCCAGTTTGATGCAGAAAAAACAGAAGCAGTACTGCTCACTCGCAAACGGGACCGGGAGCTGAAATATCAGATTCAACGAGCACGAGTGGAAGTAGATGGCCACTGTGTGCCCTTCAACCCAGAAGCAACCCGATGGATTGGTGTCTGGATTGACCCCGGCCTATATCTCAAGGCCCAAGAGGATGCAACCTGCAGAGATTATGACTTAAGGGAAACAATACAATATATTTTCTTTGAATGCCGAAAATGGCGACACCAACGGAACAAGCTCTACAAGGATTTAGAGATAGATGGAATTATGAAACCTGCTGCAGCAGAAGAGCACTCGCAAGGACGACTTTTAGGAGAGCCCAGAGCTACCAGGGCGCTGCTACAGTTCCTGGCCAGTACCAGCATAGCTCTACTCCGAGCACACCTACAGCGAACGGCGGAAAGGGCCCAAAGAGATGACGAATGGACTGGAAGCATTGGAAGTGGCAGTTAGAACAGGAGAAGGATAGCAAGGGAGGGGGAGGTAGCCTAAGTTGAATCCCAGCTTAGGCCACACCCACCCTGTTCTAAAACACAAGGAGAGCACTCTGCTCGAAAGCCCTGCGCATACAGGCGGTTTGGGGCGAGGAAAAGGACCAAAAACATTATAAAGGGAGCCAGGGTCTCAGGAACTAATAGGGATAAGACTGTAGAATAGCTACCGGTCTCAAGTCCACGAATATGGTCTGCCATAGCTCTAGGGCTTGATATGGACAATAAACTTGATTAACTGATGATAATACCCCGCTCCACCAAAAATTCCTCCTCCATTACCCACCGAAGCAACTCATCCCTCTTAAATTGCTCCATCGCAGCCCCCTCCAACACAAACCTCAACTCAAACGCCTGCTTCGCTGTCCTCTTAACATCCCCCAAATCCTTCGCCGGCAAAACCCAGCAAACCCCCTTCACCTTAGTCTCCGGGGTGTCATACTTCTGCACCTTTCCCAACGACCAAAGTCAAGATAAAAACCCATCCACCACAGACTGGACACAATAATGCTTCGGCCATAGGCGGGGAAGAAAGTAGTCATGTCGCGGGTGTCTGCGATGGTGCGTAGGATACCGCCGATGTAGGGCTCTGTTAAGGCGGTGATTTCTTTGCGGAGGTTGCAAGCTATGTTTGCTAAACGAGTGAAGTTGGCCGTGGCTAAAATCGCAGAGAACCCATCGGGAAGAGTGTCTTCTGGAAGAATGGATGCGTCATAGGACGCTTCAACTGCGGAAAGGGCATTTCCAGTATATGTCGCAGGGAGGAGGTATGGTTTGCGGACCCCCGGCATGCCACCTACGGGGAGCTCCTACGAGGTATCAGCCAATTAGCCTGGGTGTTGAAAGATATGGGAGTGCAAAAGGGCGATATAGTCACTATTTACATGCCCAATATTCCGAGGCGATAGTCGCAATGCTAGCCTGTGCTCGGATTGGAGCGATTCACTCGGCCGTGTTCGCGGGATTCCCTGTGCCAGCATTGCGTGGGCGGATTGAGGATGTTTGCTCCAAGATAGCCTTGATAGTTGACGAGAGCGTGAGTGGGGGAAAGGCTATTCCCATGAGGCGCATTGTTGATGAGGCACTGTCTATGTACGACAAGGACCATCTGGTTCAGTGTCTTGTGCTCAAGAGGACCGGTAGCCCCATCCCTTCGCCTCCGGGAGGCAGTGATCACTGGTGGCATGGAGAAAGCGCCCAATGGCCTAATTACATTGCGCCGGAGCCGATGGATTCTGAGGACCCGTTGTATCTGCTGTATATCTCTGGCTCGATGGGGAAGCCGAAAGGCCTCCTTCATTCGATGACTGGATACCTGTTAAACTTGCATCCATCAGACACCATGTTTTGTGCGGGGGATGTGGGTTGGATCGCCGGGAACAGTTATCTTGTTCATGTTCCGCTTTACGAATGATGAAGGAACGCCCAAATGGTGTCAGCAAAAGCATGGACAATTAGACAGTTATTGCCTGTATCGGGGAACCATTGGCCTCGAATGTATAAGAGTGATGCTATGAAATGATCCGTAGAGACCAGGTGCATGTCCTGGATGTAAGTTTATTAACCAAATAATCTCAAGAAATACTAACTTCTCTACAGACATACTTCCAGACAGAAACAGGATCGCATGCCTTTTCATCTCTCGCCGGAGTCTAACCCATCAAACCCGGCACAGCGGCTTTGCCTTTCTTTGATACCAATCCAGCTCTGATTGATTCCATTACTGGGGAGGAGATTGAAGACAATGACACAAAGGGCGTTCTAACATTCAAACAAGCTTAACCAAGCATAGCACGTACCATCTGGGGTGATCACAGTCGGTATTTAAAGATTTACTTCGAGGCTTACCGCAGATACTATGTGAGGACTCCTCAATCTGGTGAGACCATCATGTTGATCAAAAGCAGGCGACCGGTGACGCTTCCTATCAAGACCAAGAGGGTTATTACCGGGTCCCGGGCTGAGTAGGCGATGTGGTCAATGTGTCTGGACATAGACTGTTAACTGCTGAGATTGAGTCTGCTTTGCTAGGCCATGGTACGTTCCTGCTGCTGACCTTTCACCAATCCACTACTGATGGTTATCATTTCCCTGGCTCATTCTCTGAGATTGCAGTTGCTGGGATTTCCGACGACATGACCGGAAAGGCTTTGAGCGTGTTTGCTTGTCTCAAGGACAGCATTCAAGATGACAAGGAGTAACTGAAAGCGTCTGCCAAGCAACAAATCGGAGACATGATCGGACGATTCGCAGTTCCAAGGCGCGTCTCCATTATGAGTAATCTTCCAAAACTAGATCTGGGAAGATGATGAGACTAATATTGAGAAAGGTCTTGGAGGGCGAGAGGCAAGACTTTGGAGATACACCCACTGTGCTCTGCGCGGCGCAGACTTCATATATGTTTTTGGTGGATGATATCGCTAGGGAGTTTTTGGCGGAGTTGCAGTCGTTTGGACAGAAGTAAATACCTCTTCTTAGACAACGGATACGGATAGCTGACTTTGAATGAATCCCATAATCATCCCATCCTTGACGCCTTCGACGGCCACCTGCGCCATCTGGCTAATTACTACGGCCCCTACTGCTATGTAGCTATCATCAAGATTCTCTTTGGCTACATCAACGGCCGTATAATCGAGCACAAAATGGAGCAGTCCAATTTCAAGTTCCACTCCGAGTCGCGGCTCATGCCCGTGTTCCTGCGGACTAAAGTCGGGGGATGCTGAGATCCTCCTGCATCTCCTGTGGCCAAAGTCCGCCTTTCCTGAGGAGGATATCTGATGCGGTAATCTCCGGTTATGCAGGAGTTGATGCTGTTTACGGACTTCACGAATGATATTTTGTCATATTATAAGGAGTTTATCTTGCATGGCGAGAGGGGGAACTTTGTGGAGAATTTCGCGGATACGCATGGGATGCAGCAGTTGGATGTGTTGCAGCATTTGACTGGTTATACACCAAAGGTTTGTGATATTCTCTCCCGCTCTTTGATTCATCGTATGCTGACTTCTGCAATTGCTCAAGTCTGTCTATTTGATGCTCGACAGCAATGAAGATTTGTTGCAGACTGAAGAATTTTGTCACGGGTTGGATTATGCTTTGTACGGCCCATCGCCGGTATTATCTGGCCGAGTTTTCGAGGATGAGCAGTACCTCCAACCGTACGATGAGGATGCATAGATGAACACTATATGCCAATCAGTAACATCATTCGTTAGAGATAGTTGAGCGATTGCTATGCAGACCAGCATAGAAATATAGATAAATTTTTAAATTCAAACCATCTATGTATCTACAAATCCAAGAAATAAAACCAATTGAACCATCAGACCCCTTCCCTTTTTGTCCTCATACATCGTAAAACATTTGTATAAATTTGCACTTGTCCCTCAGACCGAGTCCTTTCCTGGTAGATGGATCAAATGGATGTGCTGCTCTCTGCAATTATGTGCGATCATCCTACCCCTTTATATCCAAATTAGACGTGCAGGGCAGAAGTCTCCGCCTTGGCTAAGGCGGCTTCGTACGGCTTGAGTGCGTTCTTCACCTCGGTTGAGACGAACTTCTCGACCTGCTGGGGGGCACGGCCAGTGAAGGTGCTGGGGTCGAGGAGGGCGTCCAATTCGCCTAGGATGGGGGCAAAAAACTCGGTGCGACGGATACGGTCTAAGAGGTCGTTGTTCTTGCCGTGCTTCTTGACGTTATCGGCGGCTTGGTGAGAGAGGACACCTGTGACTGTTAGCGCAAGATCTTCATATTCGATTTATAGTGTAATTTACGGATCTCCTCGTGGGCGTCCTGGCGGGACAGTCCCTTCTTCACGCAGGCCATGATGACGTTCTCGCTAGAATACAGTTAGCCGCGTTTCAAATTTCAGGTAAAAGCAGCGATAACCCACGTGGCCATGAAAGGAAGCTCATCGTTCACACGACGTCTGATGACCTCAGGGTAGACAACGAAACCGGAAGTGATGTTGTTCAGAAGGATGAGACAGGCATCGGCGGACAGGTAGAGCTCGGGAATGCTGATACGACGAATGGCACTGTCATCCAGAGAACGCTCAAACCACTGGGCCGAGTAGGTGTCAAGAGCGTCCTTGGGAAGGTTCTGAAGGTGTCTTCCGAGCGAGCACAAACGCTCGGACCGCATAGGGTTACGTTTGTAGGCCTGCACAGGTCAGTATTTGCACCAAGGCTTGGTCTGGTAAACAGAGTCGTAATTCCTGCATACCATGGCACTGCTTCCAATTTGGTCCTTCTCAAAAGGCTCCTCAAGCTCCTTAAGCATAGCAAGGTGACGGATGTCAATACCGATCCGTTCGCATGTCGAACCGAAAGAGCCAAGGGCGTTGGCGACATCAACATCGATCTTTCGCGAGTATGTCTGGCTGGAGATGATGAAGGCGGAGTTAAAACCAGCCTTCTCAGTAACAAGCTCGTCCAATTGTTCAACCTTGTCGTGGTCACCGTTGAAGATCTGGAGGAAAGAGGCCTGAGTACCAGTGGTACCCTTGACACCACGGAAGCGCAAGTCATCACGCGCCCGCTCCAAATTGCGCAGATCCATCAGCAAGTCCTGGATCCACAGCGATGCACGCTTGCCAACCGTCACGAGCTGCGCGGGCTGTCCATGGGTGAAACCCAGGCAGGGCAAGTCCTTGTATTCATTGGCAAATGCGGCCAACTTGTCAACCACAACGGCGAGCTTGGGGATGAGGATGTCGAGACCGTCACGGAGGAAGATAAGATCCGCATTGTCGGTGCAGTAGCACGAGGTAGCACCCCAGTGGATGATACCGGCAGCGGCGGGGGCGACTTGACCGTAGGCGTGGACATGGGCCATGACATCGTGTCTCCGACGCTTCTCCTCCTCAGCGGCAACAGCGAACTCGTCATCTTGGATAGTGAGGTGAGCCTTCATCTGCTCAATTGCCTCGTCGGCGATCGGGAGACCGAGTTCTGCGATTGATTAGCCTAGGCCCCGGACGAAGGGCAAATCTAGCAAGAGAATAAGTACCTTTCTGAGACTGCGCAAGCCATAACCACAGGCTTCTCCAGGTTGAGAAACGGTTTCTGGGTGAAAAGAGATACTTCATCTCCGAACCTATCACCCCGCCCTATTAGTACGGAAACGGAGATCACATGAAATTGAAGACTTACTCGAGTATCTCGAGTTCAGAGGAGTCTGATAGAAATCATTGCTGGTAGCCATCCTGTCAGGAAGGTGAAGGTGTCTGAGGGGGGAATGCAAGACGAATTGGAGGGAAAGAGGTGGTGCAGAAAAGGTCGACGAATTTTTTCTCTTTTTCTTGATTTGGAGGGATTGGCGGGGGTCTGGAGGCCGCTTATCAGTCACGTTATCAGGCGGGACCAGCAGATCAGTCAGGTGATATGGTTCTTGGCAGTATTGCCGGAATAAGGTGATTGTGCAAATGATTATGGATTAAGACTATCAAGTAGACTAGTAGATAGGAATAATGCCGGAATAGTGCATCTAAGCCAAAGCTGCCAGTTGCGCAGACAGAGACGTCTTGTCGTACTTGACGTATTTGCCTCTGCCTTTGTCGACCTCATGGTACCGGTCCCAGAAACGTGCATACAATGGCTCCAGAACAGCCTGTATCTCGCGTGCCAACACAGAGCGCACCTCTCGTTCCATATAGAGCGACTTATGCCTCGATACCAGCTCGTCGAAGCTGGCATTGAAGGATTTGAATTTGTCCTTGATAGCGTCTTTGTCCTTGGAATGGAGTGACTTGAGAATAGCAGCCGAGTCCACAGCGCCACTCGATGTCGGCCTGGTTGAGCTGCCCGCTCCTCGAGAAGTATACTGCACATCGAGAAGGAAATGTGACGTTTCCTTCCAGGCATCCAGATAGGTGGACGTAGCACGCTTCCGGAAACTATCAACTCGCGCAATACTGTCTGGTGACCCAAGGTAGCGCGCTAACTCGGGGCTCTGTCGGATGAAGCGATCGACAATACAGAAGACATTAGAGAGGAAAACACCTTGAGCAGCCTTTGTGCGATGGAAGTTACGGCCCCGTGTCTCAAGTGAAAACAGGAGAGCCTCAATCATATCCAAGATGAAATGCGATAAAAGCGTCGAGCTGTCAGGACTGACATCTAATGGAGCAGTGCCCGATGTGTTCGATGTGAAGCGCCAGTTCCCATCTCCAAGGGACGTCAGGATGGAAGCCAGCGGCCCAGAATAGGCAGTCAAGGTGGACAGCGAGCTCATGACTTCGTTGACTAGCGGTACAGTTCCACCATCAGGTGGAAGAACAGGGAGATTCGACGCCTTGCGTTTTGTCTCCTCGAGCAGTTCAGACAAGGATGATTTCGCGGTTTCACGGACGGGCCTAAGAGCTTCGATGAACAAGCTTTTGAGCTCTCCAGTCTTTGATTCCACACGATATGACATGGCCGTAACGATCTCAATAATCTCAAAAGCGAGGAAGCAATCCGTCATAAGATTAGCTTTGATGTATTGGTTGAGTTCACGCAACGTCTTCGAATACTCGGCCATTGCCGAGCGGCACGTTGCCTGCAGGGCCAATCCCCGTTGATCTCCTGTGAAAAGTTGCGATATGTTTTCATGCTCCGCATATATGAAGCCTTCCAGCGCATTGGAATAGATTCCGATACCGTTGGTGCCCTGCTTGTATGGACCATCAGTAGCCCTTCGCTTGACAGTATTGAGCGATGCTATGGCAAGGTTTTGTAGGCTCGAATTGATGTACGGTCCGCGAATTTCGGCATATATCTGCAATGCGGGGTTGTCATCTTCGTTTTTCCGTGATCCATGGTTGGCTGCTGAGCTGATTGCCGCGCATATAGGGGCGAGTTCGGCGAGAGTGTCTTCGGGAATCGATGGGAACGGAAGTTCTGAGAGCCGGAGAAGAACATGTAAGCTATTTTTTCCCTCTTTCATACATTTTAATCCCAATAGTAGCACATACCTTTCGTCAAATAGTGTAGGGGTTCGACAGGAGTAACATGATCGCTCAGCATGCCGCGGAACATGTCTTGAAGCTTCCCGCTCCCCGTGTTCAATAAACCAGTAAATTCTGAGATGGCTTTTTGATTAGATTTCAAGTTCGTCGAGCTAAGGTCCACAAGCGCCTTTTCCACGCGCCTCATCGCCGTAAGGTACTGCGACAACCCAGCGCTCTCCGGGCTTTATTAGGAGTCAGCAAATAGTTCAACCCAGCTAGGTACTAACTGTCAAATACTCACCCATCACGGATGACACCCTCTTCCCGGCCCTTCGCATCGAGCGGTTGGCGAAGACGTTCAATAGCTTCATTGACCTTGTCGATATTGGTGTTGGTAATTTGGAGCGACTGGGTGTTGCTGTAGATCGGCCCAATGGCATGCTTCACCACATTTCCTCCAGACTCTAATCGGACCATCGAGCCCTGAATCTTCTTCGTGAGGACATTGAGCTTATCGAGGTTGGCGTATAGCACTTCCACCTCTGCGCTCTCTTCCGCGAACGCCGTATTTCTGGGGGCGACCATAGTCGGGCGAGTCGAGCGAGTCGGTTCCCGCGATCAGTATGAGATAAGTACAACAAATATCCTCATGCCTCAAGGCAGGCGTAGACGTATTATACCAACATGGTAAGTTCAATAACAATAGATGCGATTCAACTCAGGAGGCTCCGGGCCCCATAACGCAAGCAATACAGTAGCAATGCTGCATAATCATCAATCTTGTCCTCCTGTTCATTCTCCGCAATTTTAGAGCTAGTCCCAAAACGGCTAGTCTCGGCCCGTCTGCCGTTCCGACGAACATCTCACGTGACATTTCGTCATCGTGGCATTCGTCGTTGATCAATGAAACCTGGCAGAGAAAAGGTTGGAACCACAGTGGCTCAGGGGCCCAATTGACTCGACTGGAATGGCAACAAGAGGAATTGGATGCTGCCCTCGCTTCGCTTTTCCTCCTCGCAACGGAGTGCCCAGGGCAAGATGGGTATTGCTATGCTACGTTCTCGTTGGACAGCCCTTCCTGCCACCCTAGTTGTGGGTACTGGGACGCTGTATGCGACGGGAGATCCGGCTCAGTTGAAGTTGAACAGACAATCATTTCCTATAGACCAGAGACCTGCGTTTTCTACTACGACTCCGCGAGACGCTTTCTACCCGTTCAACAGGCATAGTGCGGGCGATTCGGGTGGGAACAATGCAGACAAAGACTCCGAAGAAGCGCACCACGACAATTCTATGTGGACGAGGATCTTACACAAGTTTGGTGACGTAAAGCAAGCTGTTGGTTCAAATGAATGGATGGATATCGATATCAAGCAATATATTATCCCAGACTGGACCAAATACTTGCCGGGCACAGTCCAGAAGCTTCAACGGGAGCTCTCGATGTCTCCTGGATCCCTGGCTGACGAGATATGGCGGGAATCCAAAGATGCGGACATCAACCCAGAAATTCTGCGAGAAGCTAGGGTCCGTGTTGGAGACACTCTGTGTCCTGAGGAACAGGCGTTTCGGAAAAAGCGACAACAGCACGCGGTGAAAGCACTGGCAGCCTATCTTGACATCCCCGAGGCAGATATTCACCCCGAGGATGTTCCAATTATCGCCATGTGTGGCTCCGGAGGAGGGCTACGTGCCCTTGTGGCCGGTACAGGCTCATATCTTGCCGCACAAGAGGCGGGTCTCTGGGACTGCGTCACCTATACGGCCGGGGTTAGCGGAAGCTGTTGGCTGCAGACGCTATACCACTCGTCTATCGCTCAGGGAAATTTCGACCGCTTAATGAACCATTTAAAAAGCAGGCTAGGTGTGCATCTCGCATTCCCGCCCAAAGCCCTCAGCTTGCTCACAACAGCTCCCACGAACAAGCATCTATTAAGTGGGATGATCGAGAAGCTGAAAGGCGACCCTGGTGCGGACTTTGGGTTGGTGGACATTTATGGAATCTTGCTTTCAGCAAGACTGCTCGTACCCCGTGGCGAACTCGGAGTATCTGATCGCGATCTCAAATTATCAAATCAGCGGCTCAACGTCGACAACGGAGTCCATCCACTCCCGATCTATACAGCTGTGCGTCATGAGATTCCAATCCTTGAGGAACTCCAAGACGATTTAAATATGCAAAGACGTCGAAAACCAGAGAAACTCATCCAGGAGTCCAGAAGCGAGGCGTGGTTCCAGTGGTTCGAGTTTACCCCTTACGAGTTCTTCTGCGAAGAGCTTGGCGCTGGTATACCAACCTGGGCGCTAGGAAGACACTTCAACGAAGGCAAGGATTTATTTTATAGCGGAGAACTCCCAACTCCAGAGACCCGTATTCCTGAGTTGATGGGCGTATGGGGAAGCGCTTTCTGCGCAACTCTCTCTCATTACTACAAGGAGATACGGCCAGTGATCAGAGGCATAGCTGGGTTTGGCGGCATTGACTCTCTGATCCAAGGAAAGACAAAGGACCTCGTTCGAGTCCACCCCATCGACCCAGCTACTATACCAAACTACGTGCTGGGTATGAAGGATATGCTGCCAAAGTCTTGCCCAGAGTCAATTTTTAAGAACCAACACCTCCGTCTTATGGATGCAGGAATGAGTAACAACCTACCGATCTACCCACTCCTCCGACCAGGCAGAGATGTAGACGTTATCGTCACCTTCGATGCATCAGCCGACATCAAGCGCGAGAACTGGCTCTCTGTGGTAGACGGTTATGCACGACAACGCGGCATTAAAGGCTGGCCCGTAGGAGCCGGCTGGCCCAAAGAAGAGGACAAACCCGAACAAACCTCTGAAATCCTCCGCGAACCCCAAAACATCAGCGATGAATCCCTAGACTCCAAGATGACCCGCGCCCAACACGAAGACAAAAACATGCACGGCCGCAACCTCAAAATCCCCCGCACAACCGAGTCCAACAACGAAACGAACCCAGCAGGAGACCGCCCCGCCGCCTCAGACACGGACCTCACCTACTGCAACATCTGGGTGGGCACAATGCAAGAGCGCGTCTCGGGAGATGAGCCACCACCGTCAAAACGCCTCTTCCACCCACAACACGAAAACCACGCCGAATCAGACTTCCGCCTCATGCGTCCCGACGCAGGTATCGCGGTCGTCTACTTCCCCCTCCTCCCCAACAGCTCTGCACCCGAGTTACCACAGGGTTCAGCCATGTCGCGGTCTCCAGCCCCAACACGCACGTTGCAGAATTCAACGATTGCCAAAGAGATCTCTGATCCTGCGCGGCCGATGGCACCTCATCCGGGGTCTATTGATCCCGACGTCGATGATTTTCTGTCGACCTGGAACTTTGTGTATACACCGGAGCAGATTGATTCGGTGGTTGGGCTTGCGAAGGCGAATTTCGCGCAGGGCGAGGAGCAGATGAAGAGAGTTATTCGAGCTGTTTATGAGAGGAAGAGGTCTGATCGGTTGAAGAAAGAGGAGCAGGAGAATAGGAAGAGGATGGAGGGGTTTGTACCATTATAGTCTTTTTGGTTTTGTTTTGGTTTAAAGTGTAATATAGGCTTGGATGAAGTTACGTAAATGCAGCATACGAATTAATAGGGTCAAATCTTGCAACTTCTCATGAACATAGAACTCAACAACTTCTTTTCTATATACAACACTCAACATTGCAAAGTCTCATCAACATGTCGTAGAGATCGGATCACAAACAACAGTTGTGTTAATGTTCATCCATGAGGTATTGTCAAGATAATGTAGTACCAAACGAACAAAAGCACAAAGAACGAGAAAGGTCAACCCAAACGCCAGTTTTTGAATACCCGGAATTCCAATATCAATAAAAGCAATATTAAGATCGGACTTCGTCGCTTCGTCAACGTCCCTATCCAAGTCCTTAACGACGTTGTGTCTTGCCGATTGTGCGCTTTCCGGCGAACTGTAACGTAATTAGTATATGAATAAGTATCAAAAGAAACAAGCGAGGGAAACATACCAAGTGCTTCGGCAGCGATGCCGTCGTGTGTCTGTCTGCTTCTCCTGCTCTCGCCATCCGGTTCATCTTCTTCTGTCCCAGCTTCTTGAGACGGTCGGCCTTGGTGCGCTGCTCTGCGTCTTGAACACCATCCTCCAGACGGTTCGTAGCTGCCTGGCTGCGAGCGCGGGCCTTGGCCTTGGCAATCGCCTGGCGGGGGTCTGCGTCGACATCCATAGCATCGCCGTCGTTGTTGTCGTCCGTGTCGCGAGTAAGCGGGCGGCCGCGGGTCTGGCTCTGTGAACGGGCACGGGCAGCAGCAGCGTCGACATCGTATCCGGCAGAGTCCAGGGCTTTCTCCATCTGGGAGAGCTTCTTGGACTTGGCAGTACGGGGGATCTGGGCGCGGTTCTTGAGGGATTTGCGCATCTTGGCCTCGTTGCGCATCAGTACGCGCTTCTCGCGGATCAGGTCCGCTTTCATGCGGGTGTCCGCCTCCTCTACATCTTCGATGCTCTCGTCGGACTCGTAGTATCCGTCCTGCTCCAGTTTCTCTTCTTCCTCTTCCAGAGTAGCGAGCTTGGCCTCGATATCCGGGTCCACAAAGTCGTAGACGTTCTTGCCGTTCCAGACTTCGGGGATCTTGTCGTGTTTCCACTCGTCGTCCGCCAGGTCGTAGGTCTTCTTGAGGTCGATGTTGTAGACACCAGCACCACCGTTCTCTTCTTCGATGTCCCGCTCGAGCTTCTTGCGCTCCGGGTCGTCCTTGTCGTATTTCCTCAGGTTCTTCACAGCATCGGGAATGAAGGTCTCACGTTGCACACCACCCGTAGGCTGAGCGACGTGGATACGGGAAAGGACATCGCCAAGTCGGCCACCAGGGGCACCAGCGCTGTTGGAACCAGACTTGAGTTTTTGCGAAACTCTCTCAGCCAGAAGCTTGTCGCAAGCAGCGTTCTTCACCCCAGTCACACCTTCGGTGGTGGTGCAAGACACCTGCAAGATTTCAACATCTCCGGAGTTGAGGATGTTCTGGATCTCTTGCTGGTACTCGGGCTCCAAGTCCTCTGGCCGTCTGACATCGATCTTGTTGATCACAAGGAACACAATCTTGTTGGCAAAAAGGGGTCGAATGCTGTGGAAGAGCTTGATCTGATCGGCAACGGAGTATCCACACTGCTCGGACAGATCCATGAAGTACATAATGGCGGAACGAAGGTGAGCAACTGCGGTAATGGATTGCATTTCAATGGTGTTCATTTCCTCCAGAGGGTGATCCAGAATACCAGGGGTGTCGATGGCCTGGAACCGCAGGTACTTGTAATCAAAATGCCCGACGAACAGACTCTTCGTCGTGAAGGCATAAGGCTGAACATCGACATCGGCACGGGTGACGCTGCGCAGGAAGCTGGACTTTCCGACGTTAGGGTAACCGCAAATCAACAGGGTCCGAGTGTTGGGATCAATCGATGGCAGACGACCCAAGTGCTGGCGGACCTGCTCCAAGTAGACGAGAGGATCTTTCAAACGTCTGCAGATGGTGGCCATACGACCCAGCGCAGCGCGCTTAAGCTGTTTGCACTGGAACAAAGACTGCGCATATTTAATCAAACGGACGTAGTCGCGGGAAACGGTTTCGATGAGGTGCTTGGCAGTTGAGACCTGACCCAGGGCGATCTTGAAATGGTCGGCATCGTAAAGAGTGTTCATCAAATCCTTGTCTGGAGGCAATTGGTCAGAAAATGTCCAATCAGCAGAACCTGATAGTCCCGGGCGCCTTACGGAAAGGATGAATATCCTGCAATCTCGGGAATCCATCGAGAATTCCTTGGAACTTCTCGCAGAAAGTCTCCTGTGTGTACTTGACTTTCCTGGTATAGAAACCTGCATGGCAGAAAAAAAAGATTTTTTATCAGCGACCAATTTCCAACCCAGGATTTTATCGCATCCGCGACGATTTTTAATGCAACATATTGGGTCGCCGAATACCTCGAATACGGCTGATCTTGAATCCAGCACGAATCTGCGTAGGAAGCTGTCGCTGAGTGCGACTCAGGACAATGTCCAGGAATTCCTGGCTGGTAGGCACAGGTGCAATCTAATTGAGCGGCGAAAAATTCGCAATTAGTAAATTGCCATCACCACGACTCGCCATCTAAATTGACGCATATGATAGCAGGTAAAAACTCACATCTTTCCACGTCGTCTTCATGATGGGTCGAGTCGAAATCACTGTAAAACGACTCTTGAATGCTGATTGTTGTTGTGAGGACGAAAAAAGTTGGATGGGCGGGAAAAAAATTGCTAGGCGGTGGGCTATTCTGCTGGGCGGTGAGAGTGTTACTAACCTACTCCGCAGAGATACTGTTACTACAGAGTGCAGCGTACAATTTAAGAGTTTATGTTATAACAAAAATCATTCATATCGTCATGTACATTGCTACTACCGTGCACTATGGTACACCAGATAACCACCCTGCTTAACCTGGACATCATAGAGTTAGTCGTCATAGCCCAGCACGAAACTCCGTTGCTCTTAGATTCCTTGGACCAGCCCTGTAAAACCAAACCGCAAATAAACGTGAAAAAGGAGAAAAAGGAAAAAAGTACGAGTCAGAAAGAAGTAATGCAACCGACAATTTCCATACCACCAAGCGATGCAGAACGAAATAAGCAGTCGTTTAAGAAGATAAAAAACATATCACTCATCCATGAGTTCCAGCGACTAAATCTATCAGTCTTGATTCAATTACAGAGGGAGAGACAGAGCCTTACCATATCATACCAACCGCCGCCGCCATACTTGCACTCACTAGGTCCACGGTTCTCGAATCCCAATACCTCGTAAAAAGGCACCAGGTTGTCGTGTGCAATGAGAACAATGCGATCAGCAATAGCGGCTTCCTTGATCCGCTGAATGTAAGACTTCATCAGAGTGGTACCGACTTGCTTGTTTTGGTGCTCTGGAAGCACCGCAAGCGAGTGCACAGCAATGGTGTTGCTGTATTCATCATGACCAACTGTCTCTCCATTCTCAACGGTCAACCGCTCGTTCCTCCAGTTGATGGGCATCTGCATGGAGTGGTCTGTCACACGAGGAGCCGAGGACCGAGTGGCGACAACATGTCCCACCAATGTCGCGCGAGGTTTCGGTTCTCCCTCTGGGATAACAGGGAGAGTGAAGAGACCTAAGGAGAGTTCGGGGCACTTGTTAAGACGGTATAGGAACTTGGAAGAAGAAAAAGTATTGTCAGTAAGAGTAATAATGCACAGCGATGCCTCTGGTCACACGGAAAAGCCAAACGGGTCCCATGGGCACAAAATGAGATTTTCCGGGGGGGGGAAAGAAGACATCGTATCCTTTCCGCAACTATAGCACAGGGTCCGTTTTCAACATACTTTTTCGCGAGAGCAGCGCTCAGGTTCCGGAAGGGAATTCTCCACTTGGACACAATCATCGACATTGGATACGGAGAGGACCTGAACGAACGGGTGCAATTCATCCAACTGGGTGCGCTGGTGCACTGGTGGACGGCGGAACCAATAGGAGAAATCACTGGTATCATCATGGTCGACAGCAACGTAGCCCTCATCCATATCTTCCTCATCATCGTCATCAACGTCTTCGAGAGGTAGGCCCGAGGCCATGGCGGCTCCGAGACGCGGATCCATTCGAGCGATATCATCCGCGGTCATCGGCAATGAAAATTCCTCCACATTCGACATAGGCTTGAAATCGGTGGGTTCGACCTCGGAAATGGGCTCTGCTGGTCTGTCTGTGTGGTCTGCCATGGTTGTAGCTATCTGATAGATTTCGATGGACTTTTCCGTAGACTTGGTCCTCGTTCTTTTTACCCCTCTCTTCTTATTTCTGTTCTTATGCGAATATGCGCCTTTCGGATAGAATAATAATGAAGACTGTCGAGAGTTCTGAACGTTCAATGAAAAAGGGTCGGCGAAGTTGAAAATTGCACGGAGAGATCCGAAAGAGAGCCTAGAAGAAATAATGGAACGGTGGGGAGCCTCAGTTAGCTTAATGCGGGTAAGATAAGAGAACAGATCAAGGAGAGGGTGCAATCCCACCTCAATATGCGATTTGGTGTGTTATTCTAGTCTAGAAGCAGTGGGTGAGAAAGTAGGTTAAGGTAGAGAAAAAGTTCTGACCCTGGCCACAGGGCTCTCGGGACGTTCAGGAACCGTGCAAGGGATCAAAGGCTTGACCCAGAGGCGAAGAATTTGCGACCGTCGGGTAAGAGTGCGGGGACGTTCAGTGTGGAGGAGGCGCACAGTGTTGGATTGAAACAGTAGTATGTACTCTAACTTGAGCTCTATGTAAGAGGCAACTTGGACAATGCAATCTCCCAGCAGAATTCTAGGGAAGACAGCACAATGAATCGCGGGGCAGCCATACTATCTTCCTCCCACTATCACAACGCCGAGATCGCCCGCCCGGGACTGTGGCTGAGTCAGCCCAACGACGGAACGCAGTTCCTCGTTCACCATCACGACTACAACAGCAGCTCTCATATTCGCAGAGGAAGAGACTCTCTGAATGACGTCGAGTCTCCGTTGCCTGATCGCTTATGCCACAAGTATCCGGGGTAGGGATCAGGGTTTCTTCTGTCCGATTACTGGCCCACTATAGTTGGACAGTCTTGACCGCAATCGGAAACAGACTGAGACATGGATTTATTAATTGACTGGAATAGCTTACATTTATATGGAGGTTACAATAAGGTTCTGACTGGTTGACATCAGAGTTGGTCCTTGCTTTGCACCGGACATATGCATGGCAGTTGGCAGCACACGACATCTCAACTTGAATTCCAGATCATCCGAGTGAAAAATATTCGAGTTTCTTCATCAGTTTCGATCTCGAGCCATCCTGGTTATCTTGGTCTGCCATTGCGGCTCTCAGTCGATCGTCTTCGTCAAATGCAAAGGCTTCCTTGAAGTCCATCTCCGATACCGGGACAATCTTGGATTTGAAATAGAACTGCGGAATACAATGGCTTCTGTCAGCCATTACATTGCTTGGCACCAATCATGGTGCAGACACTCACCTTGTATGTGAAGTAATCAACAGAGAAGAGAGGCGCTGCAATGTACGACGCGAAGAAGCTCTTGGCCGACCCCTTCTCACCAAATGGGAAACAGGCAAGATAAAACTCGCAGCCGGCAATGAAGATAACGACTATCAATGCCAGGTATTGAGCATATGGTGCCACAGAATCCCGGAAGGGAAGGGAGCGGTGATCAATGCCTTGAGCTTTCAAGCCCCTTCGGAACCGGATATGAGAGATAAAGATACCTGCCCACTGGAAGAGCGTCGATATGCCCACCTAGTCAAGGATTAGCTTGGACTTTATTGTGCCTACGTCAATGGAAACATACCAAATCTGAAAACCATTCGTATACAACGGCCCCTTGGTTGCTACAGTTGAGGTAGCAGAGACCTCCTCCTAGAACAATACTGATTACCAAGGCCACATACGGCCGACCCATTGTATCCTTCCGGCCGAAAAATGGATGGATGATAGACAGATCAGCCAAAGCAGCCAGACTACGAGTGGCGATATAGGCACTCGTGATCCCACAGCTGATAACAGTGAGGAAGATGAACCCATTGATGACATGGGCAAACCACATTACACCAGCCCTTTCAATAGCAATGACGAAAGGGCTTCCCAAGGTGCCACTACCACGGATGAGGTTTTCATCATCGTATGGTACGCACATTCCGACGAGCCAGATATTTACTACGAAAAAGGTGGCCATCCGCCAAAATATAGGGTTGACAGCGCTGCGGACCGTCTTTCTTGGCTCCTTAGCCTCACCGGCGATAATAGCGATGTGCTCACCTAGTCAAATGCTTAGCAACTTGGAATTGGGTTATCGTTGCTAGTACTCACCTCCCCCAAAGCTAAAGAGAGCCTGGACGAACGCTTTGGCAATCCCTTTAATGCCATTGTTGAATGCACCAGGATTCTTCCAGTAGCGGAACTCGATAGGCCCATTTGTGGCAGGAATTCCGCCAGATGTCATGATAAACATGAAGAAGATGACTGCAAAAATGGCCAGGCATTTGATGAACGACATCGTGTATTCAACGTGGCCGTAAAGACGAACCCCAAAAACGTTTGCGAGGGAGATTGCTACCAGGAAAACAGTGATATACGCTGCCAAAGGCACCGAAGTGGTCTGTGGCCAGAATTCAAGCACTGATACGGCGGCAGTTATTTCGGCTGGGATGCATATAACCCACTATAGAAATAGGTTAGCTATCGTTTTGTGTCGATGTTGAAGATATGGCGAGATGGTGGTCTGATTGGCCTTACACTGAACCAAAAATTAATGCCAACTGCGAAGCCAAATGCCGGTTCAACGTATTCGACACACTGGCGGATAAAGCCACCATGAACAGGCTTGTACGTGGTCATTTCACCAATGGACGTGAACTGCAAATACACGATCATACTGTTTCACAGTTAGTCTATTGCTTTGGAAATAGTCCAAGCAGCTCTCACGCAGTGATGGTATATGCAATGGCAGTTCCCGCAGGGCCTGCTATGAAGACTTAGCTTTTCAAACTATGAACAATAGTTCTCCCTAGAACTTACCGTATTTCAAGGCTGTTCCCGTTCCTACCCATCTGTGTTTCGTCAGAACAGGGATGATGTTTTCGACTAGCACCACTTACAAGCCAGTGCCTACACCTGCTCCAAAAGTCATCATCATGATCTGCCTTCTTCCGAGCCTGCGATGATATCCGGCATTGTCAATAGCTGTTCCTAATACCACCGTTGTACCATTGCTGACGTCTGTTGCCTCTTTCTCGATATCGGAGGTTTGGGGTATATATTTAGATAACTTTGGGATATCCTGATGGATTGCCATGTTAATTGGGCTATGGTTATAATAGACGGTCTCCAGAAACGTAAATAAATCCTCAGACTTCTATATACATTCTGCTGGAAAAGAAGGATATTCATCCCATTTTGGACTCCGGCCTTTCTGATAGGTGTGATATCTACATAATTTTGGACTAGATAGTCATCCAGGCCGACATAGCCAGGTCCAGATAAGGTCAACCCCATTCTTGTATACCTTGTTTTGATTGAACCTGTGGTATATGCGTTCAAAAGTACATACCCCGATGTAACCATTACGGATCTTCTCCGCATCACACCAGATAAGCCGGCGGGGAAATGACTCAAGACAATGGCTGAGCCCTATATAAATTGACTATCGACCATTATCGAATCTATCGAATCTATCCTGTCCAACCGGGTTGCAATCATATTATCAATTACCACAATGCCAGCCTACAAAAACGTCGTATTCGACGTTGTAGGAACCCTTGTCTCCTACGACCGCATCTACAACGCCATCGACACCCGCTTAGGCCCCAAACTCCGCGAACATAACGTCCAACCATCCTTCCTAGGCTATACTTGGGTCGAAGTCGCTGAACGAGAATATACCTATCTCAGCGTCTCAGGTGCCTATACACCCTACGCCACCATTTTCGAAAAGATATTCCATCGCATGCTCTACCAAGCAGGCATTGCGGACCCCGCAACCGTCGGCACGGATGAAGACCTCGCGTACATAATGCAGGAATACGCGAATTTAGACCTCCGCCCCGGAGCAATGGAGTGTGTGCAGAAACTCCGCGAGGCCGGATTCACAGTTTGGGCACTTACGGCTGGCGATTTGAATAGAGTTGGTGCGTATCTGCGCAATGCGGGGGTTGAGATTTCTTCGGAGAACCTCCTATCGTGTGATACGGCTGGTGTTGGGAAGCCCGATCCCGGGGCGTATCGGCCGTTGTTCGAGAAATTGGAGACGGAGGGTGGAGAGAAGCCGTGGTTTGCGGCGGCGCATATGTGGGATGTTTCTGCAGCGAGGCGCACGGGGTAGGTCATATCTCTCCCTCCACCCACTATCTCTCAGTGATAGATGTGATAACTGATAAAAACAGATTCAGAGGAGCGTATTGTACTGTGTACGAGAAGCAGGCACTCCCCGAGTTGTTTGGGGAGATGGAGGTGACTGCTGATAGCTTGCCAGAGATGGCAGCAGGGATTGTTGCATCTGAGGGGTAAATATAGCAAGGCTGTCATTGTCGATATCAGTCTAGTCTCTGTCAGATAGATGGATTGCGTACGAGTACATATAGATCCTTGCTTATCTTCAAACATACTCTGTATAGATAGACTATCTACTCCGCATCTTCATGTTCAACGTCGGCGGTTCCAGCCAATAATTGGTCAGGACGCATGTATATAGCACATGATAAGTACGTTTACAATATCTTTCATAGTAAAGATTCAACTGCTTCATCCACTACACGGAAATATCAATGTTGAATATTGACTACCAAACCATGACCATGCCCTTCCCCGTCAACGGAGGTATGACCTCTTTCTGGCGCTCCCAGCCGGATACCCTTGACAATCATCGGTCGACTGAGACGCTGCCTGAGTCCAGCAATATCGTCATCATCGGTGCTGGGTATACGGGGGCAGCGACAGCCTACCATTGTCTTGAACAAGGTCAGAGCACGGGGAGGAAGAAGCCATCTATCATGATTCTAGAGGCTAGACAGGCTTGCTCGGGGGCGACAGGGAGAAATGGTGAGGTTACTTCTCATTGCATCCGCTTTCCCTAAAATAGTTGGTTTGTGTGGGATGGAAGGAGAAAATGATTCATTAATTAAACTTCTACACAATAGGAGGCCACCTCAAACCCGACGTTTACAACGGCATCAACACCCTAGCAAACGACTACGACATCGATGCAGCAGCTGAAGTAGCCATGTTTGAGATGCAGAATCTCCAAACTGTCCAGTCTTTCGTTGAAAAGGAGGAGATCGAGTGCGATTTGAGAGTGGCTCATGCCATTGATGTTCAGCTGGATGATGCTCACTTTGCCAAACTCAGAGGCGGATTAGAATCACTCATTATAAAAGGATCAGAAGCGAGTAAGCTTGTTGAGATGAGGGCTGGAGAAAAGGCAGAGGCTGTGTGTTATTTCCAACTGCAACAGTTGTAGAAAAACATATACTTACAACAGCCAGTTCTCTAGCGTCAAAGGCGCACGAGGCTGCTTCAGCTACGATGCCGGACGACTCTGGCCATACAAGCTTATCATACACCTCCTCAAAAGAGCAATAGCCAGTGGGGCAAATCTGCAGACATACACACCCGTCCTGCAAGTATCCGACACCCCGGACAAACACGGACGTTGGACAGTAGTGACTGACCGGGGCTCAATCCGCACAAAACACGTTGTGTACGCCTGCAATGCTTACACGCCAGCCCTGGCCCCGGAGTTCCAGAATCACATAATCCCGGTCCGAGGCATCTGCAGTCGTATTGTTGTTCCTAACCCGTCCAGCAATCCGTTGGACAGCTCATACACGCTGCGATTTAATAACTGGGATTATGACTATCTAATCCCCCGGCCAGATGGAAGTATCGTCGTTGGAGGGGCGCGATCAATGTATCTGCGTGAGCCGGCGAATTGGTACAACGTTACAGATGACAGCAGGTTGATTGATTCAGCGGCGCACTACTTTGATGGTTACATGCAACGGCACTTTCACGGATGGGAGAACACGGGGGCATATACAGATCGAGTCTGGACGGGGAGTATGTCTCCAGATCCCTCTTGGTCTTGTCGAATATGTATAGTTCTAACCGATGGTATAGTTATGGGATATACAACGGATTTCCTCCCACACATCGGACCTGTACCCGGGAAGCCTGGACAGATAGTGATTGCCGGGTTCAACGGTCATGGGATGCCCCAGATATTTCTGTCAGCGTTGGGGGTTGCACGGATGATAGAGGGCGCAGAGTATGGTGATACCGGCCTTCCGCGGTTATTCGAGGCAACGCTGGAGAGACTGCAGAACAAGGAAAATCGCATTCTGCATGGAATCCCGTCAACTTCGGATAGAGGGAGTAGCCGGTTGTAGCTGTATAGCTCAGTAGATGAATGAAATATTTTCATGTTTATATTCCATAGTTGAGAGCGGGATCGGCGCCGAACGGCCGAAAGCGGCAATGCGTCATTATCCCACATCGACCCAGGTCAATTTGACTCCCCACGCTTTTTCTTTTCCCCAACTCTCCAATTGACTCTTTTCCTCTTCTTTCCTCTCTCTCCTATGCATCTCTTCTTAGCATTGGTTCCTCCTTCGAGCGACCATAATGAAACATGAGCGCCTCCACGTTGAAGTGGCCGCGCTCTGCTCAGTCTCCGTTGCTTCAGGTAAATACATTCCCTCATCCGTCGCAATGTTTGTGTACGGCATTGAATTCCCATATATTGACCACTTTCAGCAGCAGAATCATCGTTTGCTTAAACGCGACTCCCTCCCTCGACCATGGTGCCGGTCCTTTTCCTCCAGCGCCGACCGGCCAGTCCACCAGAGCGCCGAATTTTCCAGTTATAGTAAGAATAATGATCGACTGGGACGACGGGCCAAGGAGAAGCTGCTTGATCGGGTATGGCTCCTGGGTATTCTATAGACCATAGGAATATGTGCTGATAGTTGTCGCTAGGAATTCTTCCTCAGTCTGTTGAGCTCGGCCCCGACCAAGCGAGAAGCCAAATCATATCTGGCGCGAATCAAGCAGCAACCAAAGACAGATTACAACCCACCTACAACACTTAAAGCCGAACCGGAGGTCTCGAAGGCGACTGCGAATGCAGCAACTTTGACTTCTCAGCCGTCATCTTCTGGCAGCTCGTTTTATGGTGCTTCGCGATCCGTCTACGCTAGTCCCGTCTTCCGTCAGCATGCGACTCCTGCAGCCCAACCACAGGATGTAGTGGAGGAGAAGCTTCACTTGGCTCTTGTGAAGATCACAACACCTCAGCTCCTGAAGACCTCTATTATTGATGGTGTCGCCAAAACCCTAGCCCAGCTGAGCCGTCTGGGACTGCCCTGTTGTGTTGTAGTGGACCCGGGGACAAAAGATGATCCCAATGTGCTGCGGAAAATCGCCATAGACCAAGCAGACCGCATTTCCGGCGCGATTGATGCGCAGCCTGATTCCAAGTCCGTCCGGTTGGATTCGGCGTTCTCCATTACATCAACTGCTACGGAACCCACGGTGTTCTCAAGAAAGCTGCTGCTGAATCCATTGCGTGATGCACACACTGTGATTGTACCTCCAATTGGATATACCATGGATACGCCCCGGGCGGTTTTCATCCCTGCGAACGACGCCGTGCTTGCTCTGACCAAGGAGTTGGCAGGGCTGGCATACCCCCACGATCCTGATGAGGATCCATTGATCACTGCTGATAGGATCAAGGGCTTGCAGAAAGAAGTGTCTTTAGACCGTGTTATATTATTGGATCCGCTGGGGGGCATTCCGGCCTATAGTGGGCCGCAGACATCGCATGTTTTCATCAACATGGAGCAGGAGGTTGAGGATATCGAAGACGAACTGATGCGGGTGGGTCAGTCATTGCTGGCACCTGAAGCCGCAAAAATCCATGAGGGGGCGACTTCCATTGCCAATAGTAACCCTCTCACGGAGTTTGTCAAATCGGAAATCGCCTCGACGCCGTCCGGCCAAGTGTACCAAACAAATCAAGCAAAATCTGGGATAGAGGCGATTGATGGACATATCGAAAACCTCCGATTGTCTCACAAGGCACTTGCGATGTTGCCTGCTACATCATCCGGCATCATCTCGTCGCCAACGGATGTAGCCAATTCAGCCCAGACGTCACAGACTACTGTTTCGGACGTGTCTGCTGTGGGAACGCGACGACAACGGAACCCGCTCATTCACAATCTACTCACTGACAAACCATTGCTTTCCTCTTCCCTGCCCATGAGTCGACGCAGTGCTCTTGACGGCAACAACACATTCAACCCGCCTGTCTCTCACACGACCTTTGTCAAACGCGGCATGCCATTGACAGTCCTGCCTGATACGCGAGTCCAAGTGTGGAATCCCAACAAAGAAGGTCGCGTGAAGCTGACTGATCCATGCATTGACCTGCCTCGTTTGGTCTACTTGATCGAAGATTCCTTTAACCACAAACTCGACGTCCAGGACTACCTGAAACGAGTCAACGATCGCCTAGCAGGTGTTATCATCGCAGGCGAGTACGAAGGCGGTGCCATCCTCACCTGGGAAACACCCCCTGGCGTCCCAGATGACGACAGCGAGGCCAGCCGCGCGCGAATGGTCCCGTACCTGGACAAGTTCGCCGTCCTGAAGCGTAGCCAAGGAGCAGGGGGTGTGGCAGACATGGTTTTCAACGCGATGGTGCGCACATGCTTCCCCAATGGACTCTGCTGGCGCAGTCGCAAGGACAACCCGGTTAATAAATGGTACTTTGAGCGGTCTCGTGGAACGTGGAAATTGACGGATACTAATTGGACGATGTTCTGGACGACTCCGGGTCTACCTGACAATGCGCAGAAGCTTCAGGATTACGAGGCTGTTTGCCGTACTATCGAACCGAGCTGGGCAGATAATACGGGTGTGATTGATTAGATCCTTCTTGTATATATTTGGATTTCGAACATAGATCTAAAGACTGGGATATATTGACATGTTTTACCGCCTTCGGCGAGCTTCAATCCCGACAATTTGTAGATGCACTTTCTCCCGGCCAATTTCTTTCTCTGTACCATGGACCCGATAGCTATGTGCCAATGACACGATGCCCATCTGCATCGAATGCTCCTATCCGGTTTCCCACCTGTACAGCACTTACAGCCGTGCCGATGACCGATCGCTGGGCAAAGGCGTGCGCTTGACGCAATGTCCGCGCTGCCAGCATTTTGCCGACAAATATGTCGAGTATGACTTTGTCGTGCTGTTTATCGACCTCGTCTTGATCAAGCCGCAGGTGTGTAAACTTCCCTTTCGGATAAAGAGGAAAGTGTTGAACTAACTTGACAGGTGTACCGACATCTCCTTTTCAACCGGCTCGGAAGAGATGATAACCAATTCGATGTGAGACGCGGTCTTCTACCTTATCCAATCTAAGGCTAACATCAATATCTTATTAGCGCTCCATTATTCGCCTTGGTATCCTCCTTCTCCTCTTTGACGTCTACCTGACCTGGGCGCGAATCGAAAAATCGCAATCCGTGACCTCCAGCTTCCTCATCCACACCCCGATTATCGTTCAATACTTCTTTTTCCTCAGTCTGAATGCTCTCGCGACCCTTGCACACCATCTCACAGTTCGGTTGTTGGCGTCCGTGTTGGTACCCAGACGTCGTCCTGCCGATAGCGGCACCAGTAAAAGCAGCGGAGGAAGCGCGAATAATAGCACCTTGACAGACCAACCTTCTACGTCTCACCCTTCTCCATCGACCTGCTCGTCTTCCGCTGTCCAGCCCAGGGCCCCGCAAGCGCAACCACATACAACCTCCACAAACCCGCCAACGACAAGTCCACCTAAACTGTCACAACATGATTCAGCCTCGCTGTCATCTCCATCTCTCGTTCGCACCAACAGCGCCTCCGGAAACCTGACTCCTCCCCTTCCACAACCACTGCCTCCTGTCGCACCTCCATTGAGACGAGCTTCTACGGCCCCGGTAACAAATGTCCAACCACTCCCGCCTCCGGCACCCGCAAGTCCAACGGCCATCAGCACCGCACTGCTAGTCAGCAGTTGCGCAAAGCTCTTCCCAATTCTCCTCGTCATCTGGGGCCCAGACGGCAGCGGCGGGAATAATGCCCCGTCCGAAGCCTACACCCAAAAGCCAACAGACATCACCATCGCTCGACAGCAGGGTATGCCGACCCCAATCGCGACACTAATCCCTGCGCCTACGTCCGAGCTGTCGCCTGCTACTTCATCATTCACTTCATCATTACCCGGCTCGTGGCCAATGCCTCCACTGCCCGAGAGCTGGATCGCCAAACTAGCCTCGATGGTGCCTGTTTCTGCGCCGGCAAATCAGTATTTGGCTTTGTTCTTGGAGTCGATGGGTTCGCTTTTGTCGTTGGGGGCGGCAGATACGCATTTGGTATTGTTAAGTAATATCGAGGCGTTATATATCTTACTGGGATGTGGGTATTTGCGCGCTGTGGCCTTGGCAGTTGCAGGGTTAATGGCTCGATGGGCGGTTCAGCGAGTGGTGTTAGGAGCTGTAGGAGTTGGCTAATCTATCTATAATAGAATAGCATGTATAGCTGTAATATAAACATGAAGAATCCATGACATTCCGCTATGACAATAAAAAACGTAGCTATACAAGATCCATTATCCCTTTCATCATCCTAATCAGCCAGCCTAAACCCAATTCCACAAGTAATGAAAACCACAAGCGCACAAGTGTTTACTGCGGTACGCGATCAGGCCGAATATCCGATCTCTTGGGTGCGATGAGAGGATGCCATTGTGCCATGAAGATAATCGCTATTCAAACCAAGTTAGCCATCCATATCCACATCTCGAACTGGAGAGATACTTACCCCACATAAGGAAACACGATACAAACGAGAGAATAAGCGTACTCCGCCAGAGCCTAGAACCCAGTCACAATCAGCCAACACGCATTTATACCCCCACATGATGGCAGGGGGGAGAGGAAGGGAAACGAACGTCTGGTTATCACCCTTGGGGCTAAACACCCACGCGACGATAGAGGCGAGCACGACGATGATAAGGCCGATGATTAGACTTGCGCTGTTTGAAGTCACGGATTAGTATACTCGTCTCATGAGGGTGACATTGATGGTTCGAAGTGTAACATACCCAGATGCCATTTTGTTTGTATGTTTCCTTCTTTCGTAGTGTAGCGTAGAGAGCTTCTCAATCGATAATGGCCTTTCTTTCTTCGAAAGTGACGGAAGGATCAATCAAAATGGAGCAATTAGATTCAGGACCAGCCCAAAACCCAACACAATTGATTGTTTTTGCTTGTAATCTGCGTGAACGCCGTGTATTTATCACCCGTAGCGCGTATAGATAGATCCGGCGATGGCCTTGATACTTTGTTCGTTTGCTCGATTGCGATTCTCGATTCCGGGGCCAGACGTAGCTAGCTTTCCGCTGTGAGGCGTAAATCGGGCGTGTTGCTGCCACAGTTATTGATCGTATTTCGGACCGCGTAAATTGATAAGTTTGATTCGTGATCACAGGATAAGCACACGTCTAATCTTCAAGGATATATGACTTGACAGGAGCCGTTTGATAGTAGTCGGTCTGGAATGGGCGGATTGCGGAGCGGCCAGCTGTGGCATTGATGCCTGGGGAATTAAGAAGCCAGCGGCTGCGCTTCGCGGCTTGCCGCGATAGACGCACCATGTCTACTATGAGACTACTGCGAACCTTCAGATCACTGAAACGTTTTTAATTTATCATCAAACATCATCTGATAAAGAGTTCATTTCAAACCCAGACATAAAAGTATATGGAAAGCTCATCCCGAGCACAAAAAGCAGTACAGTGATGGGGTAGTTAAGAAACACAAACTGGGACATCGAGAACAAACAAAGACCACGACAAGATAGAAAATCATGATATCATTTACGCTCCCTCACGGCTCTTACGATAGTTAGCCTAGAAGCCATAGTCAGAGAATGGACATAAACCGGACTGGGAAGGATGTAGATATTACGTACCTCTTGCTCAACCTGTAGACCGTCGACGACAGGAGCCAATTCGCTAAGAATCTCGTACGACCGCTTGTGGAATTCGAGTTGTGCGGCAATCAAGTCTGCTAGGTTTCTCAAGGGCTCAGGGGTATCGAGGACCTGGTCGGGACACGGTTAGAGCGGGTTCTCGCGCACTGGCAATAAAAAGTAAACTTACATTCTTCATGACGCTCACAGCCTCCTCAGTCTGTCCGACAAACTCATCCTCCGCCTGCTCAATCTCAGCACGGGCCTCCTCGCTCAAGTTATCAAGGTCACCCCGGGCAGCAGCCTTCTTGTTAGCCTTCACCGAGTCCAACATAAGACGAGCATTCTCCACATTCCTGCGCGCCTTAGCAGCAAACATCAAGTTCGTGTTAAGTGTCGTATTCCATCCAGCCAGGAACCGCGACTGGATCTGGGCGTCCTGTGCCAGACGGGCCTCGCCCACCTTCTCCGAAGCGAGGGCATACTTCTCCAAGGCACCTCCCAAGGAGTCCTCGCCGTTAGCACTCTGGGCTAGGGTCTGCGATCCGGACAGGGAGGCACGGGCAATGGCGTGGTTGAAGGTCTTGGGCTGGGGCTTTGCGGCTGGCGGGGCAGTCAGAGCAGCTTGGGCCTCCGCGGGGGAGGCGGCTTGGGAAAGGAGTTGGACCTTTTCTTGGATGGTACGACCAAGGTCGTTGAAGGACTCGCGGATGTTGGGCGGATAGTCATAAGCTTCATTGGAGTACTGGGAGCTGGAGGGAGGGGAAGAACAACTTGTTAGTACGGAGTATGTTCATGTGAAAGTTGGATCGGAGAGAGGCTAGGCTCTGAAGCCACGGGGTAAAAAAGGAATATACTCACGTTACTTGCAGAAGCTTCTGATGAACCAGCTTCAGCGCATCAATACGCTTCTCGAGCTCGATGTACTCGTCGGGGAGCTGGGTCTTGTCCTCAACCTGGCCAAATTGCTCCTTGAGCATCTGCTGCGTGCGCGCAGCAAAGGGCGTGAAGTTCGCACTAGCCGCAATAAAAAGCAAGAACAGATCATGTCAGCAGGTAGGGTTTCCTTGAATGACCACAGTGGTCTAATGCGACATGACAGCTCCACAAAAACAAGCAATGCATTGGATCCGGGGAAGAGGGGTGTATTACCTGAGGTTCTTTCCGAACGCCTGCACTCGGTCCATGATGATTGGCAATATGGTTAATTTAGTGGATGAATATTCGATATAGTAGTAGAATCTTCTTAGGAATAATTCTCTGGAGATGGGATGAATTGCGATGGAAAATATCACGGAGGGGAAGTGAGATTCTGGACGTCAAGGCCACGCGGGCCGTCACCGCCTCCGCCGCACCACTCAGTTTCATATACAGCTAGAGCATTCAGGTACAATTACAACTACAAGAAAGACAACTATGGAATTATAGTCATTATTATATTCGTATGTATCGTAAATATGCGGTGTCGTATGCATCAAATATATGCTCTCCAGTCATTACATTCTGCCCATATTCCAATATGGTATTTAAAAAGTAAAACATAGAAATTAAGAAATGGAAATGAAGGGAAAGGGGAATTAAAAGGTAAAGCGTAGGGGAGCTGATAAGAATTAAGTCAGAGTGGCCATCATTGCGCGAATAAGTCGAGAATTGGGAGCTGTAGATAAGTTAGCACTGTGCCGTTGCTTGGATTATACCGCAGATCATCTTACATTTGCGTTCCTTTTTCACTTCATGGACTTCTTCGTCCTCGATCAGATCACCACTGCGGCGTTCCAATGGCCCGACAAGTTTAAGATCATCGTCACTATCTCGGGGGCGCACCATAATGGCCAGAGGACCAGTCTCATCTCGATTGGCCTCGCGGCGTCCAGGCGAGGACCGACGGCGACGACGACTCTGAACTGATATTGACCGAGATCTGGTTCGGGAAACGCTCAAAGTCCTTTCGCTGTGCCCACGACGGTGGCGGTGATGGCGCGAGTGTGATCGAGGTGGTGATCGCTCAACAATCAGCGTATCGTGGCTTGCTCGAGGCGGACTATCTGCTATACTAAGCCGTTCCATGCGAACGGGTGACGGAGAAGTGCGTACAATCCGGGCTGTAAAGAATCAGAAAGTTAGCCTGTTATGTATTCCCCCCCCCTCCAAAAAAAAACCAATACGAGTGCTTAGCTTACTCTCGTTTACCCGCCTGATCTCCCGGCTGATAGTGACGAGCTCATCAATCTGCTCCTTGGAGAGAGCCACCTGAATCATGACCGCTTTGTCCTCTTCCTCGAATGGATAGCCCTTGTCAAGGATGGCCCGAGGATGGACCAGCTTCTTGGGCATGCGAGTTTTGCCCTTTCGGGGGTACGGTCTCTCAATGCGTTCTTCGATAATCCTCTCACGGAAACGGCTACTGGAGCGACGAGGGTGAGTTGGATACCGGTCCCGCTCGCGGAATCCTCTAAACTCTTCGTCTCCATAGTAGTCCGGCTCTGCGATGCGAATATCCTCGTAATAGAGATCATCTCCATGAGGCCGCGGAGAAGGAGAGTATCTTGATCTTGGAGGGGGTGAAAGTCGGGGAGAAGGGCCCCGGTAGTACATCTCTTCCAATTTTCGTGATGGGATGCGATCAAAGGTATCCAGGGAAGACTGTCGTCGCAAAAGGCGGGGTCGAGGAGAAGGGCTCACTCCCCGGCGGCGTTCAGGGCGCTCAGATGAGATAAACGAGTCCGCATCATTGTAGAACCTTTCTGGCCGGCGGGCAGGTGGACCATATCGGTCAGCTGCATGCAGGCGTGACTCAAAGCGCTCATCATCGAAGGCCGGGCGTGGTCGTTCGCGTACCGGAGGACCACGAGAATGCAAGTGTTCTCTGGAGTGACGGGGTCCGTCGCGCGGACTCTCCAGAATACTCGAAGATAAGCGGTAGTCGTCGTATGGAGCCATTTCGAGTTCGAACAAACAATAACAGGGGTATCACTAGATAATGCTGATTGCGAACCGTGGATGCCAGCCGCTGACTCGGCGGGTCGCTCACTTGATACTGAAGCGGGGAAGAAGGAACCGTGGGCGAAGGAACAGGAAGCAGAGAAGGCAAATGCAATGTCCAGCGAGGATGCTGGGGGATATTTATACACACCAAGTGCACACGCAGGCAGAAGAGAAAGAGATGCAGTCAGAGAATTGAAGCGATTCGCGACAACAACGACCGCCGCTCGTCCTTCCATTCTGGGCTTAGCGAATTCCCCGGCTCATGACGCTATGTGGAGGACCAAGCGTTACCGTATGTTACAGTGATATGCGGACCTCAGCCACGCTGTCCCACGCAAATTACGCCTCAGTCGGTTATATAAGCGTAAATACACGTCGTGCGGCTGATTGAGCCTCATCCGCCGAATCAACAGCCACGAAGATACAAAGAAACAGCCTGTGCACAATGCAGTTTGCTAGTTCGCTTTGTCCCTGCGTAATAAGCAATCGTTTCGGAATCATTTTCCATAACTACCTAAAGAGTGCTCCTCTCCTCTATGCATTTCAATCCAAGCAAACCGGTGCCCAACCCGCGGTCTCCGTCATTCTCCAGGACCTTTTGATTGTTGGTCGAGAACAATCTAGTTGCTGCAGGCCGTCCCAACAGCAAGCTCCTGCCTTTTCGAGAACAACCCCGGGGCTGCTTGGGTATAGCTGTATAGGTACTATTGCTTCAAACTTTCGTATGTAACCCGGAATCGGATCCGATGAAGCCGTGGCAGATAGCCACAACCAGAAGCTTCTGCAGCATCGTGTACAAATCAGAGCATAGCGGATAGATTCGACCAACGAAAAGGCTTGGGGTCTGCAAGAGAACGAGTTGGGTATGTGCCTGTGTTTTCCGGATGAGGTGTACCTGCATGACATGCATGAAGTATATTAAGAAAGGGCGGACCGCGCAGAGCAGAAATAGACTGGTCACCCCGGTCCAGATCACAACGAATATTCACGATGAAAATGAACGCACAATAGCGAGCCCTTCCCATCTAATAAGCTCACGCGCGTTACACGCCGGGCACTGCATTCTGCATTATCCATTGATATATAGTATTATATAGACCTTAATGTTCAAGGCTATCTATACCTCGACATCGTCTTCCAAGCTCAATATGCCCATAGCCCAATGAAGCCGATTTGATTTGCTCACAGTGATAAACCGTCTTTCTATGTTGTGATACGGGCCTTGCTGAGGCGATGGGTCCGTTGTGGGCTGTCGTCGCGCCTCACTTGTAGGCTGATATGGAGGTCCTCTCCCCTGTTTCCCTGCAACGACCCAGGCTCTCTCGCATCCACTTGCAATGGCATCTGATGACTTCCAGCCTGTGAGGCGGGATACATTACGCAGATTGACAACTGTCCATTCGCGTTGGCCGGGATCAGTATACTGTACCGCGGAAAAGAAAACCGGGACTGTCATTTCCGTCATGTAACATCCTTGGGTCGGGTTCAAACTTTCCGCTCCAATAGTGAGAAGCTGTGGATCATAGACATTTGCTGCGATTTTTCCAATTGTCTGGGCATATGTGGCCGTAGCTGGAGCTGCAACACCGGCAGCTACCATCATGGCAGGTGGCATTGACGGATGTAGCCGAAGAAGAAGAATGCGTCCAGTATAGTAAAATCCCCATAATACTGCAATTTGCTGTGTGCGGTACTGTAGGGCCTGTCCGAAGGGAGTAAAGGTTGGCGGAGTCACATCAGGTAAAGACATGAAATCACGACCAAGAGCATACGCAAATGCGTCAAACGCTGCCAGTATACGCTCCCACTCATCTTCTGCATCGCCGTATGTTATACCTTCGTCACCATCATCGTCACCCTGGCTTGGCGAGCTCTTTGGATGCGGAGCATTGTCTTGAAAAGCCAAGGGTAACTGGACAGGCCCGCGTGGAGGAATCATACCATACATTGGAGGAATCCCTTCTTTTGGTGAAGAGTTACTGCCAGATGGTGGGGAAGGATAAGGTACTCGAGTATTCTGAGCAGGACCAGGTGGACCACGCATGCGCGTGCTGCTGCCGGCAAACCGGGCCATGAATTTGAAAAAGCCAGTGTTTGGCTTCCAGTCTATCCCGGATACCTTTGCCGCCTTGAGTTTTCGTTTTCGGTCGCGATAACCAAAGTCCGTTAAACGACCGAGTAAGAGCCACAGGTGATCTGCTGATCCATACACGGCGTCTAGGCGTCCCATGCCTGCACGCGGTGGGCATTGTGCCCATCGGTAATACGGCATACTAGTTAGAATAGTTAGCATATTTGACATGAAAAGCTGTATGTGTAGGACTAACAATAGTTGGTTGCCACTGATGATACTCTGAATTGTATCCTGCTTACAGTACCACCAATAGAGATCGCATTGAATTCGAAAGTTTTCGATATCCTTCTGAGTGAAATGCTTCTGGTATGATTGACTCGAACCATTTTCGACCTGTCCATACTCATCGTAATTTATGGCTCGACCGAAGATTGTCCCAATAAAATCTTGATCAATGGATGTCTCTTTCTCAGCGAACGGGTCATCCCCAGAGACAGCATGGGGGCTGTTCGCAAGCCACCAATCTGCTTGAATCAAATGGCCTCGCGTTCGACGCCGATGAGCTCGAAGGTCACGCGCGAGGCCGGCGTAGTCAATCTCACGGACTAACTGGGCTGAACCTGCGACATGGCTATTCCACTTTGTGTGATCAGCGGCCACAACCTCATAGTACCCAAGGAGCAGCGTGGCAGCCAAGGTGCCATATTGTTGGCGTCGCGTGGGAAGCCCTACTGCATTGCCCACTCTCTTTAATGCATAATGGTAATGTTTCAGCGAGACTGTCTGTGGTGTTTGTTGCAAAAAAGATATGTGCAAGCTGCTGATAGCCAGCATGGCTTGGAGTAATGCTTGGTGTTCCAAGGCCTGGAAAGGTAATGTGTACGTCCATAGGCCTTGCTGGGCGGCAGGAACAGAGGCTCCTAAAGGGATTGGGGAATCCACCGGGTGTCGTTCAAAGACGGAAAGGAATGGGCCAATGGAATGAATAAAATGAACAAAAATTTTCGCCGCCTTGGGGTCGTTCAGGGGGGATGAGTCTAACGTCGGACGATAGGAAGATAAAATGTTCGTCTCATTCAGATGAGTGGTAAGAGACCCAAGTTGAAGCTCACTACGATTTGCTGTTGTCATACTAGCATCTCGCCATGTCTCATCCATAGAGCATGCATGAAAATCAGAGTAACGCTCAGTATCGGAGTATGATGCTTTAATGCCAGACCATGGTATACTATGTGTGCGCGGATAGTGGGACGAATGCTGCTCCTGAATACGTCCGCTATTTGGATACCAGGGCTGGGACTCAAGCGGCTAATTGCAAGTTTAGCATAAAAAACGAGGAAACTTATGTGAAAGAATAGAATGCATCATACCTGTGCTACTGGAGAAGTGAGAGGCAGATGGCCTGCAGTATGTATCGATCCGCGGAGAGGTACTGTTGGTACAGATTGAGTACTGCCAACTTGGCTACTTGGTCGACGCGCAGGGTCCTGAGTCGGGTGTCTCAAGCTTGAAGCACTTTCGGGTGAGCTATATGAATCATTACACCAAAATGCCAGCTGGTGACATAGTGGAATAGGATCAAAGGCAGAATGATTTACACTCGGTGCCTCGTGCTGCGACGCACGCGATACCTGAGCTGGTAGATACTGCAACGGAGCCGTGTCAGTTCCATCATTTTGAACAATCATATTGTCTGCCATTTCAATCACAGAGGGCTGGCTGGCTGAGGCATTGATTAGTCCTGACGGTGTCCGATTTTGATGAGAGGCACGGCGTTCATATCCGCTAGGAAACGATGCCATGGACGAGACCTGCGCATTATCAAAGGCCCCAGTGATTCCCATAGGATTTTTGAAGACAACACGCTGAGCATAACCTTTGCACTCCCGCTTTGATTTAACACAGTTGCGGCAGATAGGCTTCTCCTCGCCACATTTAATGCGCCGTTGTCGACATGCTAGTCCGAAAGTCAGTGACGGATGCTCCCTTGGCCAATTCAGGTTATCGACATACTCAAGCATCCCGTTTTCGTGCGCCGCTTGACCACTCTATGGGGTGGCGCATTTTTCATCATCGATTGGCCCTCTGTAGTGTCTGACTGCTCTCCGGATGGAGCGGCATCCGTTTTATCGGGAGGGTCATTCTCCGTAACTAGCTTTCTCATGACAGTATACTATCAACATCTGACTGCCCACAAAACAATCCCATAGCCACTATGAAACGTGGTTGGGAATTGCGCACATCAAAAGCCTGGAGACAGCTAAGTAAAAACGACGATCATAGAAAAAGCAGTCCGTCTACCCGAATTATCAGCCTGAGGCCCGTAGGATTGTCTATTTCCTTAGCAATAGAGACATCCAGATCGTTGAGACATTAGTTGAAAAAAAGCAATGCCCTTCTCTACCATCAGCAAACGAATCATCCAGAAATTAAACCCGGGAACTAGAACCAAAGCCGTGTGATGTCACGTGCCTTTGATATGGGGCGGAGCCGCAAAGTGCCGCATATGGGGTTACCGCCTGATTCACCGCCCAAATTTTTTCTGCGCCGTTGATAGACGGTTTCTTTTCTGGGTGGTACTTTGATTTCGGAGGAAAAGCAAACAAAAGAAAATTCAATGCTCACAAGAGGAACACAATTCTACGCAGCACTTCACCATGTTCGCCGTCCCAGGGTGGTCCGTCTCGAACGATGCTCTGAAAACTCAAACTGAGCAACCTAAGCCCAAGTCCGATGACAAGTCTGACAACAAGCGCAAGCGAGGAAATGATCATGTCACCAAGAAGAATGTGGATGCGATGTACCGTCAGCACATTGAAGGTCGCAAGAGAGCTCCTGTAAAAAAGAAGACCGAGAAGAAGAACAAGAATCAGGAACAGAAATCGCAAAACGGAGATACTTCGAATGCGCAGGAGCAACAAGGAAAGGACAAGAAGGAACCTAACGAGAACAAGGAAAAGAAGCCACAGCAACAATACGATGCGGATGATGCAACGGGTCCAGATGGAAATGAGGGAACCAAGCCCAGCAAGAAGCAAAAGAAGAACAACAAGAACAAGCCCGAGCAACCTCAAGAAAATGCCGACAAGCAAGCCACTTTGAATAAGACCTCGGCAGCGACTGAATCTCTGCCTGTGGCACTGCCGGTGACGGAAGCGAAGCTTACACCTCTCCAGCAAGCCATGCGGCAAAAGTTGATTTCTTCGCGTTTCCGCCATCTGAACGAGACCCTTTACACAACTCCATCTGCTCAAGCCCTGGAACTTTTCTCCTCGAACCCCGAACTCTTCAACGAATACCATGCTGGGTTCTCTCGCCAAGTGCAGGAATCCTGGCCGTCCAACCCGGTCGACGGGTACATCAAAGCAATCCGGGCCAGAGGAGCCATGTCTGACAAGAAAGGCAAGTTCGACAAGAAACGGGCTCAACAAGGGCCCTCTCTTCCTCGCCGTCCAAATGGAACCAGCACAATTGCTGATATGGGCTGTGGTGATGCCCAGCTCGCCCGCTCGCTTACCCCGTCGGCGGACAAGCTTAAGCTCAAGCTTCTCAGTTACGATTTGCACAACGCCAACGAATACATTACCAAAGCAGACGTCAGCAACCTACCTGTCAAGGATGGTTCAGTCGATATCGCCATCTTCTGTCTGAGTTTGATGGGAACCAACTGGGTATCTTTCGTTGAAGAGGCATGGAGAGTGCTGCGCGGTGACGGCAAGGGTGAATGCTGGGTAAGTGAGGTCAAGAGTCGTTTCGGAAAGGTAGTTCGCAAAAAAGGCTCGATCGGCACCAAGAAGCCACTCAGCAAGTCTGAGAAGAAGAAGCTTAAGAAGAAGCAAGCCGACGCGGAGGAGGCTGGTTCGGATTTGGATGATACGGAGGTCTACGCTGAAGATGCCCGTCCAACTGAAAATGACGAGACGGATATCTCGTCGTTCATCGAAGTGTTCCGGACGCGAGGATTCGTTCTCAAGCCCGAGTCGGTGGACAAGTCGAACAAGATGTTCGTGAAGATGGAGTTTGTGAAGCAGGGTGGTGCGCCTAGCAAGGGCAAACATGCATCGGTCACTGGTGCCGGCGCCGGTGCCGGAAAGAAAAAGTTCATTGAGAAGCCGCAAGAGCTGGACTTGTCCCCTGAAGAGGAGGCTAGCACTCTTAAACCCTGTGTCTATAAACTTCGGTAGCATTTGAAGTCATTTGTACATAGACAGGCCCCGTAATAGTTGAACATGGGTCATGAAAAGCAATTTATGTGAAAATTCATAGCATTAGGACCAACATTATCCTTTTCTATTTCATCCATTGTAAAGGTGACAAATTGTACCATGCTTGACGGAGATCATTCCCATTCCCCAGACAGTCGTGTAGTCATTCATAGTTTATTGATTGCTGTCCAATTGAGCCACAGCCTTGCCCATATCTTCATCATCATAAATACGGAATCCCTTGTCCTTTGTGACACTGGCGAGCTGAACGTTCTTTGAATCCAGCTTCTCCTCCATAACCTGCTTCAAGGTCTTCAAAACCAGAGTCTCGGCCTCGGGCAGTGTCAAAGAACGGTGGTATTCGTTCTGCAACTCTGCCTGCGCACCCTCGCTTCCGGAGCCGATGGCTTTCGCATCGTATCTGTAGAATGTACCCGATGGCTCGGCGTGATATCTAGAAAAATCACATGTTAGCATGGACTTCGTGCCCCATGGCAAGCAATATGAAGCCAGTTATACGTACAGCTGCGGCCCATCCTCATCGTAACCGGCAATTAACAAAGCAACACCAAAAGGTCTACTCATCACAGATTCCTCATCATCACCAGTCTCTCCGAACCGGAGGGCAAGATCACAAATGGCCTGGGTGCAGCTTTCTACCCGCAGAGGCTCAGCGTAGTGGAAGGCATGGTTCTGGCTTTCGACACGGGCGTGCTCGACCAAGTTCCGGGCATCTGCCTGCAAACCGGACATAGCGCAACCAATATGCTGGTCGATCATGACGATCTTTTCGACGGACGAGGCCTCAAGCAGAGTGGATGTGACACGCTTCTCGACGCCCAAGATAACACCCTCCGATGTTGCGACCTGATGACAATGTCAGAATCTGTCCTTCACTCTGCACCAGCAAAGCCAAGAATAATGACCTGCTAGTACCTAGGATCCCTTTGAATGAAGATTGGAACATACACCGATCGCTGTCGAACCAAGTTTGATAGCTTCGAGGGAGTATTCGACCTGGAATAAACGGCCTTCCGGAGAGAAGGTGCTGTGGTGAAATCATTGTCAGAATTTGAACGAGGAAGATCAGCGAGGTCTAATATGGTCCGTACTTGATTCCACGGTCTATTGGAGAGTAAGCATGTTAGATTGGATTGACCACATTTGTTGGCGGGGAGAAGATGTCACATCAACCTACCATATTCTGATCGCGCGATGAACATGTTGGCGTGTCTGAAAGGAGATGGAAGGGATCGATATTTAATTCAAGAAGAAAGGAGAAATAGAGATGGTTAGATGGCAGGTAGAAGGGTTTAGAGAACGAGGTTGGGAGCTTGTTCGGGGAAGCTCGACGTGAAGCTCTCCAGGTCGGTCTGCGCCTACGCAAGTTGGTGCCTTACTGCCTCGTGTCAGTTTCTGCCTGAGGCTAGAAAGGCACCGACAAGAGCTACTTTCCATTATTGCCCTGACTGTTGATGGACGATACTGTCGCCCGACGTGTCGTGGTTGGGTTTGATTCCTGCTACACACTCAATTTCTCCTTTTATTTACCGATAAATTCCCTGCATGCTATTATTCCATGCTGCATAATTCACCACCCTTCTATCCCTTCCGTCTCGCGGGATCATGTCCGTCAATGACCGTCGCGCCGCCAGCTACATGAGCGCACCGCGACCCCGCGTCCCCTCGAATCGCAACAGTGACCCTGAGAAAACTGCGGCTCTACGAAGTGGATTACCTCCTTTACAAACGGACAATAACATGGAGCATATGCGCGGCAGTGCAGTTAGCCATAAAACTAGGATGCCGCGAGACCAGGTTCCTACCAGCGAAAAGCGCGCTGAGCGATCTGCCATCAGCACGCGGGAGAAAGCTCAAAGCCGAACGAGAAACTCGGTACAGGACACTAGCAGTGCGGGGAATCGAGGCAACCTGGAAAGAAGTCGGTCGAAGAGGGCCAGTAGTCCTAATATGCGGAAGAAAGAGAAGGAGCCCGCGGAGGGTCAGTCACAAAATAACCCCCGAGCCTTTCCATCCTACGGCCATTGAATCTACTCGCAATGCTGACATGAATTGCTTTGATTTTACAGTACCGTGGAATCCGCAAGCGTCGTTGATCCCTCATTCCACTGCACCGTTAGCATCTCGTGTCTCCGTCCCGCCTCTGGCCTCAGCATTACCGCAATCGCTGCAACCCAAATCCCTTCGCGAGCTTTCCACAGATGATCAAGAACGCGCGATTCTCGAGGACCTTTTATTTGTCTTTATGGGCTTTGAAGGGCAATATATCCATTACAACGCTCCCTACGACCCGTCCGTCGAAATGGACCGTCTGACTGGCCCCGCGTTTCAATTGGCATCAGGGCTAGATCCAACGCTAAGAGACCTCGCCCTGTCTATGCTGAAAATGGCGACTCATTATAATGCATTGGAGGCGTTCGTGGAGGTACAAAGTCGCGCGGAATTTGGGGCGGTTAGCCATGCCATGTGCGCGGTCATCCGGAAACTATTGAAAGATTACTTGATCCTCATCGCTCAGCTCGAGAACCAGCTTCTGAACAATCCCAATTTCACTCTACACGTCCTTCATATACATACGATGCCTACGGCCCAATGTCTAGCTCAGCTATACTCGCTTGGCCAAGAACTTCTTCGACGGAACGGACTTCTGGACCAAGACCTCGACGAATCAATCGACGATTTTGATGACGTAGATAACATTCTCGAACAACTTAAGGAAGGCGGGGACCTTGTTCCTGGTGCCATGTCTAGCAAGAAAATCTGCAAAGGAGGCAATGTCCTCCGGTTGTTGACTGAGCGGTTGGCAACACTTTCAGGAGACCCAACTGCCAAGACGCTCTTGGAGACTCTGCTTCGCGAGGCTAGTCGGCCATATATGACCATGCTCAATGAATGGTTACATCACGGAGGCATTAAAGATCCCCACGCAGAGTTCCTGGTCAAAGAGCAAAAGTGGATCAAGCGGGAGAAGCTTGAAGAAGACTACACAGACGAATACTGGGAGAAAAGATACACAATACGCGAAAATGAGGTTCCACCACAACTCGAAAGTGTCAAGGAGAAGGTCCTTTTAGCTGGGAAATACCTCAATGTTGTCCGCGAATGTGGCGGCGTCGATATCAGCAAAGCAGTCAAGGATGTCCCCAAGACCCTCGATGATCCTCGGTTTTTGGAGAACGTCAATGGGGCGTATACATACGCTAATGCGTCATTGCTGAATCTCCTGTTGACAAAGAACTCGCTTACAACCCGCTTCCGTTCCCTGAAACATTACTTCTTCCTCGATCGCTCCGATTTCTTCTCGTACTTCCTGGAACTGGGCGCGTCAGAATTGCGCAAACCAGCGAAGATTGTTAATGAAAGCAAGCTACAATCGCTTCTCGATTTGGTCCTGCGACAACCGGGTAGTATCGCAGCCCAAGATCCTTTCAAGGAGGACGTCAAGGTGCGGATGAATAAGATTGGGCTCACGAAGTGGCTTATGCAAGTCGTGAGTGTTTCCGGAATTGATCAGGATAATCCAGAGGCCGCGATTGAGAAATACCAAGCGCCTCCGACGCAAGGTACGGAGGACGACAAAGATATCGTTGGATACGATGCTCTTGAATTAGACTACTCAGTACCTTTTCCTTTATCTCTTGTTATCAGCCGCAAGACCGTCCTTCGATATCAACTGATATTCCGCCATCTTCTGTCTCTCCGCCACTTGGAGGACCTGCTAGTGACTTCTTGGCTAGACCAAAGCAAGGCCATAAGCTGGCGGCACAAGTCCTCAGATCGACGGTTAGAATTATGGAAGCGACGAGCATGGAACCTGCGTTCGAAGATGCTGGTATTCGTCCAACAACTGCTCTACTTCTGCACTTCCGAAGTCATTGAGCAGAATTGGCAGAATCTGATGGACAGGGTGAACGGTACGGATGCAGACGGCTCGGAGGTGACTGTCAACGGCACCAAACAAGTGAACCGAACGGTCGATGAGTTAATGCAAGACCATGTCGATTTCTTGGATACATGTCTCAAGGAGTGCATGCTGACGCAGGCGAAGTTGTTGAAGGTTAGTAGCACTGAACTCTTGTATTAGCGCGCTTTTTATCGGCAAGGTTCGCTGACTTGAGCAAAGATTCACTCCAAACTCATGACCTGTTGCACCATGTTCGCGTCTTGGACCGCAGCATCGTTATCACGGGCGCTAAGTTCAGCGGACCTAGATTTATCTTCCAAGAACCCTAACCCAGATGCGAAAGGCTATGATCCATCACGAATCAGCAAGCTGGAGGATACGCTGAAGAGATACGAAGATCACTTCAACCGGCATCTGCGGATCCTGATGGACAGGTAAGATACGAACCAGTGACCGATGTCCCATGTGCGTGTCTAACCATTATGGCAGTTTGAACTATTTTGCCGCAACTGAGAGTGTTGTCCTCTTGAAGCTTGCCCATGCCTTAAGTTCGATCGGTAAAGAGGATTGAACTGGCATACGACCCGGCATCTTGATACTGTAACAACTTGTCGTGTTGGCATTCAACCATCCAGAGTACAATCCGGAAGCATAGTTTAGGCAAGTGTCGCTTTCGTTTGTGCGTGAGCACCTCAGAACAACGAACCGCGGGTCAGCTTTATAGCTTTCCTTGACCATTGTCCACATGGCAAATGACCCCTTTGCCATATTGTTTCCAAACTACAACAACTGCAAACCCACGTTCGCGATATCATGACACGCCTCTTTATTGTTTCACTCGTCTAAAGGGGCCCCTTCCCGAACAACTCCGGAGTCGAATGGTGGATGACCTTTTTCTTTGTAGTTTATGGGAATCGATTCGAGCAGGAGCTCCTCTCCGTGCGGCGGCTTTCGTCGGGAGGATTAAACGCGAGAGAGGCTGTGTATTTTTGGTTTATTAAAATACCCTGGTGCAGATTATTGCGAATTCATGTTCCCTGTTCAGCTCCTGTTCTTCATGCGTGTAAATAGGACTCATGCGGAACTATACATATCTAGCAATCAGTGATGTGACGTCTATTGGGATATATCCCAGACAAAATGCTCTTTCCGCGCCGGAATGGTTCGTGAATGAATGACAGTTACTGAAGAGTATCCTGCCTGGCCCACTGACTCCTCGTATGTACATAGTAGTGGACGAAATATGAACTGTATTACTATGGAACCAGTTAGCATCACAATTGCCCCAGTCAATACCAACTAAATCTATATCTGACTATGGCCATTACGCGGTGGAGACAGAAATTAATTACTGAAGATTCCATTTCGTAAGTGTAGTTAGAAGCCCCTGCGATTATCGTTATCTTGCATCCATGACTCAAACAACTTTCTGCAAGTAGATCTCGATAAGAGAAGTGATGAACTGGCCGTCGAAGTCATCTGGAAGCACCAGCTGACCTGTTAGCAGCCGGTATTCAGTGCGGGTTTCTTTTTCCGAAGATTCTCGTGCTGAGTTGTCTGCCATACGGGACGTCCAATGGGCTCAGGAGGTACTTCGTACATACTCCATAGAGACTATGGAGACTATGGAGAATTGGATATGCCGAGTCCTCACCGACTAAGCCCCCCAATGGATCCATTGTTATTCTGCAGAAGGTGAGAAAAAAGGAAAGAGGACAGCCAATGCCTAGTTCTGTATGGAGTACGATAATCCTATTACTATTCTGATGTTAGATGCTGTACTACTTGAAATGCTTCCATAAAATGCCTGAATTTTGCGATTGCGCGGCAGAAGCAAATATTCAAGGCTCATTTGCAATGGCCGATAAAATGAGTCCGGCCCACCTACCTGCTCCATATTTCATGGCCTCCGTATCTCGTTTAAACAGTTTCGCCCCCTGATACAGAGAAAAGCAAAGTCTGAAGAGAACATGCTAGCAGAGGGGCAAAAAATATTGTCATATCTTCAAATTCTCGGAAATATCGTGGGCCACACTAACGGGACTAACCGCCATCGTTAGTCTCCGAATACACTCTCGCTTCCCGAGAATGCGAACCATGGCGCTGGAATCGTTACCAACCCTGCCTCTAGAAATATCTTTTCTTGACAGTGAGACCCGGCGGCTTGGATGCTGTCTTTTCCAATCCTGGCAGACCATGCTGATGCGCATGCGTTCCCGGATGTGCATGCATTGCGTCACAAGCGCCGCTGACCGCCCATTCACGTTCAGTCCATCTCGGTTTCAAGGCTAGGAACTCCCCGAGGGCCCAAACGTGCTAGTAACCAGTAGTGATAATGTAATGTAGCCCCTAAATACCTGCATGGCCATGCATGTCGACTCGCGTAATGGCTATGCCGGTTATATTCCGTCTGTTTATTCGGTCCATAACATCGAACCAGAACCTTAGAATGACGGATAAAGAAAATGCACATGCAGCATGCGTGATTGTTATAATCCTTCGGGTCTCCAAACAGAAAACGGCATATTCCACGGAAATAGTACCAACATAAGTGACTATACCGGGTAGAAACAATGGTCTCCCTAACGGATCCATGAAGGTGCCAGTTATCTCATTATTGCTTGAGCCTTGCGCGAGCCGTTGGCCGCTCGAACCCATTGAGCACACGCTAAGGCAGGCTTGGCTTTTGGACAAAACAGCACCATATCCACGACTGCTCGCCGTCGTAATATGGATCGTTATCCATTCAATACGAGTCTCAGTTTTAAGCCGACAGAGCATAAGCGATAACGGAAGGAGCGGTGAAGCCGGGAAAGGAGACCGTCCGTAATGAGACTGCTGGGAAGCGAGATTATACTGTCTGTTCCCTTGTCTCCTGCTGATCCTCAGGCCGCCCTCAGTCAACTTCCCCACTATACTTGAACACCAATGTCGTCATTTCGCTGTCCGGTGGTTTTGCCAATAGTATTTCTCAGAGATATGATGTGAACTCTGGGGTCGTTTCCCAACGGGTGAAGGGAAAGAACGTAGTGGACATTTTGCAGTAAATCTGCAAAAGACCCATATAATGGTTAATGTTCAACTTCCCCCCAGTCTGCTTCGTACACATAGCCACTTCCATTTCGGGCATGCTGCTCATATTCGGGTGCTGTTTCTTTTCTCCGTTAGTCCAGAATCGTAGCTCTTTGTTTCCGTCTCTGGTGTCTTATTTCAGCCCCTCGTGTGATTGGTTGGATTTGTCATTCGATCTCAGCAGGAACATTTGAACGGGCCCTGGCTGTCCATTATTTGCTGAATACCCCCGTAGCACCTGTGGCCATGCACACCCTTAGGGCTTGTGACCATTAAGGTACCGTCGTCGGATAAGATCAGAGTGCCTTGTGATTAGACATACTGCAAGTCCAGTATCAATTCATTGGCACATTTGAAATTTCACATATTCAACCCGCTCTAAACCCTCAGGTCAGGATGGTGTGCTGATGAAAGATCAATCTAGCTTTGTCATTCTCTTTCCAAGTCGTGTGGGCTCAGCCATACCAACACCGTAAGGAACAATCACTTTTCGGCCATCCTTGCGTTTTAGAATTGTCGGCACCGGTAACCTTCCGGAACCCATCAACGGCCCCTCCTTTCCTTGTGATCTGGCTTGGGCTTCTGGACCCAAAGTCCGGACCTTATGCCGAGTTTAAAAGGTAGATAATTGTTTTTTTTTTTTTTTTTCCCTCTTGGAAAATGAATAGTCATATTTCTTTGTTACCGCACGACGCTGTCCAAGGAGTAATTACCATTTGTCGTATTCCGTCTTTCAGGAGGGTGTCTTAGGCAATCGTCGCAAATGATTCGCTCTGTTCCTTGAAGCAAGCAGAGCCTTTGCAGTCCACGCCTCTGGGCTGAGCGGAGAGGGATTGTGCGGATTTTCCCACCGTCCGTACATTTTGGTACGAATACAGTGTCTCGCGTAGTAATCTTCCATGCCGTTTCCAAGAAGCACACACCATACATATACTGTTTGGCATCAATGCCGAAGTATCTTTCATGCCACGCCGATCGCTTTCATCATAATTTGAGTATACCAGCCCACGAATTGTGACAATAAACGAACCATATAACTCGTGACGATATTCTCTTGTCGCCCCTGAACCAGTTTGCGAAGATACATGCCGAAACCATCCTAGGTAGACAAAAGTCCAAGGAATTAGGATGACGTACCAGGCCTCCCCTCAACATTCGTACAAAACTACTGGACTGGCTGACCTTTTCTGCGGACACCAAGGAGCCCAGATTCGCAAACCGAATCTCTGGACCAGCAACTATTGGAGACCATAACCGTCCAAGATCGCCAGTATCAGAAATATTCGATTGATCACCGCATATCGTTTGTCCCTGTTGATGAGGTATGACAGCATCCGGTTGGTTACAGCTCTCAGCTGACACTAGTCTGCTTGACAGGAAGAAGCAGAGCGTCTCGAGATCCAACATCGCGTTTTCCAAAGGGTATTCGATGACCGACTCATTTTTCCACCAGTCTCTCGGCCGCGAAGAGTGCTTGACTGCGGATACGGTGCGGGATCATGGGCTATCGAAGCTGCTGAGCGATACCCTTATTGCGAGGTGAAAAACTGAAAGGCCTTTTGCTTCATCACAAGCCCACTGACCGTCAGTCATCAAAAGGTAACTGGGGTCGATATATCGCCGCACATGAATCCAGACGACATGCCGGACAATTTGTGGTTACAGGTGGGTGTTCCACGCACTGGTTCTTGAGGCTGTTTTGATTCCAAGCGTTATCTCTCGGGCATTGAAAAATCGACTTCCTAGAAGAGATCTGTCATTCTCCTTGCTTCCTTCACCAGAGCCCCCTCATTTGCTCCAAGGTTATAAGCTATAAGCGAGGTCTGTGCAAGAAATGATACTGACCCTATCTTATGTAGGTCGACGATCTCAACCGCTCGTTCACTTTCGATTCGAATTGGTTCGATCTTGTCCACTCGAGGCTCCTCGCAACCGGGCTCAACCGCTCAAGGTGGCAGTCATATTTTCAAGACATCAAAAGGTACGACTTTTGACAAGGATAGCTACTGTCAGATCCCATCAATTACCGCATTCTAACATTACACGGGTCTCCTAGGGTTCTGAAACCGGGTGGCTGGGTACAAGTAGTCGAGATATATTTCAACGTTCAATCCGACAACGGCTCGATCACCGAAGAACATGGCTTAAGGCAATGGAGCGCGAGGTTCATGAGATCACTGGAAGACACCAAGGACCTCCGTGTGGGAACGCGACTAAAAGCGCTCATGATGGGAGCAGGGTTGGTAGACATCGACGTCAGGATGATCCCACTGCCACTCAGTGCATGGTCGGGTGGTAAGTGCGCTATTTTATTTCTCCTGCTTACTATCGCCGACACCTTTTCTGACACTGCTCCAGATCCACGAATGCGAGAAATTGGCATGGTAAATCGAGAAAATGTCAAGCGCCTGTTTTCGGCGTTGGCACATTACCCTTTGACACAAAGTCAGCGTATGCCTCAGGAGGAATTCCAAACACTGGTGACTAAGGCCGCGCATGAAGCCGACAACCCCAGAATCAAGGCATATTTCCCCGTGTAGGTGACGGTCCACCCATAACGTGATGTGGAAAACAATCATCTGACAGCCTAGATACGTCTGTATTGGACGGAAACCATAAGTGTAAGGATTATGAGGACAGGTGCGTTGGATCTTGACCGGTGGAATCATCCGCTAAGCAGGTTCTCGCACATGGGAGGTTGCACATTGGACTTAGCTAGCGAGAGCCCGGTGCCGCTGTCATGTTAGGTACTTCTTCCTCGATTTCACAATTAAAGTAACGAACAAAACGAACGGTCAGTTTAGATGTTTTTTTTTTTTTCTCGATGCCTCCTTATTCTGCGCCTTTGAGCATTTTTGTCCATAGCACTAGCCATCCCGCCAAACAAGCTGGTCCAACAGTTCGTAACTGCATGTCGTTGATACTTCCATCAAGATATAGACTAAAATCGGTGTGTTTTACCCATGATCTACGCCCGGACGGGGAAGCACCACAAGGCCTTAGAATGGACTAGCTTCGGGGATCGGACGGCGTGTGGATCAAACGAACACCTGGCTGATACAGAGCAACAGTGCAGACTATCGTAACTCGAGGAATTTTGCAATCTCGGGGAGTCAAATGAGTTTCTCGGCTGCTAGAGCAACAGAAAATTATCCAGAGTCAGTGATAACTTCCAAGTACGAACGCACAGAGTGAGTAGACAACACACCTTTATTACAGTAAAAAATGCACCATCAAAACATCACATCCTCCGAGCTCAACCTAGCATTACAGATAGAAGTACTGATGGCGGGCCATAATGGCCCTGAGGATGCTGCCATGCCATATGTGATAGGGGGAGCTTAGACGAGAAGCTCTGGGAGAATGCAAGCCCGATCTCCGTGAGATCGGGCTAATGATAATGGCCAGGAGTCATCTCTGGGGCTTCAGAAGACAATCTCGACGGATCACGATGTGGAAGAGATGAAATTAATGCCAGATGTTAGGATGTCGGAAAGGAAAGGAGAATGAAGATGAGGGAGGAAGAGAAGTCCAGCAGGGGGAAGAGAAGCGCCGTCGCGGGTACGGAACCACACTGCTGGGACAGGCATACGAACACCAGTTGATGCCCAACATCGAACTTCAGCATTGGCCACTGTAGTAGAATGAAAGCAAGAGTGTTTATCTATTGTTCACTGTCTACAATTTACACCAAAATGATGATTGCTATACAACTTCCATGGCGTCTTGTCTGGATCATGACCCCTAATTGACACTCCTGTTCGACTACATTCCTCTTAACGAAATTGGATTGAAAAAAAAAAAAAAAAAAAAAAAAAAAAAAAAAAAAAAAAAAAAAAAAAAAGTTCTACATTAACAGAGGTTCTAGTTTGCAATTCGCCTTATTCTCGGGGCTGATCATGTAAGACTAAACAGAGCTCATGTAGGCAAACCGAGATGGGCGGATATCAAGAGACCACCGAAATACTCCGGAAGCTCTCATCTATTTTTGGTGGCCGAAAAGCAGCATTTTATACGGAGTACTTCCTCATGATTAGGTCTCAGAGAAGGATACAAAGATATTACCAAGCATTAGGTAGCAAAGACTATCTCAAGTCGGCTGGCACGTTATTTCATGTCTCTGCCGGCATTCGCGAGTCTCATACATTGGATACCTCGAAACAAGCAGTGGTCCTTTATCACTAGCGAATAGCATGGAGAAAGCTCAATACAGAGAACACGGACCATTCTTTTCTCTCGACGTTCTCTATAGACGCGCTTGGGCGCTTACGGCGCAAGATTCAGATATTGATGCCTTAAGAGTGTGCTTTTAATGCCTTAATATAAAGGCTACAAATAGTGTCCTAATCCGGTAAGCGGCCTGCGGGCAGAAAAAATGTTGGTCAAGAAAATCATCCATTATTCCATTTGACTCTTCCGGTCAGCTGCAACACAGACCTCAAAATGCCATCGACATATAAAAGAGAGAAGCCGTGGGACACGGATGATATTGACAAGTGGAAAGTGCGTCTACAGCATATAGATTTTTCCAGATTTCAAATGAATTTTTTCTTGCTTTTGCTAATCCGCAAATTTGCGACAACAGGAGGAAGTATTCAAAGCCGATGACAATCTTGGCGGAAGTTTTGCAGAGGAATCGTCTTTTGCTACGCTTTTCCCCAAATACCGTGAAGTCTACTTAAAGGAAGCATGGCCGGTTATCACGAGAGCGTTGGAGAAGCTTGGAATCGCGTGCACTCTAGACTTGGTCGAGGGTAGCATGACTGTCAAGACGACCCGGAAGACTTTCGACCCTGCTGCAATTCTGAAGGCGCGTGACCTTATCAAGTTGCTTTCGAGAAGTGTGCCTGTGCAACAGGTCAGTGCCGTTTATTTTCTTCACTCATGTAGTTTGCTTGACTGACATCGTCCGATCGCTAGGCCCTCAAAATCCTCGAAGATGGATGCGCATGCGACATCATCAAGATCCGCAGCCAAGTTCGCAACAAGGAACGATTCGTCAAGCGTCGTCAACGTATTCTGGGTCCCCAAGGTTCCACCCTGAAAGCCCTCGAGCTCCTCACCAGCACCTACATCCTAGTCCAAGGAAACACCGTCTCCGTCATGGGCCCCTTCAAAGGATTGAAGGAAGTTCGCCGTATCGTAAACGACTGCATGGCCAACATCCACCCTATCTACCATATCAAAGAGCTCATGATCAAGCGAGAACTCGCCAAGGACCCTACTCTCGTCAATGAATCCTGGGATCGATTCCTGCCCAACTTCAAGAAGCGCACTCTCTCGAAGCGTCACCAGCCGGCCAAGATCACCGACAAGTCGAAGAAGGTGTACACTCCTTTCCCTCCTGCGCCGGAGAAGAGCAAGGTGGACTTGCAGATCGAGTCGGGCGAGTACTTCTTGTCCAAGGAGGCCAAGGATCGCACGCACAAAGAAGAGGTTATGGAGAAACAGCGCCAGAAGCGCGAGGAGAAAATGAAGGAACGCGAAAAGGCTTTCATTGCACCCGAGGAGCACGATGCTGCCGCGAAGAAAAAGGAGGAGAAGAAGGAGAAGAAGGAGAAGAAGGAGAAGAAAGAAAAGAAGAGAAAGCGCGAGTCCGAAACCGAGCCAGACGTCGAGAACTCCGAAAAGAAGGAAAAGAAGAAGAAGAAGAGCAAATCTGCAGAAGATGCAGAGGATTGAATGATATAATTATGTTGTTCCTGAATGGTTTCTTCTTTTTCTCGAGGCGCTTAGGCATAGCATGGGCTGGAGTTCTTTTCTACTCTTTCTGTACTCTTCAAAACAAAAACTGTGGATTGAATTATTTTCAATGTTGATATCTATCTCAAATACCAGGCAGGCTGTCTTTTTCGAATATATATGGAGCACGTCCACTCATCATGAACATTTGTATCACTTTTTGTGCACAGAATAGGACACTATTTTCTCATTTTCCAACTAGCAAGTGGGTTCCATCAATAGATTGTTGATATTACATTCGCAGAGCTCTTCAAGTCCTTGTAAGGTATATCCAAATCTATATACAAAAATTATAGACCAAAATACAACCCAAATACATCAGAGGCTCCTATTGATCACAGCTTAGCCTGTCCACTCTCTATCAACGACCAACCCTGCACATCAAGTTTCTCGTATTTCGTTCCATTCAGCCAATACAGCTTATCGCCCTTGGCGTCGGTAGGATCCCATCCTTTCTTAACCAGATCACCTTTCGCTTGCTTGAAGGTAGCGCTAGTTGCGACCCTAGAACACATGTTAGCAAACTGCCATGTGATCGTAAAGGTGTGGGAATAGGCGCTAGACGTACTTCTCAACTAGTCGTACGAGGCGTGGGACGGCGTACGTTGGCACGCCCTTCGTTCTGAGCTGACGGTGTAAGTCACCGATAAATTCACTCTCTGTCGTTGCGGATGCATCTTGCAGCGTGACTCCTGCGGCGCCGGCTTGGCCGTCGTACCTGTATCAGAGGGTTAGTTAATCATTAGGCTTCGAAAAGAACTGTGTGCGACTTACCCATTCAGCCTCACGCCATAGACCACTGCATCGTAGACACCCGGGATCGAACAGATGTGATCGCGAACCTCTCCCGCGCTGACATTCTCGCCCTTCCACCGAAAAGTATCTCCCACTCGGTCCTGAAACTTCACCCATCCAGCACTATCCCGGACAACCAGATCTCCCGAGCGCTGGAAGATATCTCCCTTTTCGAAAACATCGCGAAGCAGTTTCTTCTCTGTCGCATCCTCGTTGTGAAGATACTCGATAAGCATACCGCGGTCCCTAACCCGTCCAATGGCCTCCCCTTCCTCTCCAAGCGTAGCCTTGACACAGAATCCCGTCTGCGGGTCACGATAGGGCATTTCCGTTTCAGTGTCGTATTTGACGATGAACACTTCGTCCTCGAGGTATCGCTTGATGGCGCCTGAGAACCCGATCTTTCCGGCACCCCATGCGCCAACGCCCCAATTGTCGAACCGGGCAACTCCTTCTGTGGAACGGTAGAATTCTCGGATTTCGGGAACTGCGAAGCGCTGGCGAAAGGCTTCCCAGATGTCTTCTCGTAGGCCATTTCCGACGGCTACGATACACGAATGGTCCCTGTCATAGGGGGATGAAGGAGTTCCTAGAAGGTAGCGGCAGAGTTCTCCGATGTACAGGATTCTAGTCGCTCTCGAATCGTGGACATCTTTCCAGAATTGCGAGGCGGAGAATTTGCGGCGCAGGCATAATGTGGATGCATTGCCAACCGAGTAGCATAGACCAGTGAAGAATGCGGTGCCGTGGAAGAGCGGAAGAGGAGAGTAGGTGCGCAAGGGGTAGTACTTGGAGGGATTGTCAACATCGACGGTCTGAGGGTTGGAGGTAACCAATGATAACATATTCCGGATAGCACAGGCTTTTGGCTTCCCTGTTGTGCCGGAGGTGTAAATGAGCGCAACGATATCGCTGGGAGACTGCTTAGCCACGGCAATTCCGGAGGACGAGTATTCTTGCAAGTCGGCTGGTGTGACAAGCTCGATCGGTCCGGGTGAGACACCTTCAAAGGAGGATAGACTCAGTGCAAAATGAGGCAAGTCGGAGCATACAAACTGCGACAAGTCCGGTGTTGAGATAATTGTTTTCGATTGGGAAACGTTGAGACAGTGTATGAATGTGTCATCTGTTTGGGGTAGGGCGCATGTTAATTCTTTCTGTTAAGCGATGCTTTCAGGAACATCGATACATACCTCGCAAACTTGTGTTGATAAGCGCAGCTATGACACCCAGCTTTGCACATGCATAAGACATAACAACCATCTCGGGGGAATTGGTCATGAATACGGCAACCGCGTCGCCGGATTGGAGGCCTCTGGCATGAAGTAAAGCTGCCATTCGATCGACCACTGCACGTTCTCATCAGTATATTCCGCGCAAAAGAAATTGTACAGGGATACACTCACGATCCTTCAATTGGTGATAGGTCCAGGTCTTGTGTTCAAACCATAGTGCCTCCCTTGAACCATGTCCATCAACATCCACTGCACGCTCCAGCATCCTGTAGATTGTCGTCGAATCTCCCAGGTCGGCAATGCGCTGGCTCAATCGCTTCATCCAGGAACGATCGTTCCTAATTGACGAAATGTCTGTAGAAACCCCGAGTTTCGCATCGAGATAGGCTCCTGCTGTCACCGCAAGGGCCGATGCTATCGCCATGGAAGGCGCGCTGATGTTAGAGAGGATATCCATGAGCCCCGTTGATGATATTATGCGACACTAGTTAGCTGGTATAGATCATAAGAGTATTCCGTAGTATCCGAATTGTTGCGTGCAATCGCCTCGGTGGCAATGTTCTGGTCTGTTTCAAACAACGGTAGCCCTTGCGTTCTCAAAGGTACACCGGACGACGCAGTTGGTAATATCTCGAAGTTATATCTGGCCAGGTTGATAGAGACCTCAAAACCGAAGTTTGAATGCGGAGTCTGCCAGCTGCGCCATTTGCCGGTCCCTCCAGTTGGAATATGTATGGGGTACTCCGTGCTGTACTCCGTAATGTCCCCAGGTACTCGTTTCTCCGGTTAGTCTCTTTGCCGTGGATCTAGATCCAAACTAGCAGTTTGTATCTGCGTACTCCATACCCCGGGTTCAAACATAATGACGTGTTGCGTGCCAATGCGCAACAACATGGCCAATACGAAGGCTAGCCTGTATGGAGCCCGTCAAGACTCTCTGAATTTGGATGTCTTTCTTATCATCCAAAACCGCCGTCGACCAATAATCGCCGCTGGGCCTGCAACGCCGATAACCGAGGCGTTCGCTGTGACGGTATCATACAGGATCCTGTAATTATGGACGGCATCGTATATCGGTTCTCGCCAGGAGACAAGAGAAGGAAACAGCGTCGTTTATGAGTCTGCAATGTCTTTGGATCAATATCATGTGCCTGGACCCGGCGATCATTGGGCGTGGCGAGTTACTGTACAGAGTACCCCGGAGTAAAGTGACCTTCGGTTCGGCTTTTATTATTTTGAGGTCCCAGATGCCGCGGTCCGCACGGGCAAATATGGATAATGCCCCGGACCCCGTAGTAGTACAAAATACTGGCTAAGGGGACTGAATTGATTTTTGACACTCTTTTTAAGTTGTCTTGTCATTCCTATTCCCTCCTCCCATTAAAAACAAAACGAATATCATCGCAACCATGTCTTCGCCACAGCAACGCTTGTCTTCTATCACAAACCAAGTGTCTGGAGGTGCCACCGCCAGACAACAACTCCTGTCCAAGAACCCTGATGATGTGGTAGGTAGAAGTCGACATGGCGATTGTCTCTAGGACCGAGGCTAAGAATCCGTTATAGGTCATCACATACGCTGCGCGCACTCCTCTTACCAAGTCCCGGAAGGGTGGATTGAAGGACACTTCCATTGACGACTTGCTCATTTCGCTTCTGACGGTATGTCTCAACCAATGCCTTATTATGAGCAGTACCGTATCTGACAACTATTTGTGTATAGACCATCCGCGAGAAGTCGAACCTCGATCCCAACCTCGTGGAGGATGTCTGCGTCGGCAACGTCCTTGCTCCTGGCTCTGCCTATGTCGCCCGTTCCGCCGTTCTCGCCGCAGGATACCCCGTGACAGCTGCTGCATCCATCGCGAACCGATTCTGCTCCTCCGGTTTGCTCTCAGTTCAGAACATTGCCAACCAGATCATCGCTGGCTCGATTGACATTGGTATTGCGGTGGGCGCCGAGAGCATGAGCACTACCCCCGATGGCGGTGCACCAGAGATGTCGGATAAGATCTTGTCGCACCCGATTGCGTCGCAGAACCAGCAGCCCATGGGCCAGACTTCGGAGAACGTCGCCGCTCAGTTCAATATTCCCCGTGAAGCGCATGACCAGTTTGCTGCCAAGAGCTTCCAGAAGGCCGAACACGCGCAGAAGTCCGGCTGGACGGCCGACGAGATCATCCCTGTCCAGACCAAGGTCAAGGACCCCAAGACCGGTGAATTCAAGGACGTGGTTGTCAACCGGGATGACGGTATTCGCTATGGTACTACCCCGGAGTCGCTGGGCAAGGTCCGGTCCGCATTCCCTCAGTGGAAGCCCAGTGCTACGACAGGTGGAAATGCTAGTCAGATCACCGATGGTGCAGCTGGTCTTCTTCTTATGAAGAGATCGCGCGCGCAGGCTCTGGGACAGCCCATCGTGGCCAAGTTCTGCGGAGCTACCGTTGCGGGCCTGGAGCCCCGTATCATGGGTATCGGGCCATCTCTCGCTATTCCTAAGATTCTTTCCAAGTTCAATCTGAGCAAGGAAGAAATTGACATCTTCGAGATTAATGAAGCTTTTGCGTCTATGGTAAGTATAATTTGGTCTTGAAAACAAGAGACAAACGGCTAATGTAACCTAGGGCGTCTACTGTGTTAACAAGCTCGGACTCGATCTCGCTAAGGTCAACCCGCGTGGCGGTGCTATGTAAGTGACTGTTTCCCCCATTGCATATGACTGGTAGCTAACTGATCTTCCAAGTGCCCTTGGTCACCCGCTGGGTTGCACTGGTGCACGCCAGGTTGTTACTGCTCTGTCTGAGTTGCGGCGACAGGACAAGAGAGTCGCAGTGACTTCAATGTGTGTTGGGACAGGCATGGGTATGGCTGGTATCTTTGTTTCCGAGCACTAGGACTATTATATGCTGGGATAAAATTATGAATGTAATTATATTAATGATGAGTTTGGAATCTTTGTCTGTGCTTGTACTATATCGACATCCGATATCGCTACGGTGATAAGATCAGTGGGTCGCCCGATAACTATGGTCGAGGATATGCTGAGATAAATCTGAGTCCATTATGCTGCGTTGCTGCATTGTAGAACGTTGAGTCGCAATCAGAATTAAGATGCATAAAATAATAAAAAGAAGAGCCGAATCCTGCGATGTGCCGTGGTCAGGTGTGTGATACATCACGTGCTACCATCACCGCTTCTCCTCATCCGACGCAATGATCTCCAATGCACTTCTTTCTCCCCATCTCGCCATCGTTGAGCCTCTCCCAACACAAGATTCTTAACGAGCCATCCACTCCGGACACTACGATTACTCACTGATTTTCATTAACTCCGTGAGAAAAAGACAACGGCAGTTTACCATCCCGCGACGATGAAGCTCTTATCAGCTACCGCTGCCTTGTTCGGCCTTCTCGCCCCCGTTTCCGCTGCTGGCTCTCTCCAAGCTCGTGCTCCCGCGTTCTTCGACATATCCCAGACCCCGATCAAGTCTGCTGGTGATATTCCCGTGAAAGGAAACAACCCGTTGACTTACTGCGCCGACCCGTCGAGCTACAGCTTGGATATCAAATCGGTCGACTTGACGCCGAACCCCCCTCTTCCGTATGTTATTGATACCCCTAAACAATACGAATAACTGTCCATAATCTAATACTTGTGTCTATCTAGTGGTCAAACTCTTGTCATTGAGGCTGCGGGTACCTTGCACGAAAAGATCGAGAAGGGTGCTACTGTGCTCTTGGAGGTCAAGTATGGCCTGATCACTCTTATCAGACAAACCGCCGACCTTTGCGAGCAAATTGAAAACGTCGACCTCCACTGCCCGTTGGAGAAGGGTGACATGACTCTGAAGACGCAGGTCGATTTGCCCAAGCAGATCCCGCCGGTATGTAACTATATAGCACGAACACTTACAACAACACAAGTTAATTCGTCCAATTAGGGTAAATACTCCGTTCACGCCGATGTCTACAATGACGACGGGAAACAGGTCACCTGCCTTGAAGCTCAAAACATTGAATTCAAGTTTAGACGCTAAATTTATACCCCCCTTCACGGTCATGTCGAATACGGATCATTGTTGTCACCTGCCTTGGTTAATGATGCACTGATACTAGTGTTTTGTTTGCACACCTTATGCTTTTTGCTTTTCCTAGCGATATTGTCTGTCCTTTACGAGATCCCATAATGTGCCAACAACCCCATGCTTCTTCCGTTTGCAGTACGGAGTAGACGTTACTAGACCCTCATGGTGTTATGACTTCTGGGCGTTTGTGACATTTGCTAAGGCCTATCGCAATTAACTGCATGCTAGCTAGTTCTGCGCGCTGCAGCAGCGTAATAACTTTGCATATATTATTATCGCATAAATGACCGATGGGTAGTCGTATCATTCATATATGCAGGAATCTAATTTGCAGGGCGAGTTTGGGTATCTCTTCTGCCCCTAGCCTTCGCTACTATGTCGATTCGTGATGGTGCGTTAACGTATTTGCTCACCAAGCACCCGATAGCAAAGATAGATCAAAAACTGAAAGAAGCAACCAGGAAACATGAAAACATCATAATTTACTCTCCAAACAGCCGTCGCACCCGCTTCAACACACTATCCTTTTCTGGGTCATATGGATGGTCTTTACTCGGGATCTCGAGCACGGCGGGGAATGGTTCGGCGAACGAATCGACGCTTGCCCTGATACGTTCCGCAATCTATAGCATCCGTTTTATCAGTATATGTGACAAATATTGAGGTAGACGCGCGAGACGAACATGTTGGTTGATCAGAACGATGGCAATGTCTTGTCTCTCCTTCGTGAAGTCGTTAAACGCTTTCTCGATCGTGGATGTCTCGGTCTTGGAGTCGACGACTAAAAAGTTTCGTTGGGCCTCTGGACCATCTGTGACATGCTATTTAGAAACAGGGCTATGTTAGTACACAATGTTCTGATTTCGGGTCGTTTCTTGTCCTCTTGTACTTACCCCAATGCCCGCAAGGAGAAGACCCGTTACGGAGCTGATAACAGGAGCATATTGTTAGTAAAGAATTGATTCTCAATATCGCAGGTTGCATTACTCTTCATCACCGATGACCGCAAGGAATTGCCGGCCCTGTCATTTCAGTCAGTTATCTTCTGGCTTCCGTGATATGAATGTTGGACACACCTGAGCCGTCATTATGGGAGAAGTGAAGAGAAGAGCGTCGCGGGAAACACTTTAAGTAAACAGAACTCGTTTCACAAAATCTTCCTCAGGCACAACAAGTATAGAACAAAGCAGCGAGGAAACAGAAGTACTCCAACTGCTGTTCTCGACCGGACGTCGTCATTAACTAGCTGTCGGAGACTGGATTATATAAGCCGATCTCCGGGTCGCCGCTTTCTGTGTTTACACCATCGCTACGGAAGAGCTGTCTGGATCTTTTCCCTTAATTTTTCTTAGGCCAGAACTGTACCAACAATTTGAACTCCGTAATCTCCTGATCTCGCCAGAAAATCGCAGACCAAGCTGGTCCTCTCAGCTGCCAGCTCAATATCCTCTCCTGCTTCCTCCTTTTCGCATCGCATTCATCATGCCCCGGCTCGTACGTCGCCAACCGTTGGGGGAGCGCATCATGTCTTACTTGAACCCGTTGGACTTTCTCCTGTGGCTTTCTGGAGAGATCGATGCGAATGACTGGGATCAGTTCGAGAAGGACTGGGCGCTTCCTGTCGGGGTAGCATTGAATGTGGTCTTCTTGATTGCGAGAGCGAATAGCAGGCCCAGTGGCAGTGAGGCCGTGGATGACGTCTTCGGTGATGATGGGGGAGTCCCCTGGCTGAGTTGGTTTGTATGTGTTTTCGCCTTCTTGGAGCTTTCAATAGCTGGTTGAATAAAGCTTGCATGGCTAACGGAAGTTTGTGCTTAGGCGTCCTTCGTCGTTCACCTACTGGCTGGTTTCTCTGGCTTCAATGCCTTCTACACCTTCTACCGCAAACGTCATTACCGCATGTTCGAAGCGTCAATTGACCAAGCTCCCGCGACTCCTTCTGCTCAAAGAGTGCGTGTGGATTCGACTCCCATGGCAGCCTCCCCATTGAAATACTTTGCGAATGCGATTTCAGGGTCGGCCGAGTCGAGGGCGCATCCCGATGCGCAGCGGGATGTCTGGGAGCTTGCAGTCTGGGATCCGTTACCGGTTTGCGTCCGAATGTTTGGCATGTTTAGCCCGGGCCATGTTCTGGTTTATTGGCTCTTCCTGCCTACTCAGGTGTCTGATCCTCGACCCAGCGTTACTATTGTCACTACGTTGTTCTTGACGGCTTTGCTATCGGTGCAAATGTCTTTCCTATCTTCGTCGTTTACCCAACAAGCAAAGGATTCTGCATTGGTACATAAGGAAGTGCTCCGGGAGTACGACAATAAATACGTGCATCCTCGTACGCAGCCTTTGATGAGAGACGTTGGCACCCAGTTCTCTGAAGAGGAAGAGAACGCCAATCGCGTTGATACATTTACCCCGACATTCGTCATCCAGCGCGGATTCAAGACCAGCCCCCATCCAAACTATGTTAGCCATGTCGACCCCGAAGGAGTCACTCCCAGACGTCAACCTTTCACAACCCCGTCAACTACATCTTATAAAACACCTAGCCACTTGCGTGATGCCTCGCCTGCCGTACGTCCATCTGTCACTTCTATGCGACAGCCGCAGTTCAGGCCTGCCGCAACCAGCACTGGCGATGGAGGTAGTCTTGGTATCTATTCTCATGCCAACTCGCCTCTTCGGAAAGCTACGTCGACAAACCCTGAACGTCGTATCCAGAACAGCGGAGACTTCTACTACAAGGAACGCGGGACTCCGTTAAAGAGATCGTCGAGCCCACTGAAGAAGAGCATTGTACCTGGCGCTGCGAGTTCAGCAGGGCAATACAGTGCTCGTCGCGATACTGGACGATTTTAGAGGGTAATGGGTGCGATATCTTGGAGTAGTATATATGGATCATTGGGAGTTTGGGGGGAGTATGGTCTTTTAGTATTGTCATAGCATTTGGGCGCAGCATGGCGTTTCGGGGCTTTGTGTTTATAATCTTGTCTTCTTTAGTTTCTGTTCTTGAGGGCAACTGCTTGGTTTGTTCGGGCCGCTATATAACATGTATTCTGTACTTCTAAACAGAAGATATCATTGCAAGCGCAATCGCCTATGCACCTTTCCGCCTATAATCTTGTTGGAAACTGATAGGGTTTGTGTCTTAATCCCGCTTAGTAATTTCACCCAAACAGGAAATCGTCATGAAACCACTGTCTATCGCATCTAACGCTTCAAGACGAAGGAGCAGCGCATTGTCTATCAAGCCATATCATATACCTTACCAGTCAGTCCGATAGGAATGTCTATGGGAGAGAATAAGGAGTGCCTCGACCATGATGTCTCCCGGCTTGTCATCTGACTCTTGCTAAATGTTACCGACTAGAAGCAGAATGATACACATATGACCTGATACAATGATCGTATATCGCAATATCGACATACCGGCTACGGCATACGAATCATTGGCTTACATTCCCGGCGTCCCCGATCTTGTGCACCCGGTACATTCCTGAGCATGGCCAGTTTAATTGGCATAACATTCCAACGCCCCTCATTACATATGCACCTGATTACCAATGAGAACGAGCAAAGAAGCGCGCGGATTCGACGTAGTTTCGTGCTCTCCCACCACTCCCTTCCTTAAACCACCCCCCATATGGTACTTCCAACAACGTAACCGTTCTACAGCCACTTCAAACCAGGCACTTCACCACCAGCCCCAACCTCCCATTTGGATGATATGAGCTGGCCCAGAGCCTTATTCTCTCCTAATAGTCGGAACTATCGACAGTCATTGCTACGCTTTCCAAAAGAATTGGCAACATGGAGGGTGATTTTCAATTACCCAACGGACATCTTCTCAACTTGAACCCGCGGCCTCGTAATAACAGCAAATCAAGCCGGCAGCCTCCCACTACTTCTGATTCAAAACTGCCGCAAAGTCGAGAGCGAGTGCCCTCAAGCGGGACTGAAGGAGAGGCTTTGACGCGGCAGAGCCCTAACGCAATGCCGCAGACCAGTCTATCCGGGTTAGCTACGAAGCTGCCGTTGCCCAAGAGCTTCATGGAGAAGGGCAAATGTAAAGGCAAATGGAAGGACAAGCAGCCATACGTTGAAGATGAGGTGGAGAAGGATGAGATATCAAAGCACAAGCCACTCCAAGAGTCGGACACGACACCTACGATATCTGAACATACCCCGGAGAAGTCGACGGAGAAGAACCACGACCACCATTGGAGCAAGATTCGTGGGAAGCTGGATAAGGACTCACCGTTGCTAAGAAAGAGCAAAGAGAAGCAGGAGGAGTACTACCAAGGGGCTTACCGGAGAATCAAGTCATTTGCGAACGGCCCGCGAAATGAAACACCTAAGAACAAGAAATATGGTGAAGCCAATACGAGCGACACCAAGCTCCCTACACTAAGAACAACAGGTATTTCTAGTCCTAACAATCGGGCTCGGAGTGCTTCTGGAGGTATTACTCGCGCACCGGCTATTCGTCAGCCTCCGAAGCAGAAGAAACAACAGCAGCAACAACAACAAAAAGATGAACACCCCGCTCCCCTCCAAATTAAGAAATCCCCTTCCCGGCAACCATCTGGAATTACCGATAATACTACCGATTCATCTGCCTATTCACAACTTTCTACCTCGTCAGTCTCAGGCCGTGCTAGCTCGAATACTGAGTGGGAGGATAGGTTCGTAGTCAATATGCCCTCTGCCACGGATCCGAACCCGCCATTTTTGACAGCTCAGCAAATCGTTGAGTTTCAGAAGAGCATAGAGAAGGTTCGGCGAGAGGGAGGAGATATGGTTCATCCCGATACTTGCCCCAGCCCGCGTACTACGACACCCGAGGGCAAGACCGATATGTCGGAGAAGACTTCTGAACGTGACAATTCTACTACGGAGAATAAAAAGCAAGACAAGACAAACGCCAATATCACCAACCCTCTACAACCTGGAAGGTACTATTCGCCCGAAGAAATCGGAAAGAAACGGTGTAGCACGATATGGGAAGAGGATCCTTCGAAGGCAAAGCAAGAGAACCTCGACGCAACTCCGGATGGTTCCTTCCTGGGATGCAAAGAGATTGGTCCAGAAGAGAAGAACCCAGATGAGATCCTATTCTTCTCGACAATGACTGAGCGCCCGAAAGTTGTCGACATCTCAGCACCAATTTCAAGGAAGCCAAGGGCAAAAACAAAACCGACTGGTCGTCGTGTGCCTGGAGATATGGATGACAATATCATGGCATACAGGGAATGGCGATCTCTCTCCGATAATTTGATGAATGGCCAACGTTCGAAACAGGCCTCCAAGACCATGTGTCAAGAGCCCGTGTGTCAGCCGCAGGGGAAAGTTCAGGCACCAAAAACCTCTGGGAAGGAGAATTTGCGAAACTCGCTCGCCGCAGATAGCAGAGACAACCTAAAGGAAGATGATATTTTCATGAACACGGCAACTGTCTCGCGTGCTCCAGTCACGGCTAGCGGTAAAACAATATATAAGAGATCACCCTCGCAGCTACCACAATTCAATTCTCGAACCATGGGGGACTCGACGCCAACATCTCGAGAACCTATGTCGAGGTCACCACCGTCTGGGCTACGGCGAGGAATACCAAGGCCACACGAAAAGAACGACGGCAATCAAAACACTCCCTCCAAGTCCCCGTTAAATACGAAAAACATTTCCATTAATAAAACCCGCGGGAAACCTGGGGGGAACTCTGACTCTCCACGAGGTATCCGTGGGATCATGCGCTTTCCGGGAATGGGGAAGCCGTCTATGGAGCAAAGCACGAGCACGAATAAACGCCAATCATCAATGCCGGTTCCAATGAACAAAAGCAGCGGTGCGGAGAAGAGAAGTATTTCAGGTCCGTCTCTGGTTAGCTCCGAACCGTCTTGTAAGAGCGTGACTCCAGTCTCATATGTTATTCCAGAAGAAAACAATAAGGATCCGAGCACGGAAATCATGGACGCCGAACTCGATGGGGAAGCCAAACAAAGAGCGAAAGATGTTACGACCGATTCTCCTAACAACGTTGAGAACAGTGGCAACGAAAACACAGCATACCCCCTAACACTAGCCCTTCTCTTTGACATCCTAATCCTCACCATCGCATATATTCAACGCTTCTCCAGTGAGTTCCTGGGCAACGAGTATCCGCAGGTGATCTTGCAAAGCATCGTAAAAATGCTCGAGCACTGCGCCAACGTCAGCAGACACGTCTCCCTCGCCTTCTTGACATACAGATCCACAGGATCCTGGCCAAAATCGGGCAATGGGGATCTTTGTGATTCCTTCACAGATATAGCGCAGGCCGCTGTTTATCTTGTTTCGCTGGGGTTCATGATGATAATCATCGGTAGAGCTGCTGGATACGTGGTTATTGTTGGAAGTTGGGTAGTATGGATGGCGAAACCTTTTGGATGGGCACTTGGGTTATTGGCTAAGGCGCTTGTACCCTGATTTGTCAATATGAGACGAGGAAGGCTTATGAAACTTGGCGAACCTTGTTGGTTGGTTGTTTTCTTGTGTGCTGCTTTCTATAATCGTCTTCTTGACAATTTATTATAAGTTTGTTATAGTTATATTGCTTAGCATTAACAGATCACCCTTTTCGTATAGTCCCGCTTGCGTAACAAAGAATTAGGGTTAAGAAAACCCTTCTCGAAAGGTTGCACAGTGCCCCGTACAAGAAAACCTTATGGATTAAGAACAGACGTTGGAAAGCTTTCATAGATAAACTGTTCCGTTCTGCGGCATCTCCATCTCCACACTAGAAAATATGCAATGCCCAATTTCAGCCTCAATATCCCCCGGAATAAGAGACTCAACTCCCCACTTCAACGGTTTATACTCTGCATCTAGCTTCTCTGAATCATCGTCATCGTCATCCTTTTGCACGTATGAAGAGTGACATGCAGCAGCAATAGCCAGACTGCAACTTCCAGCAACCGGCATTTTGATTTGAACCGTTGACATCTAATGAAAACAAGACAGACCAGCATAAAAGCCCCCACGGACACGCTGCTGACAATGCCAACAGGCGAATAGGCACATGTCACTGGATCTAAAGAAGGATCTCTCTCGTGGTTAACGCCATGTCCCCGAATAACAACAACATAAAGACTTTGAGACATGAGCCAATGAAGCACCCCGGAAAATGAAATAGGTGAAAGGGCGTAGCGGTACGGAAATGATATAAAATAAATGCTTCGTTGATGGCCGCAGAGGAAGGTCGAGACACGTAGACTTTTGCGGTGGATTGAGTAACTGTTCCATTCAGCAGCTAGTGTCATGCTGGTCCATATACTATTTTCCATGAAGTAAAGAACTGAGAAAATAAGTTGAGGGATTTTTGCAATTATTGTGTTTGGAATTAATGATTTCGGCCACCCAGATCCTCTGATGAACGTTATGGTTCAATTGCTGCCAAGCCAGTGAACCAGTTGCCTCGGATGATACTTGAATTCCTTTGTGTATACCCGTAGAGTAAGAGTAAGAGGCAAATCCCAATTGAAAACAAGTGACTAGTAGCACCAGTGAGTATCAACCTTGATAGGGGAATGTCGTTAAGAGGACAAGCTTACGACAAAACACAGACAGCCCATCGTCGGACTGATAAAGATGATAACCACATTTCGCGCTCGTCTTTGTACCGAAACTCATGGTCCCTGATGTCCTTTGGCTTGGTCACCGATTCTCTTGAGTGCAGACATTTGCCTTTTGTAGCTTCATCAGGTCGTTTTAAGAATGAAACTACCGCATCTCGAGCTGCTAAAAGAGGAGCACACTTGAGATGAAAGGCAGTGGCACAAATAAAAACTACTTTAAAGAAATTTACAACAATCACTACTATTACCAGAGGGAAGCTAAACTCGAGCGTACACGTCTAAGTCAACTCTTCAGCCAAGCAATAGTTAACCTTGTAGCCGTCCACTACCCAGTCATCAGGATGAGATTGTATCTCGGCTATCTTCGATGCACATTCCCAATTAGTACCATAAACGATCTCTGCGAAATTATCACACACCCATGAATAAGACGCAGTTGGAAGGTTTTCGAGAGTATCCATCACTCGCTCGACATATAACTGGACAAAATCACTGTTCGTTGTATTTAGATCTCCGATAATTAACATCAAACTACCGTGATTTGTCTGGTAGTACGATGCATATGCAGGAATGCAGCTGTCTGGCATCAGCTTTTTGAGGGCACCATTTGCCGACTATTGGACCAATCTGGAAAATGGATATGGAATGGAATCAAGGAGATTACGCAATTTTGCGTTCAAAAATTTGAGAATCTGAGCGCTCTTGAGGGAAGTGAAGGTGGAATTACCCACATACACTTCATATGAATTTTCAGCCAGTGTTGAGAAAACCGTGGAGTTATAGCTTTTGCACTGTTAGTTTCCAATCTATATACAGAGAATGATGGGAATGCAAGCTTTACAATAGATGTGACGGCAGTGATGAAAGGACGAGACAAACACATAGCAATCACTTGACTCTGGAAATGTTATGGAGATCTCGTATGCTGGGAACGCCAATATCAAGTCAGTAATTTCTTTTATGGGCGTGATCCAAATCCTCTCTGGTAGGTGCACAGAGGCATTACTTTAGCGACATCAGCAATCAATGCACATACGTACTTGATTTTCTCGATGTTTTGAAGGCTTCCCCTTTCCGTTTTAGTGCTCACCCCTCGCAACTTTTTGCTCACTGAGTGAACCTGAGCACGCCATGAGCAGCCTGAGCTGGTCACTGGGCAGAGGGTGAGCCGATGGGTGAGCAACCTGAGTAAGGCAACTTCAATAAAATGTACCACGCTAGGATTTCAACCCATGTCTGCTTTCCCTCGTATTGCTCCTGACTGCTATTCCTTCTTACCCACATCCCTCTCGTCAAAGCGCTGGCATCATCAATTTGATGGTCAATCGTGGCCATGCCATGTCTTTGTCTCCTGTCAAGTTATCTAGATTAAGCTCGGGTGAAGCTCCAGTCCACTTCTGGGATCGTTCTGAGTCCAAGGAGCACGTTCAGAGATTCCAAGAACATAACCGGCTATCCTGTGAGCTAGGCTGAGACTCACGGGAGATTAAAAGCTCCCATGATCAGCCCTCATATCAGGGTTTAGGTTCGAAATCATGGAGGGTGTAGATAGATACTATCTTCTATCATCTCTAACCTTTATTTCCTAAAGGCTTAGCGTAGTTGTTGGAGTTGACTGAGTAAGCACCTTGTCGATAGTTTTTATAAAGGACCTTTCATGTTAACTTCCAAATACATGTCAACCATCCCATCGATCAACTCACCTGACTTTAAGAGTGTTGATTGCCCTTGTTTGACTCTGATCCTTGTCTGGAATTTTGACCTGCAACCCTTGCCAATGCTTTGATGTTAACTACTATGCTCGGAAGGATGTCATAGGCAGTATTCAGAACGAATAGAGGAAGAACTCTGATTCTAGATATCTATCTATCGTACGGCCTTTTTATACATAATCTGGCGGCCGTCAACTAAGCGCAACAGGAAGGTCGTTGCGAAAGAAGTCCAAGAAGACAAAAGGAGTACAAAGCACATAACGCATGTATGCGGTGGTCATTGTCAAAGGATGCTGGCTGCATAGCCGTAGTCCCCGGCCCTATCATCATAGTCGTATCCGTTCATGCATATGCTCGGGCAGCCATAAGTCATACGTCATATATGGAAGTCAACACATCTATACAGCAGCTTCAACGCAAGAAAGTCTCCTGGAAGAAGACAATGCTTGATACACTAGAAGCAGCGCGGTCTAAGCTCTCTGATTACTATGGTAATACAGATAACAAGCTTCATGGTGATATCTTTGCAATTAGCACAATTATGGCTCCGTCAAACAAGCTTCAGTTCTTTTCCACTAAGGGCTGGGAGGATGATACAATTGACTATTGTGCATGATACCGCAATTATGACTAACACTGATAGCAGGTCTTGTTTATACTCCCCCAAGACTCTTCTGGAAAGTGCATGAGCTTGAATTTCCAGCACTATCAAGCCTCGCTCGGGATATTCTTTCTATCCCAGCTAGTGGTGCTGGTGTTGAGCGTCTCTTTAACTCTGCTCGTGATATCTGTCATTATCGCCGAGGCAATCTCAAACCTGATACAATCAAGGATCTGATGATGTATACGTGCACATCAAAGTTTGTTATTAAACAAGAGGAGCTAGATTTGATAAAGGAGTATCTCTCAGCTGGCGAAATTACAGGCATTGAGGAGGAGAAAGCCCTCACTCAGCCTCAGGAAGATTTGGAACCAATAAGCAACAATGAGGAAGATGATATACTTTATAATTCACAGCCTGCAGCACCTAGTGAGCGTGCCCTAGGGAAACGACGCAGAAGCATTTCTTCTGAGCCAAGGGTAGAGTGTCACTTGGGGTGGGGTGGGGTGGGTTTTGGCAGGCAATGCCCGCCCCAACGGGGCCCCTAAAAATCAGCGGGTGGGCACCATCTGCCCCGAACCCTGCCCCGGCGGGGTCACGGGGCTGCGAGTGACACTCTAGCCAAGGGATGAGATAGACCGTGAGCTTGATGATGATGATGGTGATCATCCTCTACCTAATATACCACTTGAAAAGGATAGTACGCAGGCGCGTTCAAGAAGGGTTCGGAAACAGCCAAAGATGCCAGCTGGCTTTGAAATTGATAGATACTAGTTCATATTAGAAGAATTACAATAAATTGAGTTATGACAAAAAGTTTTCTTCGATCCAATATCAACAGATGTGAATTATTTAACCAGTAGACTTTCTTACAACTACAATGCCCAACGATTCCGACCACCGAAAATATCAGCTGTGGACATGTAAGACGTCCCGGGTTTTTGGCTTGTTCCCCCCC